AAGGATGGGGAGGGCGTTTAAATGGAAGGAAAGGAAAACACGAGGGCGTACAGAGCAGTCAGATCTCAGAAGGGTGCACGGTGGTGGCTGGCGCAGGGAAGAGGAGTGTATGCAAAGCAGTCCTGCCGAAGCTCATCTTGGTCATGACTTTGGCTTCTCGAACATCTCCCGTGTTCCCAGGTGGCTTCTTTCTGGCCTCTTTATCTAGCCTAGAACTCAGGGTCAAGTTAGCTGACCCTGTACTTTAGCTACCTTGCTACCGCCCTGTGCTCCCAGTCCTGGGCCGCCAGACGTTACTGGAGAGGGTCGCAGGGCCTGGCTTCCTGGGGCCCAGCTTGGCCATTCTTTTATCCATTTCCCATCCGTCAGCTGCAGTGGCCTGTGCAAACCATGTTCAACCTCAAGCGCACGGTGATTTTCTTACGGCACTCACATCTCCTCTTCTCATCTCAGAAGAAAGATCGGGGCTATTCTATATAAGCTCCCAACATATCCTGTCCCTGCTTTCAAATGTTCCTTGATGGCCACTTCCTGTCCAGCTGTGTCCCAAACTGCCCGTCACCTTCACACGTCACTTTCTCCGGCGAGGCGCTACGGTCAGGTCCTCCGACTCTCCCACTCGCAGAGCAGAGCGGGGTCTTCGCTTTTGCGCATTCTGCGCTTACAGTGAACTTCGTGAAGCGCCACTACCATGCACACTGACACCCTGAGCTCCCGTGACTCTCTGCGAGTGGGAGTGATCCCAGGAGGACTATGTCTGGAGACAGGACAATGACTGCGGATGAGGGTTTCCCAGGATAAAGGTCAAACGGTCACCGTTTAACATGTGTGAGCTTCAGTTCTGGCAGGAGCAAGGAGCAGGAACAAACGAGGCAGCAAAGGCAGAAACAAAAGGTGCTTTGTTCTCTTTAAAATAAACACACCAAGAAATGAAGTCTCCTGAATTGTTAAATAAAGGATTTGTGTGTAATCTTTCTACCTTTGGCAAAGCAAAATTTTTGGGGAATAAAGGGACAAACTGGAACTTTTTGATAATGAAAAAAATGTTCCAAAATATTTGATATTGATCAAAAGCACTATGTCATTTAATGGTGATTTTTGTTTCAAAAATCTCAGATGAGAAATCCCTTTTCCGTTGCTCTCAAATGATGCGTTGGAACAGCCTTTGCTCTTTGCTATTGAAAATGTGGGGGCCGTGGGCTCCCCTGAACTTGCCTTCCCTGCGGGATTCTCTGCTGGCTCTAGCACGCCACCCACTCTCTGCGCTTTTCTGATAGCCCTTCTGTTCCTGTGTGGTTTGGCTCTGGGAAAAACACAAGGCCATGTGCAGAATGCTCACAAGTGTAAAACATGCTAACAAATGTGGGAGTGAAAGATATTTTTCTGGATTAATCTTTTTTCATTGTGTCTTATTTCCCCTCTAACTCTTCATCAAAAGTTTGAAATGGAACAGACAGAGCAGAAGGAAAAAGCTTTCAATGAGCTTGTCATTGGGTATATAAAGCTTCCATAAATTAAACAAAAGAATGAAATGTCTTGAAGTCCCATGAAGGTGCCTGCAGCCGTAGGCTACCTCCCACAGCATGCCGCACTCTGCTTCTGTGGCATTTCAGCCCTGAAGTCAAAGGATATACTTCCTGAAGCAAAGGAACTATAGGATGGGTGGTGGGCGACTTCATGTGTCAACTCGGCGAGGCCACGGTGCATAGGTATTTGATCAAACACCACTCTATTTTTTTTAGATGAGATTAACATTTCAATCAGCAGACTTTTTGAGTAAAGCATATTGCACTTCATAATGTGAGTGGGTCTCTTCTAATCAGTTGAAGGCTGTCAGAGAAAAATGATGGCTGGCCCCTGAGAGAGACGGAATTCTGCCTCCAGACTGCCTTTGGACTCCAAGATGCAACATCAACTCTTCCCTGGGTCTCCAGCCTGCTACCTGCCCTGCAGAGTTGGGATTTGCCAGCCCCTGAAATTGCATGAGCCAATTCCTTAAAATAACTCTCATCAATCTACCTATCCACGTATATGTGTACCCCCTTCTGGTTCTGGAGAACCCTGGCTAAGACAGATGGGTACCTTTTTGTTAAGTGTAGAGAGAAAACAACATCTCCAACAGAAAATACTGTCTGAATTTGGCATCACGGAGATGCCTCTAGGCTGGGATTGTTACATTTTCCCTGAACACTTCTGTTTACCCTGCTGTCTGGCCAAGGTTGAATTTAGGCAGAGTGAAGGTCACACTCTCTCTTTTGTGTCCAACAGATCCAACCAAATTTCTTTTCTTGATAGTCCTTATTTAGCAATAACAGAAAGGATTGCTTAATATCTCCGATATACCTTCTCATAAAAAATTCAAAGGAAACTTTGAAAACAGATGAAAACATGAATGTATCTAGTTATTGTACTAATGTTTCTAAATGTCCAATAATGACTTCTCTGTCCTCTCTCAGAGCATCCAACAGAAATATTCCTGGAGCAATTCCAGATCTGCCTGGAGTGGAATGAGATTCAAAAACTCCATTTTCATTGTTGGGAACAGGCGACTAGGGGAGCAGGCGTGATTCCCGGCGCCCACTGCCGTGTTTCCCAGGCTCAGCAGCTGCAGGACAACCCACACACCTGTCTCGCCCCTGGCTCCACGCTCACCCTCATCTCACCCCCAGGTGGACTCCTACCGTGTTCTCGGTCTTCCTGACTTGTCCGCCTCCCTGCCCATCTTCAGTCCGTGCCACGCTGAGTCCAATGGTGCACACACACTGCCCACGGCGTGCGTTGAACAGGGAAGTAGTGGCGTGACTGCCTTTGACAGCCATTCTTGCTGATAGCTCCTTCTTGTAGGAGGCATCAGTAGCAGGAGAGGCATTTTAATCCTCTCCTGGAATGGGCTAGCATCATTTCTCCCATTGTTGTGGTTGGTCGACGACGCTATTTACATGCTCAGCTGGACTGAGTCGTCCGAGAGGAGTGCCAAGAATGCGTGTGTTGTAACCTCTGGCAACAGTCTGACCATGTCTGTGTGTGGGGTGATTTCAGGGGTCAAAGCTCAGTGGGCCAATACAGCTGTTTACCATGGTTTGGGGTAATCGAAGTCTGCGTTTCCCTAGGTGGCCCTGGCTTGTTTGCTTTCTGCTGGTCAAAGTACTTGCACATGGTGGAGCTGGGTGAGGAAACACGCCCACTGTGATTCTGTAAGTGTTTGATAGAGTGAAGGCTGTCTGTTGACGGGGCTAGGGACCTGCCGGAATCTTACTATCCAGTGGTCAGTTCCCCTACAAAATTCTCAGATGGGATTTTAAAACCAAGAGAATCTCACTTGACAAGAATGGATTTAAATAACAAGTAGTTGTAGTCTTCCTTGATTGCATATTTGTACCCAGTGGGATACAGAAAGCCTTCGCTGGGAAAAGTTCCTGTCTAAAGTTCCTGAAAGTTATTGGCTATAGTACCGTGTTTTCCCGAAAATAAGACAGGGTTTTATATTTATATATTTTTCCTCAAGAAGACACCCTAAGGCTTATTTTCAGGAGATGTGTCATTTTCCCCTCAAAGCCTCAGCTTGCAGCATGCACAGGATGGCCGGGACCTGACAGGGAGAGCCACCCTTGTTGGTGGGGCTGCCCGCACCTTTCCGGTCACCTCTAGGATAGTAGCTGTCACGATGGGGCAGATAAGAAGGGCTGATAAGATGGGGCAGATAAGAAGCATCTTTCCCGCTCCGAGACACAATGCACGGGTTGTGCAGATGCGCTGCGCAGCCACGCCCAGCACTAGGGCTTATTTTCAGGGTGGGGCTTCTATTGCGCACATGCTTAGAAATCCTGCTAGGGCTTATTTTATGGGTAGGTCTTATTTTCAGGGAAACACAGTAATATTATTTTATTTTGTATAAATGATCGTCACCAGTGTCTTCTGGCCAAAAGGGAGGGGAGAGACGAGAGTCAGCCAGTTCACAAGAGTTCCAGAGAGCAACCTGAGATAAACACTAATAGTTACGAGCTGTAAAGGCAGACACTGTAATCTGACTAGTTGCGAGAGGTAATCTCCCCCTTTGGGCCCCTACCTCTAGCGCACAATGGATAGAAAGAGGGAAGACGTTCATGTTCTACACATGCACGCACAAGGTCTGTCTGGAAAGCATCCAGCCATCGTCACTATAACGAGAACCCCGCAGCCAAGGCGAGTGGACCGAGATGCGCCAGTGAGCCTGCTCCTGTGCGGCCGTCACATTCAGAACGACCGAGCGAGCAGAGCACTGAATCTGCTTCAAATTTTGCGTTAAGCATGAACATTCTTCCACGGAAACTATCCGGATGACTCAGGAGGCTTTTGGGGATGGTGCCATGAGTGCAGCACAAATAAAAGCGTGGCACAAACGCTGCAAAGATGGTCGGGAATCTGTGGGCAGTGGTGCACGTTCTGGAAGGCCTGCAACAAGCAGGACACCTGGGAACGTCGAATGTGTACAGGTTGGGTTAAGAGACGCTGGGCGAACCGTGTGAGGTCCCAAGGTGCCTACTTTGAAGGGGACTGGGGTGTCATTGTCCTATGTACAATGCTTCTTGTATCTTGTAGCTTCTTCAATAAATGTCTCTATTTTTCATATCACATGGCTGGACACTTTCCAGACCTCATATGTACATTCTACATGCATCCTTCCCATAGACAGGGCTGTGGATCTGATGGATCCGTGGATTGGATATAGTCACACACTTCACGTAAGACTGAGCACAGAGAGAAGATATGTATGCTACTAGAAGAGTTAAATATCTCTGAAGTTTCATATTGCATCCTTACAAAGTTATGTGGATTTCTGCATCCAAGTCCATAAAAAGAAAGATCTACTGAAAGATGGCAGTAACTATCCCATTATCCATGTGAACATTTTCCTACCAGCCATAGCCCAGACAGACTGCCCATCTGCACTTTGCTTTATCATTTTCTGTTAATATTTAGTCAGTGTTTCCAATAAACCTGCCTTCTTCTTCGGATCAAAGGCTTTTTACATAGGTCCTACATGCAAAGCAAATAGCTATACACACAATATTAGACTTTGACTTGCTCCATTCTTGACTATTCTCTGTGTCTCACACTGAAGAGAGATGAGCAATTCATTCTAAGGCTAAATAGCTAGAAAATATTCATTCAAACTTGAACATTTTTCAGAGAGAGCCTGGGGCGATTCTAATTAGAGGAAGAAACAGAAGGGAAGCAAATCCCAGATGTTTTCCACAAGAGCCCTCCTTTTGGCTGTTGTGGCTTCCACCGGTAAGTCAAAAGCACAATTTTAGAATCTCAGCTAACTTTTAAAAGCGATTTTAGGGGTAGGTTTTAAAGTCATTAAGAGCACAATCAGCAAGGACTTGCATATTCAGTAATTAAAAATGGGAAAGGAACAATGTATGGTGGTGGTGTGGGGGTGGGGGGATCCTAAATCATTTCTACCCGAATGTTCTGGTTCTTTAATGAGGGAAACACAAAAGTTGAATGGAAATACTTTAAGAAAAGCCTTTTGATTTTGCTCTGGGATTTAACTGGAACATAACTAGAAAATAAAAAGTTTGCACGGAAATTTAACTTAGAAGATTCCCGATACAAAGACTGGCGTGGATTAGGACTAAGGGAATACACCCTTAATACAGTAGAAAAGGGAATAAATTAATAAGTTGTCTGATACATGTCTCAATTCCCAAGGAGAAATGTTAGTTGCCAAAGCTATAGTATTATATCTCAATCAAAGTGTTGACTTGAAGCTCGGCCCAAAGTATAAGACTTTTGAAACCCACCTTTTAAAACTATATTAAGGAACATGCTCAATGGCCACATTCAGTAGCTTCTCTTAATAACAGCACATACATTAGTGAAAAGTAAAATGTCTTTAAATGAAATCAATAATCAAATTAGCAGGCTCTTGTTTTTGTTTCAAAGAGAAAGGTTGAGTTTGCTAACTATATCTCTCTGTAAATGTTAACACTGGAAATCTAGGAAATTTAATTCAGTTGAACATTTATCACATGCTTACTATATCAAAGAGACAATTCATGCCTAATGCAAAATTTGCATTAAATACCCGGTCCCTGCACCAGGTTCCATGATTTTTCACGTAATTGTTTCTACTGTCTTTCCCACCTTCTCTCCTCACCTCACTCTCAGCTAAATTTGTTTGACATTTTAGATGATTTCTTAGAATCTCCCTCTTCCACCTCTGCAAATAGGAAAGAGATTTATTCAATGTTAAATAGACTTGGCTCATTCAGAGTTTGTTTCTCCTTTAATTCAAACATTTGCTTGGATTTGATTAGTAGAACTAACCATAAGTCACCATGTCAAAGTTACTTTAGAATTTCTAGAACTATTTCTTTGAGCCATGCTGTTTCATTATTTTTTGCTTATCCTAAACATAGTGGTCCCTGTACCAGGTCATGAGCAAAGAAATTTTGAAAAGGACAGTTCACGCCATTTGTCAGTGGATTATCTGAAGCAAAGCATAATGACGGAAGTTAACGCTCATCAGCAAACACACTGACAAATAACCTGTGTGTCATAAAACAGAGTTCCGTGGCCAGGGAAAAAGCTAGCTTTATATCTGATCGGGATGTAAAAATTCTGTAAGAAAGACCTTCCCATGAACTACAGAAAGTTAGGGGGAAACTTCAGAGAAAAGGGAGTTCTCAGGGTCCACTGGAGACTTGCAAGGCAAATGGAGACTGGAAATACCTGAGGCCAGGAGCTCAGCTCTCGTGTCTCTCCTTTCTAGCGCTGGCTGGGCCGTGGGCCAGCATGTGTGCCGGGAAGTCCTCCAACGAGATCCGGGCGTGTGACAGCCACGGCTGCGGGCAGTACTCTGCTCACAGGTACGGGGTTCGCAGACAGCCCGACCCCTCTGCGTCCCGTCCTCGCCCGCCTGTCCTCAGGTGCTCACGATTATCCCCCCTCCGGCCGCGCCCGTGGAAACCCAGAGATGTAGCTGGTGTCATCGCGGTCTTTGGAGCAGCTTCTGAGAACTCTGCTTCAAGTCTGGCCTCCGAATTGGGGCCAGGGCGTGGAATAAGGACAAGAGAAGGGAGCAAGCACAGCGTTGTCCTTCTCTGCGTCTTAACGCATCGACTTATCTCGGCTGGTGGCTCCAAAGGCGAATCACACGTGGAAGACAATTTTTCCGTGGACTGGGGGAGGGCGGAATGGATTTGGGATGAGTCAGGCGCGTCACATTGACTGTGCAGTCAGTCCTCTCTGCTGACGCTGACCTGCATCTGCAGCCGCTCCCCAGCACTCGCATCACCGCCCCAGCCCCCCTCAGACCACCAGGCGTTGGATTCTCACAAGGACCGCGACCCACACCCCTCGCTGCGCGGTTTAGCAGGGCTCCTGCTCCTGTGAGAATCTGGTGCCGCCGCTGATCTGACAGGAGGCGCAGCTCCGGCGGTGACCACAGCGATAGGGAGCGGCTGCAGATACAGATGAAGCTTCGCCCGCTCCAGGGACTGGTGGTGGGCCATGGCCTGAGGGTTGGGGACTGCAGGGTCACAATACCATGTACAGTACATGATGTCCACAATCACTTTTCTTTTCTATCACTGAGACAAAGATAAGACTAGGGTAACTATACTTTTATGATAGGTTCCCCATAAAAAGATGACTCTTTCCAAAGTGGTCTTGAAGAAGTCAAGATTCAGATAAGATTTACTTCCATGGACTGCCTCATGTCCCCAATATGCTGTATAATAATATTAGCTAATATTTGCTTAAGGCTTACAATGTACCAAGTACTATTTTTTAAAAACGCTTTAGTCTTTACAACATGGTTATTTCTACCTGCAGTGAGGGAGGTTAAAATTGGACTAAACTAGAGTGAGGAATCCTGGGATATCCCAATATGTTCTGGCAGCTTTCAGGTTTGGCACCCCAGCCTGGGAACAGTGGGTTAACACCAAGTTCCTGGGCAGTAGAGTTTCCAGGGAAGCTTCTCAATCTGTTCCTTCTTATTTACATCCCAGAAATCAGAGGACTCACCAGGGTGTGGATGTCCTGTGCCCCGAGGGATCTACCGTGTATGCACCATTTACTGGAATGATCGTGGGCCAGGAGAAACCTTATAAAAACAAAAACGCTATCAATAATGGTGTTCGAATATCTGGAAGAGGTAAGAGAGGTGGAGTCTATTCCGGGGCTGCTAATAGGGATGCTGATGCTTATTGAATGCAGTTTCCATACATAGGAGTTTTGTTCGTCTTTCAAAATGATAAAACCTAGAACATAAAGGATGTAGAGTATACCAAACTAGCTGATGCCTTTTCAAAGATGTTCCAGCACATTCCCTGATAAATTCTGCTCTGTGCACACACATTCTGCCTAACTCTGTAGCTGACCGAAGGTATTCTTTCCTGTGGCCCATGTGGTTTTGCTTAACCACCTATAAACAAAACCACTTTCAGCAATAATAACCATAATGGATAGATTCTTTCATTTACTGAAATCCCACAAATCATAAATGCTGGCATTTCTGCAGGAGCTGAATGTGAAGTACTTCCAAAGCCTCTATGTTCTAGGTAAAGCTAAGTCTCCTGGTACTGCAGGTACTGGGTTTGCTGTTTGGTTGTTTTAATTCTACCGAGGTCTAACAGAGAAAAGCACACAGCAGTACACGTGCAGCTCCATGAATTTTTACAAAGTGAACACACCCGTGTAACCAGCAACCACAGCGAGAAGGACATCACCTGCATCCCAGAGAGCCCTCGTGCGACCTTCAACACTCATTCCCAGCAAGGGCAATCGCTATCCCAACTTCTGACATCCCATGCTAGTTTTGCCAGTTTTTAAAAAAGATATAAATAGAATTAAAGAGCATGCACACCTTGTGTGATGCTTGTTCCATTCCACATCATTGGTGGAATGGATATTGATCCATGTTTTGCTTACACGTTCATTCTTTTTGATCTACAGTGTTTGATTACCCGCATATACTTTCATTTATGTATTCATTCTTCTTTAGAGGAACATCTGGGCAATTTTAGGTGATTATGAAAATGCTGCTAGAATTTTTTTATACTGTACACACACACACACACACACACACACATGCATTCTTATTGGGAGCAAGTCCAGAGGACACCCCCGTCACCCAGGCTGCAAGAACCACTTGGTGAGGGAACCTGCGTCTTTACAGAGCTCTGTGGTGGCTGTCCTCTGTAGCCCTAAAGTGACAAGAGAAACTGCTGCCACTGAGCTGGGTCCTCCAAAATGGTGGCACTTACTAGCCAAGGCCAAGGTCAGCGCAGACTCCCACCCGGCAGCAGAGCTGGGGCCGTCATCAGATTCGTCTGAGCCTCAGAGACGTGTGACACTGGCCGGTGGATCCCGGTGAGCCCAGGACTGAACAGACAAGCAGCCACCTGAAGCCACATTTGATTTCGGCACACACGGAACCGCTCTAGGTCTGGTGGACAAAATTCCGACGTCAGTCATCACGAGAACAGGGCGTCGTCCCCAGGACACTCCCAAGCTTCAGCCAGTTAACAGTCCAAACCCTTGGAGGAAAGGAGGGCCCCGTCCCTTGGAGGAAGGGCCCTGCCACGCAGCCAAACCGTACCCTGTAACCTGGCCTCTTCCCTCCGGCCATCCCCAAAGGGGTCTGCAGCTGTTCCGCAGGAAGAAGAAACAATCAGGCTTTCCGGAGATGACTGGACATTTGCTCCAAATGGACACTCATTCCTAGAGATCCATTAATAAAAGGCCACTGTGGTTCATTGGCCAGACTAGGAGCTTACAGGGTCGGTCGGGTGTGTGTGTGTGTGTGTGTCAAAGTATTAACAGTTTTTCCCCAGGGTCCATCTTACAGTGGGCCCAGCACACCCCCAAGTCTGCCCTGTGGTGATTCCCCAGTTCCAGGATGCATAACCGGATCAGTACACTCAGCAACTGGCAGAACGCTGCAGAAACGGAGTTGCTGGGTCACGTGGTATATGCGCACCTTCAGCTCTAGCAGACAACACCACAGTTCCCCAAAGTTTAACAGTTGTGCCCGTTGATGTTCCCGTCACCAGCATACGAAAGTTATGGTTGCTCCACACACAGTATTTAGTGTTATCTACTTACGTTTTCATTTCGGCCCTTCTGATCTGTGTGCAGAGGTTTTAATTTGCTTTCCCCTGACGGTTAATGAAATTAGCACTTTTCATGTTTACGGATAATGTGGAATGCCTTTCGTGAAATGCCTATTCAAATATTTTGCCCATTTTTCTATTGGATTGTCTTTTTCTTATTGATATGTAGGAGCTCTTTATTCCAAATATAAGTCCTGTGTCAGATATATCTCTACACAAAATACATTCTCCCACTTTGTGAGTTGCCTTCTCTCTTCCTTAATGTCTTCTTTTTTTAAGTATGGAACACTTCACAAATTTGTATGTTACCCTTGTGCAAAGGGCATGCTAATCTTCATTGTGTCATTCCAATTTTAGTATATGTGCTGCCGAAGCTAGCACTTAACGTTGTCTTTTAATGAACAGGAATTACTATTGTTAACATAGTTGAATTTGGTAATAATTTCCTTTATTGTTAACACATTTTTTGAATTGGTTAAGACACATTTGCCAACCCTGAAGATAGTCTGTTTCCTTCTATAAGCTCTCTCGTTTTACCCTTCATATTTAGATCTATAATCCATCTAAAATTGGCTTTTGTGTAAGAAATGAGATATGCTGATCAAGATTTTTTTCCTACACAGATTTCTGATTGACCCAGCACCATTACTTTAACAAGACATTTTTTTCCCTACCACACTCTAACATCTTTTTTTCATAAATCAGGACCTGGATACATGGGGGTCTGGTTCTGGTCTCTTTATTGTGTTTGCCATCAGTTTGCCATTCTTGCACAAACACCACACTGTCTTAGCTACAGCAGCTTTAAAATATAATTTGATATTTGATAGTGTAAGTTTTTCAGCTTTATTCTTCTTTCAGATTGCAATCTTGGCGATTGTCAGCCATTTGCATTTGCAAGTAAATTAGAAAATCAATTTGTCAATTTCCACCAAAAATCCTGCTGGGGCTTTGACTGGGTTTGCATTGATTACATACATCAAATTGAGAAGAATTGATATCTTTAAAGCAGTGAGTCCTCCTATCAATGAACATATTATGACCTCCGTTTGTGTAGACCTCCTTTCATTGTTATATTAGTAGCTGTTGTATTTGTTTTCAGTGTAGAGGTCTTTCTTACACATCTTTTAATACATATTCATAAAACCTGCATGATAAAGGTTGTTTAGATCTTCGATAGCAGTACTATACAATGGAAATATAATACAAGCCATAAATGTGACTTTACATTTTCTAGTAGCCATATTAAAGGAGTAAGAAGAAACATGTGGAATTAATTTTAATGTTAACACAATTATCTTCAAAGTATTTTTTAAAAATGTAATTAACATAAAAATATTGAGATATTTTACATTTTTAAAATACTAAGTCTTCAACATCCACTGTTCATTTTACCATTAAAGCACATTTCAATTTAGATTAGCTACATTTCAAGTGCTGAATAGCCACATGTGGCTAGTGGCAACCATACTGGACAGCACAGTTCTATAGCCTTAGTTTTTTTTTTTTTTGTTTTTTTTTGCCCACTTGACCCAGGTGTACTGAGAGTAGTGTATTGAAGTCCCCTATTATTAGTGGGTTTCTATCTATTTCTTCTTGCATTTCTTGTAGTCTCTGCTTTATACAGACGATGTTTGTGTTATTTAGTGTGTGGAGAGCTGTGAATGTTACATCTTCATTGTGCACTGTGGCATTTGCCATCATACATTGAATTCCTTTGTCTTGTTTCAATGCCTTTGGGCCTGAGTTTCACTCTCTGGGAACAGGAACATAACTCTTGCTTCCTTACTGCTTCCATTTTCTTGGCAAATCTTTTTCCAGGTCTTTATTTTCAGCCTGTTTACTCATTGTGTTTTATTCCACACAGCATAAAATTAGGTTTTGCTTTTAAACTCAATAGGAAAATTTTTTAATAGGCAAAAGTTAAGCCCATTGACATTTATAGATATGACTCATATATTTGGTTCCAACATTGCCATAATTATTATATTACAGTCTATTCCTCTACTTGGTGGGTCTTAACTTATTTATTTTTCAGTTATTTTGATATTTAGGAAGGTTGTATTTTTGTTACAGTTATTTCCATCTTTCCTCATCTTTAAAGTCTGATAGTTTTATTAGAATATGTCTTGAAGTTGACATCATTCTAGGTCAATTTTCCCAGCCACCTAGTGTTTTTTTGCTATGGTTCCTCAATGCCTTTATTAAATTTTCATTTGAATCTATTCTCCCTTTGACATCTTATAATTTATTCTCCCTTTTTAATATGATTCTATCATCTTCTTCTATTCCTCCCATGAATGGATTCAACCCTTTCTTTTGCTTTTGGTTCAATTCTGTTATTTTTTAAATTTCTGATTTAAAGCTACTGAACCCCCGATAACAAACAATTATACTTATTTTCTTTTAGGTTTCTGCATCAAAATTTTCTACATCAAGCCAATTAAGTATAAAGGTTCTATCAAGAAGGGAGAGAAACTGGGAACTCTATTGCCCTTGCAGAAAGTTTACCCTGGCATACAATCACACATACACATTGAGAACTGTGACTTAAGTGATCCTACTGCATACCTGTAAACGGAAGACAAAGGACCACCTCTTCTAAGTAGAAAGTCGTCTTCTTAAAAACCTGGATGCATATCCTGCTTTTCAAGAAATTTGTGTTCAAATAGAAACGTGATAAATGCAAAAAATAAAACAGTATTTCGATTTCAATTCATTGTCTCTTTGATATTTGGATATGAACTATTTCTTGGGGCTGATTTTTCTGTCACCTGTGGGATCTGGGGTGGTTTTGCTTTTTAGATTTTTTGGTCCTGAAGACTTAGGGATAAATAAACAAGTGAATATTCAAGCTGAACCAGGCTGCATTTTTTTTCTTTTCTTTTTTATTTTTTTTGAGACAGAATCTCACTCTGTTGCCTGGGCTAGAGTGCCGTGGCGTCACCCTAGCTCACAGCAACCTCAGACTCCTGGGCTCAAGCAATCCTCCTGCCTTAGCCTCCCAAGTAGCTGGGATTACAGGCATGCACCACCATGCCCGGCTAATTTTTTTCTGTATATTTTTAGTTGGCCAATTAATTTCTTTCTATTTTTAGTAGAGACAGGGTCTCGCCCTTGCTCAGGCTGGTTTTGAACTCCTGATCTTGAGCGATCCACCCACCTCAGCATCCGAGAGTGCTAGGATTACAGGTGTGAGCCACCAAGCCCGGCCCAGGCTGCATTTTTGACAACTCTTAAACTAGCCTACCTTTATTCTTGGAAATAAAAAGCCTGAAGGTGTTTCTATGGTATAAGAATGGAGAGGGGTTTACGATTCTGGATGTAGTATCCACTTAATAAATAATTGTTCAATAAATTGGAGACTACTTTTTTTTTTTTTTTTTTTTTGAGACAGAGTCTCGGTTTGTTGTCCAGGCTAGAGTGAGTGCCGTGGCGTCAGCCTAGCTCACAGCAACCTCAAACTCCTGGGCTCGAGCGATCCTTCTGCCTCAGCCTCCCGAGTAGCTGGGACTACAGGCATGGGCCACCATGCCCGGCTAAATTTTTATATATATATATCAGTTGGCCAATTGATTTCTTTCTATTTATAGTAGAGACGGGGTCTCGCTCTTGCTCAGGCTGGTTTTGAACTCCTGACCTTGAGCAATCCGCCCGCCTCGGCCTCCCAAGAGCTAGGATTACAGGCGTGAGCCACCACGCCCGGCCTAAATTGGAGACTACTTTTGAGTTAAGGTGGTGAAGGCTCTCAGCAAATTCCTTAGGTTTGTTAAATTGGTTGGAAGGAGAGCCGCTTTCAAGGATAAGAAAGGATTTGCTGGTCTTTCCATCCATACTTCCCTATGCTCTATAAGAATAACGGGTTTCCTAGGTAATGAATCATGGCAGTTTAAGAAAACATATTCTAGATTTCAGGGAGGCTGCATTCCAGGAAGTACTAGAATGAGAAACAGGTCTATCTTTATCTGAAATATTTCATGAAACTGGGTCAGTTGGTCTCGTCTAGCCATACGCATGTTACGGCTACGTATTCATACACATCACTATATATCTATATATTATTCTGTCTTAGTTATGTTGGCAACAGATACTAAGAGGAAACAAGACCATACAAACGTTCAAAGAACCAGAAATAATTCTGGCTCCCTAGATTTTAGTCAGACTAAAAGTAAGGAATGAATAAGTTGAATTAATCACCCTGGAAACTTTCTTCATAAATTTTTGCTCAAATTCTTCTGAAATGTAGAAAACTTCAGTAGAATGACTCCATTCTTATGTGTAGCTGTGTTAGAGAAAAACATCATTAATTGAACTTTATTATTAGAGAAATGGCTGTACTTACACACCAGGACATATGTATAAGAATGTTCAGGATATCACTATTTGTCATAGCAAAACCTAGTACAACCTAAATGCCCTTCAACAGTGAAATGGAGACATAAATTGTGTTAAAGTTATAGAATGGAATATTATACAGCAGTCATGATAAACGAACCTCAGTTGAACATCATCAAATGGATGAATCATAGCAACACAGTTTTAACAAAAGTCCAAAAGATAACATAAAGCATGATATTCTTTTTATAAAGTCAAAACAATTAAAATCCAAACAATATGTATTTTCAAGAATACATATATAATAAATTACATAAAAAGGAAAGCAATGAAACAAGGAATACTAGTTACTTCATGACTGGATAGGGAAGGATCACATAGAACGGTTTAAGTTACTATCAATGCTGTAGCTTTATAGTTTGGAGTCGATTTCATGGGTATTTATTATTATGAATAATATGTTATAGAGGCAACAGGACTTGCACGTGGGTAGCCAGGAAGAAAGTTAATGATGGTTCTCAGTTGAGAGTCTATGTCACACAATTAGCACTTCTCATACCTAGTTAGATACTATTCTCTACTGTGTCGCGACATCTCCCACACAACTAGCAAGTTGAGAATTCTTCTTTTGGTTTTTTAAAAAAATGATATCTAGCACTGTCTGATTTGATTATCTCCATCATGCATCTCCTTGATACCACAGATCTCAGGTTGTTTCCAATACTTGAATTTGCTTTCAAAAGATAAAGGCTGTGTTCCCATTTGGACCACACACACACACACACACAAAAAAGGAAATGGCATACCAGCTTGAAAGGCAATGTCAAAAGGAGCTCTAAAATATTTGTACAATGAAATCCATGCTTAGCATCCCAAATAACCTTCTGAAGTGATTATTTAGGAAGCAAAGCAGAGCTGGAGATGGATATTGTTTCAAAAACCAGACTCATTACCTGGAATGAAGAGCTTCCCCAAGGCAGAATGAGAACGTCGTTTTCTGCTTGGCATTCTCCTGTCTGCATAACGGACGTGCAAACTTCAGACCCAAAGATCTCTTTCTCAGGAAGAGCTGGAATACAGCGCCCTCTGGTGCATTATAAAAGAGTGGTTTTTTTTCCTCCTCATCTTTTAAGTTTGGATGTCACAACATTAAACTGAAGTCGAAATATTATTAACATAAATGTTCGAATGACAGAAGAGTAATCGTACTGAGTAACTTACTTTTCCTTAGTAAGTTATTATAAGATATACTTCAAAAACTGTGGTATCAGATAATCTGTCAGGTTTGATAGCTATAAATTAATGTGAATAATATCAATTTTTAGTCTGAAAATGTTTTATGTGCAGGAAATTAATTTAATAGGAGAAGAGAAGTAGCCCATTTAAGAGGCCAGGCCTACAGAGGGAAGAATGCTCATATCCATTTGACATTTATCATACTTAGTGGCGCACTGACAGCAATACACACACACTTAAAAATCAGCTTTGCTTCCTGACTTCTTTCTTTCACGTTTTGTACAACACAAACGAAGCCAGCAAAGCTCATAAGGAAGAAAACTCAGAAAAATCTGAGACTTCTATTTTTGTGTTTCTTCAGTACAACCTACAAAAGGACCTTTCCCCCATTCTCTCCATTTACTTTTTGCCCATAAAATTATCCAAACTTTTCCAGAATCCACTAACAAATGCAAGCAAATATTTTTAACATGAACGAGTTTGCTTACAGAACTAAACATTTTTCAAAGACAAAAGTTTGAAATCCATCTAATATCTAACTATCAAGAATCCTCTAATCTTAAACAATACTTTTCCTAGACTTCCAAAGTAAATAGAGACATTTTCATTAGATGAAGCATTACAAATACTAGATGTATTAAAAAATGTTTATATTAAAAATATAAGAAAATATGTGTTTTCTTGTTTTGGGCTGTCTTAAAAATGTTTTGCTCTTCCATTTATGAATCCAGGAAGTCAGACCAACCAGGTTAATTTACATGAGTTAAGGAACCTAGATGACTCTGAGTTTTGCTCTAAGATTCGTTACAGTGCTTAGTTCACTAGGCTCAACTCCCGAGCCACTAAAAAGCAGTTTAGAGCATCAGCTTCTCATTTCATATAGACAAGGCCACTGGCACTCATCATATCTCTGTGCTAGTAGGCTGGGGGGAGAAACTCCCCGGACCTCTCTCCTCTAGTCTCTGTTTTGCTCCAGTATCCTCAATGCAAACGCTACTGGCAACCTGTCGCCTTACCATGCAGGCATGCACACCCCACCTCAGCCATGCACACCCCACTCCAGGCATGCACACCCCACCTCAGCCATGCACACTCCACTCCAGGCATGCACACCCCACCTCAGCCATGCACACCCCCACTCCAGGCATGCACACCCCACCCCAGCCATGCACACCCCCACTCCAAGTATGCACACCCCACCCCAGCCATGCACACCCCTACTCCAGGTATGCACACCCCACCCCAGCCATGCACACCCCCACTCCAGGTATGCACACCCCACCCCAGCCATGCACACCCAACCCCAGGCATGCACACCCCACCCCAGGCATGCACACCCCCACCCCAGCATGACACCACGCCAGCATGCACAGATCGCTTTCTACAGCGTATCATGGTAACACCAGAGTCACAGCCCTTCAGAACTCCCACTGTTACTCTGACTCCCTGCTCCACCTCAGTCAAGCCAGTTCTTTCTGTTGGTATCTTTATCCATATCATTTATATATTTTTTTTTTTTTGAGACAGAGTATCGCTTTGTTGCCCGGCTAGAGTGAGTGCCATGGGTCAGCCTAGCTCACAGCAACCTCAAACTCCTGACTCGAGCAATCCTGCTGCTCAGCCTCCCGAGTAGCTGGACTACAGGCATGCACCATGCCCGCTAATTTCTTCTATGTAGTTTTTAGTTGCACATTAAATTTCTTCTTATTTGTAGTAGACGACGGTGTCTCGCTCTTGCTCAGGCTGGTCTTGAACCCCTGACCTTGAGTGATCCACCTGCCTCAGCCTCCCAGAGTGCCTAATCATATTTTAAGTTCCCTCTTACACGCTGCTTCTGTATCCTCCTGAAATCTTAAAAGTATGAATGATATGATCTGTAATAGTAATAACTCAGCTTTCAAGAAATTGCTTTTTTTTTAACCATTAATGTCAGCTCCGCTAGCATGGATTACTGATGTAGCTTATACTGTTCTGAGAGTGAGGAACACAAAGGTGAAAGTGGGATGCCTTACAGGGCTCACAGTGAGAAAGAGGGGGCGCAGTGGCGAGAATGCATGCAAAACACAGTCTAAATAAAGGGACTGAAAGTGCTACTTTTAAAAAACCACTTACCAATCACAATGTATTCTAATTGCTTAATAGCTGAAATAAAAAAACTAGAAAATAATGAACATATTTCATTTCATTTTCTTTTTTTTTTTTTAAGTTTAATTGGTTTCTTAGAAATTTAAGATATTGCGGGGAGGACTTGGGGAGACAAGTTTGAAAAACAAGAGTACTGAAGTAAAATGTACCGAGTGTCTACTGTATGCTAGCAAACCAGCATGCCGGATGCTGGGATACATACAACAGCGAGCAAAGACCAGCAGTGACCTTGCACGGACGGAGCTCACAGCGCGGTGGAGAAACAGGTAACGGACCAATAAATGACAAATCACAACAGTGGTAAGTGCCACAGAGTGCCGAGGATCCGTGCAACAGGGACCTGATCTATGAGTGGGGAAGGAGCCAGGTGTCAAGGAAGGCCTCCATGAGGACTGACAGAGAGAGGAAAGACCTGAGGGAGCAGAGAGTGAGTCAGGTGGAGAGAAGAGCACGTGAGAAGGCCTTGTGACTACAGGGTGCAGGGCAGCTCTGGGGAACTGAGAAATTGTGGGTACAGAAGAGGACTGAGCGTGGTGGCTCACGCCTGTAATCCCAGCTCTCTGGGAGGCTGAGGCGGGAGGATCGTTCAAGGTCAGGAGTTCAAAACCAGCCTGAGCAAGAGTGAGACCCCGTCTCTACTATAAATAGAAAGAAATTAATTGGCCAACTAGAAATATATAGAAAAAAATGAGCCAGGCATGGTGGCGCATGCCTGTAGTCCCAGCTACTCGGGAGGCTGAGGCAGAAGGATTGCTTGAGCCCAGGAGTTTGATGTTGCTGTGAGTTAGGCTGACGCCACGGCACTCTATCGCTGAGACTCTGTCTCAAAATAATAATAATAATAAAAGAAGGACTGTGGGCAGCTTGGTAGAAATGAGGCTGAGGAAGCAGGGAGGGGCCAGACCTTGTGGGTCATTTGAAGGATATGTCTTCATCCTAAAGACAAAAGGCAGCCACTGAAGAGCTCTCCCTGTGTCACTAGTTCAATGATAAGATCACTTACGCAAGGGACTCAACACAGTCCCAGATCCCCAGCAGAAGGCCAATGAATGCTGAATCCCCCCCAAAACATCCTGTGAAATTTACCTGGTGTATTTAATCAATTTACAATCACAATGAGTATCTTTTTTCTTTTCATATAAGTACCTTTGTAAAATGAATTAGTATTTAAAAATTTTTTTTTTTTTTTGAGACAGAGTCTCACTTTTGTTGCCCAGGCTAGAGTGAGTGCCATGGCGTCAGCCTAGCTCACAGCAACCTCAAACTCCTGGGCTCAAGCGATCCTCCTGCCTCAGCCTCCCAAGTAGCTGGGACTACAGGCATGCATCACTATGCCCGGCTAATTTTTTGTATATATATTTTTAGTTGGTCAATTAATTTCTTTCTATTTTTAGTAGAGACGGGGTCTCTCTCAGGATGGTTTCGAACTCCCAACCTCGAGCAATCCGCCCGCCTCGACCTCCCAGAGTGCTAGGATTACAGGCGTGAGCCACCGCGCCCGGCCTAAAATTTTAATCTCATGCCCATTATCTCCCAGGTTAATATAATAGAGTAGAATGTAAAGGACACTGGAAATTAGGAGTTATTTATTCAATCATAAGATGATCTTATATAACGTTAAAAATTTTGTGATTAAGTAAATCTGTCTCTGTGCCTTGATTTTACACTTAGTTTTTAATACTACGTATGTTATAAAATATATTGATATCAAGATAAAACAGAAGCAATGAAAACAATCTAACACGGTAAATGATAAAACTTAAGGGATCCCAGTTCAGTACTACACATTTATTTTGCAAGCTAAAGTACGCCTTCGAGGAAGGCTGAGGAATCTGCTTAGAAACCATCTGCAGTTTTTGGCATCTCAACCATTTCGTCCACACACAGTGCCTGGGCCCTGTTTTTAGAGATTTCCACGGCTTTTCACATTTCCTGTATTTTTTTCAAATGTTTCTGCAGCAGCAATCCATTAAAAGACAGTAAATGGTAAAATGAAAAAATATTTGACTTAAGATATTTCAGCAATGCATCTTGAAAATTTAAATTTGCATAGGCAGATAGCAGCTAAGTTTACTAATACTATAAAAAGAAAAGTTCAGAATCTTTGGTAGCCGATTACCAGATAGGCATCACATCAGGAAACCATACTCTCCCCAGGTATTTGGAGACTTCCGTGTGGACTTCATCGAGGCTATAATCTTCATCAGGGATCAAAACTTCCTCCATTACGGAGAGCTGGGTCAGCCTTTTCCCACACAGTCTCACAATCTCAAGGAACGCGCCGCAGCTGACTTCACACTCGCTCAGGCCCAAGGCCGCTAAGTTCTTGCAGCGTTCAGCAATGCAGACAAGTTCATCGTCCAGCCGCTGCAGGCCACCGGCACAGACCACCAGCTCGATTAACCGTGGACAGTTCAGACCTATCCGCCCTAGCACGGCTTTGCTTACGGAACGACTAAAATAAAGATGAGTAACAGGGGTTTCTTCTCTGAAGAACGTTTCGAATTCCTCTTCATATAAGAAGAAGTACATGACAACGTTCACTCTAGGCGAGTGTTTAATGAGCGCATCCCAGCTGTGTTTGTGAATGGCATGGAATTCAATCTGTCCGGGGTTTTCACTCACGACATCAATCCGAAGGTGTTCGAGGTTAACGTGAGTCTCACTTGAAAGTGCCAGGAGCAGCTCGTCACTCAGAATATAGTAATTCAGCGCCAGCTCTCTGAGGCCTTGACAGTGATCAGCTACACAAAGTATTCCTGCGGAAAATTGAGGAAACGTCTTAAGAATAATCATACTGCTACCAATACAATATTCCGTAAATTTAAATTTGATGTTAGTTATTATTTGCTTAAATAACTATCTAGTTATTTCTGACAAGATGGTTGCCAAGACATATATAATTATATATAATAAAAAGTATGTGTAAATACTCTCATGAGAAACCATTTATTATTTTTATTTTTTTTAATGAGAAACCATTTAAACTATATCTAGCTTGCAGATTAAGAATTCTTTTGAAAAAAATTACTGTGATGATTTATGTTTCATAAGTACGCAATTTTAAAAAAGAAATTATGGCCAGGCACAGTGGCTCACGTCTGCAATTCTAGCACTCTGGGAGGCCGAGATGGGAGGATCTTCAAGGTCAGGAGTTCAAAATCAGCCTGAGCAAGAGTGAGACACCATCTCTACTAAAAATAGAAAGAAATTAATTGGCCAACTAAAAATATATATAGAAAAAATCAGCCAGGTATGGTGGCGCATGCCTGTAGTCCCAGCTACTCGGGAGGCTGAGGCAGGAGGATTGCTTGAACCCAGGAGTGTGAGGTTGCTGTGAGCTAGGCTGATGCCACAGTGCTCTAGCCCTGGTAACAGAGTAAGACTCTGTCTCAAAAAAAAAAAAAAAAAAAAAGAAATTACATTATTACTATTATTGTAACAAAAAATCATTCAAGCCTTAAAAAATAAAACCTACCATCAGATGAAACATGAGGACAGCTGCTCATTTTTAGGAGCTTTAGCGTGTCACTATTATTGGCCACAAGAATCTTCAATGAAGGGTCATCCACTGGCGTGTCTTCAATTTTGATTGAGGATAATGATTTTGAGTTGACAAAAACAACTGTAAGTGCTGACACAAAATGAGACTTGCATGGCAATAAGAAAAAAATTATGAAAACATTATTTAAAAATGTACAGCTTTAACCAAATAGTTCATTAAGTCAATTTGTATCAACACGTGCTAATAAAAGCATAACAAGAGCAATTAACATACTACTGTTTTCACAGAACCAGGAGCCAATAGAAGGCATTTTTATAACAAAGAATAGTTTTACACTTTTATCATTGATAAATGAAACAATAATAAAGGAAAAAGTTTCAAAGATTTCATAAAAACATGGCTTCTAATTATTTCAATGTTAAGGAATTGATTTTTAATATTAAAAGGATAAGACTACCGTATATGTGTCTCCTTGATCAGGGGTTGGCAAAATTACAAACCATTGGCTGAATCTGACCCACAGTCTGTTTCTGTATGCCTCCCAACCTAAGAGTGGTTGTACGTTTTTAAATGGTTGAAAAAAAATTTTAAGGAATAATATTTTGTGACATGTGAAAATTACATGAAACTCAAATTTCAGTGTCCATAAATGAGGTTTGATTGGAAACAGTTGGGCCCCTTTATTTGTGTGCCGTCTACGTCTGCTTTCACACGGCAGCGCCAGAGTCGAGGAGCTGCAGTGGGGCCACATGGCGCTCAAAGCCTGAAGCAGTTACTATCTGCACCTTCTCACCTCTGCCCTAGAAGAAATACAATTTTTAATTTGTTTATTGGCTCTTGTATCTCCAGTAGCTAAAATAGTATCTGGCACACAGTAGATAGTGAATAAATATTTGTTGAATGAATAAATGAATAAAAATATGTCACAATCTTCAGTGGAACGCTTTTCCTGGCAAATTATCCAAAGTAGATGCTAATCTTTATGTGCCTCGAAGACTGACAAACTAAAGCTTATTTACAGTTTGACTTCAACATGAGTAGGATTTCACAAGTTTTCAGAGCCAGTTATTTTTCGGCAAAGATAGGAAGTATAGAAACCAAATCCACTCATAATCACTCTTCCTTTTTCAAAATCAATTTGGATTCCACCAAAGGTTCTATGAGAATGACCCAATTGATTAGAAATGTGAATGAACTTATAAGAAAATTCATTGATATAGACTAATTGTAAACTGGTTTTTTAAATGGTGGAGGGCTAGACCTCTAAACCAAATTTGATGGAGCCAAAACTATTAGAGACATATAAATACAAGGTTTATTTTCCCTTTAATCAATTCTCAATTGACTGTGTTAGTCCTGAAGGACAAATCTAAACATATTTCATTATAATAGCGATATATTTTTAGCACTTTTAACGCTTAGCGAGATACTGTACTTTTATCCTATTTTTCCTCAGTTTACAAATGAAAATACTGAGACTCAGAGAGATCCACAAACCTTGCCAAAAGACACGAAGCTCATTTTAAATGGTGGAGGCAGAGCTTGAAATGATGCTTGCTAATTCCTGGTCCCTAGCTCTGGTGACCGCATCCGCTGGCCTAGAAGCTGGCATGCAGCATCAGAGATAACTTGCAGAATCTAAGAATTGCAGGCCAATCTAATTCTATAGCTCACAGACAGGGAAATAACTCTTTAGAAGTAGTTAAGTTTTCATCTGATTACTTATGTTACTCTAATCCTCAAATGACCCATTTTTTTTTCAGTGTATCTCTTTAAAAGATAAACAGGCAGGCAGCAACACCGGCTAAAAGAGAGCCATGACCCAGTTTACGAGAGATGCTGCTGCTATTCCTTTCTCCTCTTCCATACGGAAGTTTCCATTATTAGCCAGTTTGGCCGACAACCGTAATTCAGTGCTTATCATACACATCAGGCACTATTCTGATTCTGGGTTTACCATGGTAAATAAAATGGGCAGAATCTATACCTTCCATGAGTTTATGTTTTGATGTAGAGTGGAGGAAGAGAATAAACATGTTAAATAAATAAACAAGGTGGTTTCAAGTGCCAATGAATGATATAAAGAAGATAAAATAATGCAACACAGTAGGGTAACTGCAGGAAGAAGCGTTGTTTTAGCAAAAGTGGTTGAGGACATGGCATTCAAGTTGAGGCATTAATGCAGAGAAACGGTCATTAGTTTCTGTGGCAGAAACTGCCGGTTGCTTCCTAACATCCGTTCATTCTTCTTTGGTAATCCAGTCCCAATGTTTAGCCGGGGACAATGCCACCCAGCTAAAGGATCTCTCACCTTAGACAATGAAGAAAACACCTTGGAAAGATTGGAGCGGCTGGAAGGAGTCTAGGTTCCTAACAACTTCATACTAGCTATGGACTGTCTCACCTATGGATTTCTTTAATGAAAAGGAATGAACTTCAATCACGTATTTTAAGCCACTGTTGTTTCGGAGTTTCTACTACATAAACCCAAATACCATTCTAACTAGTAAATAGTTTATTTAATTGAATGTCATATTGTTCTACCTCCAATGGAGAGGCTACAGAATTATAGGAAAAACATCCAGTATTGCCTGGACAGGCTCTATATTCAAAGTAACTATTAATACATAAACCAACACTTGAAACTAATAAGCAAAAAAAACCCTAAGTTTTATATTAGTGACACCTACTGTGGAAATGATTACTAAAATTACAACATGGATCTGAAGAATGAAAACACACATAAACTATTTTTTGCAAAAGTTAAGTGCTAGTTAACGGAAAACTGCTTTAAATAATACTTTGACTACAAGTAGGACATAATCTCTCTTTAGGAAAAGAATAGTTTTTGCTTAGTTTGGCAGTATTTAGGATTTTAGTATAGCTCACAGTCAGGCATGGTATTCTTACCTTTGACATGTTCATGAAACTTGGCTTGGCTGTGGAAATCAAGCCCAAGGTCTGGATAGAACAATTTACCAGCTGAGAAAGTATATCACAGGCAGCTTCTGCTGACTCTGTGCTACTATCAACCTGTAAAGGTAATTTTTAATCTTAAATAACTTCCTGAAAATAATTTATCTAAAGTTACTAGCAATACAATTATTTAATTGTTTATTTAATTAATTAATTAACAGAATTCAATTGCAAACTTTTATTTATACCTTCAAGCTATAATATAAATGAGTGTTTTTTTCTTTAGACAAAATGTCTCAGACTCTAAAGTGAAAAACAGATGACAAAATAACTTTCCAAGCACTTCATCCTTTCAAGTCTTCTACAGTTACCTGAAGGGAAATGGAATCTGAAGGTATTCAATTACAGCTCAAGTTCTACACCCCAATCTACACAAATAACTACAGAAAAACAGGAAACCATTTTGGGATAACAACGCTGCAAAATTCATTGACTGACTCAAAATAAGGATCTCGATAACCAAATATGTTGTTAACAAAACAGAAGTCATTGCTCCTACTTAATGCTTATTTTTCTTACCTTAAAGCTGACATACTGGAGATGGGCAGCATGCTTTTTAATAATCTGCTGAATGAGATCAGGATGAGTGGACTTAAAATAGGAAGTAGCTGACTGGTTCAGCTCAAATTCAAACTTTCTCCAAAGGTCGGGGATGTGAAATACTTCATTCCATCTCCTGCACACAGAAGATGCACGGGCCCGATCTATCAAAGGAAGATACTGAAAAACCTGTAACAGCACATGGTGAGGCAAACTCTCCCAGTCTAGACCAGCGTGCATGTGAGTCTGGTTGAGAGAAGAGTAGAACCCCAGTTTTGGCTGTTTTGCTGTGGGCGAAGACTGAACAATTTTATTCACCACAGAGAAATTCTTCCTCTTCATTCTGTAAACATTAAAAAATGTTACGTGATCATTTTTTTCAGACTCTAATTGTATAAAATAACATTTGAACATGAAAAGCAGTTTAACTGATACAATGTTAGTAGTAATCTTCCACTTTCCTGCACTGATAGGTGCTGCTTTGTGCTAGGAATGCAGAGATAAATAAGTGTGAACCTGTTCTCAATGAGCTATGGTCTAATGGCGAAATATAGCGACAAATGCTAGGATGTCATTTGGGACAAGTCTTAGTGGAAGAAAAAGAAGACGGAATTTGATTGAGTTTGCACATGGAAGAGTCAGGTGGGAAGCTTCCAAGGGGAAATGTCCAAGGAACCAGTGTACGTCCCAGGCTGTTTGTTTCAGAGACAGAGTCTCACTCTGTTGCTCAGGCTAGAGTGCCAGGGCATCAGCCTCGCTCACAGCCCCACGTCAAACTCCTGGGCTCAAGCGATCCTTCTGCCTCAGCCTCCAGAGTAGCTGAGACTACAGGCATAAGCCACCATGCCCAGTTAATTTTTTTAAATACATATATATTTTTAGTTGTCCAGCTAATTTCTTTCTATTTTTTAGTAGAGATGGCATCTTGCTCTTGCTCAGGCTGGTCTTGAACTTCTGACCTTGAGCAATCTTCCTAGAGTGCTAGGATTATAGGTGTGAGCCACCGTGCCTGGCCATTATCCTAGGTTTTTTCATGGTTAATTAATGTATATAGTATTATTTCCTACACAAGAGAAAGCATCACTTTTTAATTGTGCTGAGAACTCTTGGGAGACAGTAAAACACAATTAAAAACATAGGTATGGATAAATCTCATCCCTGTCACTTACTACCTGTATAATCTTGTCGGAGCAAATTGAGTTTCCTCATCTGTAAAGCAGAGATGAAAGCAGTACCTATCTCACAAGGTCGTCATGAGGACTAAAGTACTTTAAGTGCCAACGCATAGTAAGTACTTAATAGATGCTGTATTGCTGTATTAAATTGTCCAATGCAGTTTTTTTTTTTTTAACTATTCTCATTACTTAAGTCAAAGCACAATTCTAACAAAAACTCAAATGATTTGCAACCATTTTAGGATGACAGCCTGGACACAGGAGCTCTAGAGAGTCTGGACATGGCAGGGACAAAGTCCTTGGGCAAGTAACACACCTGATCCTCTCCAGTTAAAGTAAAACAGCAAAGTAAGACGCGTTCTTCCCCTCCGAAAACAAGTAATGAATCTCCAGTATTAGCTAGCTTAGGACACAACTAAGTTCCAACAAATTTGAAGTTCAGATATATCCAAGTATACATGGTCATTATATATATATATATATATGTATGTATGTATATATATATATATATATATATATATGTATGTATGTATGTATATGTAAGAATCCAAAGTATTTTAAGTATACAATTATTTGAAAGGCAAAATAATGGGAACCGGGGTTCTGAACCTTAACTTTGGTTAACTATTTAACCCTCCTTTCACATTTTACTATCAGCAATACACACAGGGAAGATTCAGTGTCGTAAGTGAAACATACCTTCAAATCTAATGAAATACTTATTTAACATGTAAATGTCTCTGTTTTGTAATTCACTCTGTCTGATGTGAAACATTTCTTAACCACAACATAGAGTTGGATCCCAGAAGCAGGAATGACCTATAAAGTAACTGAACAAAATTAAAAGTCATCTTTAGGGTTTGGAAAACTGGAATGGAAAGGAAAAACAGTTGCAAAGTTGTAACTCACGCATCAGGCAAAAGAGCTACTGAAGATTATTTTAGTTTGACTAAAACATGTTTAACTTAGAACTTGTCAATCAATAAAATGTAGAATACATGAAACTACTGATCACCAATAATTCAAAGATAGGCTATTGTAAAAGGGCTGATCTACTCTTTAATGCTAATTCACTATAATGGTAAGGAATAGATGCTGGATTCTTAACTCAAATGGGAAGCACATTCATGGACATTTTGCTTCTAATCGTTTCATTTGGTAACCTACAAAATGGATCGTTAAAATTACACTGAGTTACTACAAAACAAATTAGCCCTAATAGAATCCTTCACTTTAAAAGCAGGGAAGCCAAACATAAAACAAAGATTTCACCCAAATCCTGAGTCAGAGAACTGCCTTACATTTCTAAACAAAGGAATTGTGCTGTATACTAAATTCCATTGTATATAACATGGATTGATTTAAATTATTTAGTAAACTTATTGAATAGCCAATTCACTGATAGCAGAATCACCATAAAGGATATTATATCAATACTAATAATTTACTAAAAATAACATTTTAAGTTTCTTTTTCCTAGTGTACATTAATTTTTACAGCATAAAACTCATTTGCAAATCAGAAGCTTCATATAAAATAATTTTATGGCTATGTGCATCATCATATATATCTTAGAATGTAAGACAAATTGATCTTCATTAGTTGAAACATGTTGATATAAACAGTCTAGCCTAAATATATGTGACCGTTTAAAAACTGATCATTTCTTTTTCAAGCCTTGTCTTACCTAAGGAAGGCTTCCAAGTTATAGGTCACTCTGAGCCAATGAAATGAAGAGACTGCTGCCGCGGGCTACTCACCAACACCCATTTGATTTCACCTCCTATCTTGGCAAAATACCACAAAAACACATTCATCAGAATATATAAATAAATACCCAATGCTTTTTAAAAAATTTTTTACAGCATACATGGGGGTACAAATGTTAAGGTTAACATCCAATGCTTTTTATGCTTAGGATATTTATATAACACTATATACACTGAAGGATTTTGTTAGGAAATTATTGATTTCAAAACTATTTTTTGTCCATAAAAAAATTAGCCTGGTTAGTGGAAATATTTCAACACTTGCCAGAAATAACACGTGAAGCTCTACCAAGGCTGTGGATCAAATAGTCAAAGGACTCTGACAGTTCATTTTAATTAACGAGTATAGAGAGATACTACAAAAAATTTAAGGTGGTTCATGACTACATTTATTTGTTTTTAGGCTGTGTAAACCTTTGAGTTTCAGTTTTTAGCAGCACATAACATCATTATAGTTATATTAATAATAGGCAGACCTATAACTTTTATTGTTTTATCATTTCTATGTGAATATGATTTAACTAGTCTGCTGTGAATAGAACATATGCTTCTGAAGTTTAAAATTTTTTCATTTATATTGTTAGAATTGGCATTGATTCATTCATACTCTCTCTGAGGTTTGACAAATTTCAGGCAAAGTTAGGAGCAAAATCTACAGACACAGAAGAAAATAATAACAGGTCTATACCAGAACAAAACTCATGAGCTTGGCATCATGAATACATGTTGTAAAACAAAAATAAATAAGGAAATACCTTCTACTACTTTGGTGGGCCAAACTCAACTGCAAAGAGGAGGTAAATGAAGCAACCTATTAATATGCTAAAAACTTCTCTGAAATCTCTACTGTCTAGCACCTGCCAGTTCTCAATTTATCTTTGAATCCCACCCCTAAAGTAAAACAGGGGAGGACATACCGGGGAAAGGTATCTGGGCTCAATAGCCATCATTTGGTCTCTCCACTGCCACCTGTTGTTCCACTGATACCAAACCACTGCTTTCCAGATAATGCCAAATTGGCTCTGCCCTCTCTACACTCCAGGAATAGGATAAAAGGATCTCTGGGGCACACTCTCAGAGCAACACCAAACAAGAGAAAGACAAACCACGTGGCTTGCATTCCCTGAATCAGATGACACACAATTCTATCTACCGCAGACACTTTTCTACTGAGTAATACATATGGCTAATTTCTGTGTCTATAGGCCATTCTTTATGCGAGAGGACAATGACATAATCTGGTCAGGGTATTAAGTAGGGACTTGCTACCTAAGGCTGATAAGAAGGTGGTACACAAGTAACCTGTCTCAATCATCTCATGGAAGTCTTCAGGATCAGAGGAATTACTTCCCTGGCTGCTGAAGGAACTTGATTGCTGTCTCAGAGTCATTATATGGAATTTTGAGGACCAGTGGAGGACAGAACCAGAATACAGGACACCATCAAGTGATAAGCCACACTTCCAAAAAGGGAGAAATGAGCAAGGTGGCCACTGATCTTCAGCACAATTCGAGTATGAAACAGGTTTATTTGCATTTAGCAAATAATTGATGATAACTCAAAGGTCACTTGGTGGCTTCACTAACCACCTTAATCCAAATTCCTTTTGTGATACGTTTCCTAGTTTGGTAGATCATGTGAATGGGATTCTCTGAAAGTATCTAAGAAATTGCCTACAGGATTCTTGAGGGCAAGATTATCAAAGACATTGGATGAAAGACTGATTGAACATCCAAAGCCAACTCAGTAACAGAAATGGAAGCAACTATCTTCCCCATCATCACCATGTTCTTCCACACTGGTTAAATGAATACACAGAATTTACTTTTAAAAGTTTCAAGTTTTCAATTGTCACGGCGATAGAAATAATATGTAAATACACAGATAACAGAATAAAGATGCAAGACTCTGAAAAGGCCAAACTTGTTACAAGCAGCCAGATGAATGAACAGAAATAATGATCAAATGTTCTTTTTCTGAATCTGCTTTCTAAAGCTGCACACTGAGAAATCAGGTTGCTGCTCCAGGCGGTGGCCCTGCCAGGGGTCTGGAATCCTAGTCCTTGGTGCAGTGGCAGAGGAAGCAGGCACAGCCTGACAGGTGGGCTGGAGATCTGCTCCAAAACACGGCTTCAAAACACACAAAAGAATCGGTTGTGCTTTCCACTAAATAAAATCCAAGCAGAGGACAAAACATAATTTGTCGGGGAGACTGTCCAAAAGGTTTATGTGCTTTGCAGCCCACGTGACTCGAAGTTCTAAATTTAAAACCTAGAGTTCTTTACAAATATCAAAATCAAATAAAAAATGATTTGGCTTCTTAATAAATGGGAGGTTATAGTACAGCCAAAGTGCAGGACACGCACACACAAAAATAAACTAAAAATATCCAGATTTCAACGAGACAAAAGATACGTATGTCAAACAAATCTTTTCTAAAGCAGTGGTTGCCACCTTTTTGGTAGCCTCACATTGTATCACTGGTTTAGCAATTTTCTAAACTCTCTCAAGTCCCTCTGTGGTATTAAGATGTATTTACATAAAAAGAAAACTTTTACTTTTAGGATAGCTCTGCTCATGTTTAAGTAAGCCCTATGAACTGAAGTTTTGAAAACACCTGTGGAATTGAAAATACCTTTCAAGAGCAAGGTGCGCGCCATAATCGGGCAACCTGTTAAAGTCCCTGAGTGGGGGCACCCGGGCCAGTAGTTTCCCGCCCCACGTTGTCCCCAAACTATCCTCAGTGCTCATCTTCAACAACAAATGCAGGCTTGGGAGAGGAGGCCAAGATGCATCCAAGCCTGCCTCCCTGTCCTCACCCTCCACAGGCGACCCGATGACGGAATCCAGCTAACCCAGGTCGGGGGCTCCGCGCTGCAGAAAACCCAACACGGTAAGAACCGACGCCCCGGGGCTGCCCGCGACGCAGACCGCCGCGCTCCAGGCCAAGCAAGCCGGGCGCCGTCGGGCCCAGGGGGGTCCCCGTCCTGAGGAGCGCTGCCCCCCGCCGCGCCACCCCAGCCGCGCGCCCCCCCCGCAGACGCTACCTGCAAAGGTAAAGCGCGGCTGGAGTCCTGCAGTCCCCGCGCCGTGCGAGAACGCCTGGAGACGCGCTCGAGTCAGCTGTGCGCGCCTGCGGGAGACGCGCCACCCGCACCGCTGACCGAGCTACTCGCGGCGACCCTCGGCCCGGCCCGCCCTCGCCTTCCCTCTCCCCCTCTCCGCCCAGCCTCCGCGCATGCGCCGGTTCTACCCGGGACCGCACTGGCTCGCCTCGCGCGCCTGGAGCCCCAAAGCCCCTCCAGGGTGGCGGTGGGGTTTCCGGGAGCCCGTCAGGTGCATGTGAAGGGTTCCTGCCTGCTGGTCTGCAATGAAGCCTGACTGCCGCCCCTGACACAGGTGGGTTCCTCCCAAGCAGGGGTAACTGACAGCTCCAGTTTCGGAACTAAACGCCCTGGACGCGCGCCCCTTGAGCAATGTCCTCACAGGTTGACCCCGGAGCAATCGGTTAGGACGTGACCCCTGCGCAGTGGAAAATCCAGCTCCTTCCACTAATGCTGACAGAACCCACCAATAACGAGCGGGATCGTGCACGTTTTGTATGTGACATGTGTTAGGTTTGTTCCAGGTGGAACTCGAAAATATGTAGGGCGGTAAATGCGGTTAATAAACAGTTGTAAACAGTAGCCGCAGGAGCCTGCAGAGTCCCCACGCTGTAAACTGACAGACAGCTGCAGCCAGCATTCCTGCCCCCCTGATAAGACGAAGCTATAACCCCTCCTTACCTCTACAGATGAGACTGACCCAGGCCCAGAAATTGGTGGTTTAAAAAAATTATATTGCAGCGGCTGTCTGGCCCAGGTTACATCCCCTCGACCTCCACCATCTGCACCGCATGCTCAAAATAAACACATTTGCACACATGAGGTTTCGTGTATGTCTCTCTCAGACCTAACAATATGTAACACACGCTGCATCTTACAATAAAGAAGCTAGAGGAAAGAAAGTGTTAGAACAAAGTGATAAGAAGAGACACTGTATTTACCATTCATTAAGTGAAAGTGAGCATCTCTAAAGGTCTTTGTCCTTCACAGTTGACAGAGACAAGGAGGGTTTGGTCTTGCTGTTTCAGGGCTGTCAAAGGCACACACAAGCCCCCTATACGTGGACTCTCCAGTTCTAAACAGAGATAAATTACTTTTCTCTAGTTGTTATTTTAAAAATCTGAGATCAAACTATACATAACATTCTAGAACCTCCCCTTTTGCCTACAATGTCACGGACATAGTTCCATGTAGATACACACAGATTGCTTCATACATTTTTTTACAAATAGATTTTTTGAGGTATTAACAAACTGCAGGCCAGGGCGGTGGCTCACGCCTGTAATCCTAGCTCTCTGGGAGGCTGAGGCGGGAGGATCACTCATGATCAGGAGTTCAAAACCAGCCTGAGCAAGAGTGAGACTCCATCTATACTAAAAATAGAAAGAACTTAATTGGCCAACTAAAAATACATAGAAAAAATCAGCCAGGCATGGTGGTGCATGCCTGTAGTCCCAGCTACTCGGGAGGCTGAGACAGAAGGATCACTTGAGCCCAGGAGTTTGAGGTTGCTGTGAGCTAGGCTGACACCATGGCACTCTAGCCAGGGCAACAGAGTGAGACTCTGTCTTAGGGGAAAAAAAACAAAAAACCCAACTGTACATAGTCACATACTTAAGGCATGTAATTTGATAAGTTTTGACATTCTTGAAACCATCACTGCAATCAAGATAATGAACACATACATAGCTCCCCAAAGTTTTCCCATGGCCCTCTGTAGGCCCTCCTTAAGCTCCTCTCCCTTCTGCTTCTGACCCTGTGGATTAATTTGCATTTCCTATTCTATAAATTGAGTCATACAGTTTGTGCCCTTTTTTTTTGGTCTGGCTTTTTGCACTAAGCATGATTGTTTTGAGATTCATCTATGTTGTATGTATCATGCTCATTTCTTCTTATTACTAAGTAGTATTCCACTGTCTGGGTATACCACAGATTGTTTATGCATTCACCTGATGATGGAAATTTGGGTTTTTGTTGTTTTGGGGTATTACGAGTAAAGCTGCTATGAATATTACTGTTCACACCTTTGTATGGACATAGGCTTTCAACACTTTTGGGTAAGTGAGAAAGAATGGAATAGCTGTATTGTATGATAGATGTGTGTTTAACTTTTTTTTAAAAAAAGATTGTCAACATGTTTTCCAAAGAGGTTGGGCTATTTTACATTTCCCCCAGCAGTATGTTGGCGTTCTAGTCCTCCACATCCTCACTCACAATTGGTATGATCCGTTTTTTTAATCTAATAGGTGTCTAGGGTATATCACATTGTCATTTTAATTTGCATTCCCCTAATGAATAATATTGAAGATTTTTTCATGTGCTTATTTGCCATGTGTACCATCTTCCTTGGTGAAGTGTCTATTCAAATATTTTGCCCAATTTTAATTGGGTTGTTGTTTTTCATTACTACCTTTAGAGAATTCTACATACATTCTGTATACAAGTCGTCCACATCTTTGTGACTGTGAATTGTGCTGCCATAAACATTATACAATGTCTTTTATTCCTTTGGGTAGATGCCTAGTAGTAGGATTGCTGGATCAAATGGTATTTCTATTTTTAGCTCTTTGAAGTATCTCCAAATTACTGTGCACAGGGGTTGTACTAGTTTGCAGTCCCACTAGCAGTATAAGAATGTTCCTATTTCTCCACATCCATGCCAGCATTTGTTGTTTTGGGACTTTTTGATAAAGGCCATTCTCACTGGAGTTAGGTGGTATCTCCTTGTGGTTTTGATTTGCATTTCTCTAATGATTAGAGATGTTGAGTACTTTTTTATATGTTTGCTGGCTTTTTAAAAAGTATGTATTCTGTCTTCTCCCATTAAGAATATTTGTGAAGCATGGCAAGAGGTCAAAATACCAACATTAAGAGGAGTTTGGAAGAAGTTGATTCCAACCCCTATGGATGACTTTGAGGGGTTCAAGGCTTCAGTGCAGGAAGTCACTGCAGTTGTGATAGAAATAGCAAGAGAACAGGAATTAGAAGTGGAGCCTAAAAATGTGACTGAATTGCTGCAATCTCATGATAAACTTTGAATGATAAGTTGTTTCTTATGAAGAGCAAAGAGAGTGGTTTCTTGAGATGGAATCCACTCCTGGTGAAGATACCGTGAACACTGCTAAAATAACAACAAAGGATTTAGAATATTACATAAACTTAGTTGATAAAGCAGTGTCAGGGTTTAGGAGGATTGACTCCAATTAAAAGACATTCTACTGTGGGTAAAATGCTATCAAAGAGCATGACATACAGCAGAGAATCAGTCATGAAAGGAAAGGTCAATCAATGTGGCAAACTTCACTGTTGTCTTATTTTACGAAATTGCCACAGTCCCCAACCTTCAGCACCAACACTCTGATGGGTCAGCAGCCATCAACATCAAGGCAAGACCTATCAGCAAAAAGATCATGATTGGCTAAAGGTTCAGATAATTGTTAGCGGGTTTTAGCAATAAAGTCTTTTTATTTTATTTTTTAGAAACAGGGTCTCACTCTGTAGCCCAGGGTGGAGTGCGGTGGTACAATCACAGCTAGTTGTAACTTGCACTCTTGGGCTCAAGCGATCCTCCTGCCTCAGCCTTTTGAGTAGCTGGGACTATAGGTGTGTGCCAACACACTTGGCTAATTTTAATATTTTTTATTTTTTGTAGAGACAGGGGTCTCACTATGTTGCCCAGGCTGCTCTCGAACTTCTGCTCTCAAGCAATCCTCCTGCCTTGGCCTCCCAACGTGCTGGGATTACAGGCTTGAGCCACTGTGCCTAGCTTTGAGTCTTTTTAAAGTAAGGTATGTACATTGCTGTTTTAGACATAATGCTATTGCACACTTCATGGACTACAATATAGCGTAAACATAATTTTTATATGTACTGGGAAACCAGAAAATGTGTGTGACAATAGGGTATTGCTTTTATTGCAGTGGTCTGGCGCCAAACCCACAATATCTCTGAGGTATGCCTATATTTGACTTAATAAATACATTGTCTACTTCCCAGAGAAAAGTTCAAGTATACTTTCCACAGTTTTCCCCTTGGCCATTACTAAACACATTGCTGTCATAAAAAGATACTCTAAGATTTCCCTTTGTTCTAATTTGTCCCATTTAAGCCTGCAGTGAACTTATTTGTGCTCTGAAGATTTATTGCATTTTCCTTTTAAGAATCTGGTTTTTACTATTTTAAAATATATATAGCCTGTAATTTAAATAGGCCAAGATCTTTTGCCTATGCAAAAATCTCTCGGGATTTTCGAGATACAGCTTTCGCTTTATGTTCCTTTAGATTAAGTTTTTCCTAAAGAAAATTAGTAAAGGAGCTATTTACTTTTACTCAAAGATGGGGGCTATTCATTTTAAAATCACAAATCCAAGCTAGTATGTCTCTAAATGTGGAAGAACTTGCTTCCGTCTGCACTGCATTCACAGCATGGAGCCCCGTAAATGGGGAATTATGAAATAAACATCTCTAAATGGGTCAGGCTGAGTCATCGCTGACAACCCTGATTCAAGGCCACTGCCCTGTTTTGACGAGTGAATAAAATCACAGGCATGACGTGGAGCCCGAGATTTCATTAACACCAACCTCCTCTGATGTGTGGTAGCGATGTCTCGCATGGCCTCATGGATCTGAACTCAACACTTTTTAAAACGAAGAGGAAAGATGATTTTTAATCTGTTGGCTTCTCACTGTTGCTTTTCTAGTAAAGCTTTTACATGGCACACAGTCTTTAAAATGAAATGTAACGTTGAATCATGTTTTCCAACTTCATAGATTATTTGGTTTTAAAAGCTGCAACTCAAGGAAAGTAATTCTGCAAATACATTTTGTCTAAAAAGAAGCAAATGATTTTATCTCCATATTTAACTAAAATTTTCATAGGAACACTTTGTTAGTCTACAGATAATTTTCTGCATTTTATTTATGAAAGACAAAACCCTGCAGTATTAATTCAATGGTCATCATAAATCGGGGATCATTGAGAGAAACAGGATCAGTCATTCAAAATCCCTTAGTAAAAGTAGGTTAGTGGGTCATGTTTTACAGTTGTCCTGGTGATCAACCATTTTAAAGGGCATTTCAGAAAGTAATCAGTACCAAAAATTAAAATGTCTTAGTTTTTTGAACAAAAGAAAAATATTAACACTGAAATATTTTCTTTACAAACAACAGGGAACTGTTTCAAGGTACTAAATTCTAATTTCATGGTTTATGGCAAGTTCTTCTATGTTAATTCACAATCTTTGAAAACTGCCATATCTGAAGATTGAAAATTAAGTTCAGAGTAGTTTAATCTGATTTACTAGGTTTAGAAAGAAAAAGTTCTAAAGTGGTTTTTTTAAAAAAGATTTTTATGAATAGAAGGAATATATTATATTACTAGTCAATTACAGTGAAATCATGAGGTAGAATAATTGTCAGACGAAATACAAAAAAAACTCTACTATTTGATGGAAGTAATGTTTAAAATGCCAAGCACGATAGTAGACTGCCAGCAAACATACCAATCAAGTATCAACAGAAATAGGGCAACACTTTGTAAACAAGTTATTAAGGAGACTTTAAGAAAAAAGACTCACAGACATTAATGAGGTCTACTAATCAAGGCCAACCCAGGACAAAGACCAGTGCAGAAGAGCAAACCATGAGCCACACATCTGTCTGCACCATTAAACTAGGTGCCTGCTGGTCATATCGTTTCTGAACCACATACACCTACCACTAAGTCTTCTAGATGGTGGTGTTAATGAAAGTTAATACAAAAATAGATTAAAATAGAGGACAGAACGTCTGACTTTTCAATTCCCCCATATGGACTCCCTGTGTCGAGTAAAATGATAACAGCACTTACAGGAAGAATCGCATCTTCAAATCTTTCACAAGTATTCTTATTTGAACGTTAGAAAAATGGGATGGGATGGGATATGTACAAATAAAAATTTGTAAAGAACATGCACAGATACAAATTTAAGTGAAACCACTTGCCTGATTTGGATATCTGGCACTTGGAGTGATATGGGCACTCAGCTGGGATTTGGGGGAATAGTCCAGTCTTTTGAGAAAGCACAATGCTCCGTGTTTAGGGCAATGATTTTCCCCAGAAGGAGGGACCAGATCTCATGTGCAAGAGTTGGAAATATTTTCTTCCCACGATGATGATTCTCAGCATACATGTTCAGTTTGGCTTGAATCATAGTGAGAAAGTATATTTGAGATCCCTAAATCCTTGTTGACCATTTTTGGCCTTATATTCAATAAAGAAGGTTGCTCTTCAGAAAAAACTTTGTTATTCATCTCCCTTTATCAACACTTGTCACACGTTCTTCCCTGTCAGGAACTGTTCAAATCTTTAAAAGGAAATCATGATTCTATCCCTAACTGAATGAAATGTGTTTCATTAAGAGCAAATTGCTATTGAGTCATATCCTAAAAGTGTGTTGTTACTTTTAGTAAGATAATTATACAGGTGTTTCAGAAGGGAACCCAAACTCTTATTATACTGATGCATTTTCCTTTCGAGCAGAGCTTTCACTTTCGGTGCAGGGAAATTCACTAACATTAAACTTGTAGAATGATAGATATATACGTTGTCTTTGATAAGCCACGGTGATAATGTGCAAATATTTCATTGACCCCTGACTTTAATAGTTCAGTTGCATTTCTTTGAATTGCCTTGCCAGAAAATTGTGCAAGAAAGTCAATTAATACATCACACCATTGCTTATACAACATCAATAGCATCTCTAGCATTTTTCCTAATTGTTCTCAATTTCTTTAAGTGATTGAGTTGGAGCATACTGAATCACAAAATGTAATACATTTGAGCAAAAGATCCTTTTCAAAAACTCAGAATCTTTTACATTCTGAAAGTCATACAAAACCTGTTTTCCCATAACCTAAATTTAATGCAGAACTCTTTTCAGTATTATTCCATAAAAACATGTTGAGAATTATAATTATTATATTCCTGAATTATGCAGAAAAAACCTCCAAATGGTTTTTAAATCAAATGCTTTGCATTTTAAACTTTAGTGTGCAGCCTCTTTTAAAGGAGAAAAAATAATGGGAGGTATACCCAGGGAGAGTTCCGTGACTGAATGACATAATAGAATCCTCTTTAGCATGGGTTTGCCTGGCTCTCAGGCCAAATCATAGCCGTTCTTCTCAACAGAGTATGATTAATATGAAATGGCTTTGGGGCACGCTATTTAATTTTGTGCTCCAGCCAGTCTTCTCCTCAACTGATGGTTTCCCCTCTGCAACCTCCAAATTCTAGAGCACCTCAAGGATTTGTCTGAGGAGTACTTCTTTCTTTCTTCCTCTCTCTCTCTCTCTCTCTCTCCCTCTCTCTCTCTCTCTCTCTCTCTCTCTCTCTGCAGCTGTTCTCTGGGGGCATCATCCCATCTTGTGGCCTTAAGTTCCATCTCTATGTGACTGACTCCTGACCCCCCATATCCCTGACCTCTCTCTTGACCTGCAGAGGTTTACGTCCAACTCCCTACTCCACTTCTCTTAGCTTTCTGAGAGTCTTCTCATCCTCGTGTGCACAGAGAATTCCAGATTGTCCCTAAAACTTGTTTCTCTCGCTGTCTTCCCATCTCAGTAGGTAGCAATTCTATGCTTTCAGTTGCTTGGGTCCCAAACTTTGGCATCATCTTTGACTCCTCTATCCTCTGTCACATTCTGTCTCCCAGCTGTCAGCAGAGCCTCTCAGCACTGCCTTCGAAACACGGCCAGACTCTGGAGACTTCTTCCCGCCCTCACCCCACTGTCCTCCTCCCCTCCCACCCGGAGTGTGCAGCAGCCTCCCGACTGGCCTCTGCCTCCACTCCTGCCCCATTCAGTGTCTTCTTAATTTAGCCACAGGAGTCATGATAAATTGTCAGCTCACGTCACGCCCCTGCTCCACACCCTCCGACAGCTTCCTCTCGCTCAGAGTAAAAGCCAAGTCCCCAGAAGGGTGCTAAGCCTCCCCTAACCTCACCTCTAGCCCTGCACCTTTCACTCCATCCTCTGCTACCTCCTGCCTCCCTCCCTCCTTCTGTGCCGTCACGGGTCTGCCTCTTGCTGTCCTGCAAACCCTCCACGCAGCCCTGCCTTGGGGCCTTTGGACTCACTTATCCCTTGACCTGGACTGCTCCTTCCGCAGGCGTCTGTAAGGCTCACGCCCTCTCCTCCTTTGGTGCCTTATCCAAATGACACTGGCTTTATTTTCTCTTCAGCATTAGCTGCTATATCTCAGCGGTCCCCAGCCTTTTTGGCACCAGGGACTGTTTTCATGGAAGACAATATTTCCACCGATCGGGTGGGGTTGGGGATGCTTTTGGGATGATTCAAGTGCATTACACTTACGGTGCACTTTATTTCTATTGTTATGACATTGTAATATATACTGAAATAATTATACAACTCACCATGGGTTGGAGACCCCTGTGCTATTCAGTCACATGTTTTGCAGATCTGTCCCCCCACTAGAAGGTAAGCTCCAGGCAGGCAGGGATTTTTGTCTGTTTTGTTCACTGCTGAAGAAAGAGAGAGAGAGATAAACAGACAGACAGACAGATGGATGACAGTTAAAGTCTGTGCATAGACAGGTCGGTACAACCTGTCACTGCCATGTCCCCACCAGTGCCTGCTAGGAAAAACCAGCACAAGTACTAATTTAGAATTACAGATAGAACTCTCCCACCTTAGGCTACAAGACAGCATATAATCACCATACATTTTATATTGCTCAGAAATTAAGTATTAAATAACACCTTTCATTCGAACATCTTAAAATGTGTTACCAAAAAAGAGCACTGTAATTACCTGTAGTTATACATCACTATTATACATCAGGCAGCAATAGAAGGCTTAATGGATTCAAGACCTCACTGGCTTTTGACACACTTGTATTGGAACCCAAAAGGTAAAGATAAGCCCAAGTAGCGTCTGACATTTGCAGAATGTCATGTAAGCCTTGGAAAGTCTATTGTTGCCTGGCGTATTAGCAAAGGGAAAGGGGGAATGACTTGCAGACTATCTGCAGAGTCCCACGGTGACCTTGGGCCAGTCAGTCACCTCCGTTAATTTCACTGGCTTCTTCCTGTCTCCGTGGGCACATCACGGTTGAGCAGATCACTTGGGGCAAGAGCTGAGAGGAAGTGGGGCTCGCTCTTGGCGGTTAACCAAAAGTATCTTCCTGAGGCTGCAGTGTGAAGACGCAGCGCACTGTGTTGGCCACACTTACCATGCCAAGACAAGTGCTCTTCATGAGACTGAGCCCTCGCAAACTTGCCAGATTCAGAACAGAGTGTGGCTCCGGTGCCCTGGTCCCCCAACGACATGCCCCTTGCCACCTTAAACCCCCTCTTCAGATGCCCAGAACCGTTCCCCTTCTTCCACTCCAAACTAGCACACAGGAAAGCCTCTGATCACAGCGTAAACAAGCTGCCGCTTCCCAGATGGTTATATGTCTTTTTGGAGAGGTGAAAACCAGAAGCAAAACTAGTGGACAGTCCACAGTGAGATTTCAGGGATCACCACGCCAGGCCTAGTGTCTGTGTTTTGGGGGGCAGAGCTTTGACTACCAATGCCTTGGAGATGGCATCAAGTAGGAGAGACACAGCCCCAGCATCCTGAGAATCCCCACACACAGCAGGTAGCTTCTCTGCTTATTAAAATAAACTCTGGACCACAGTCTAGAGTGTGAAAGGAATTTCAACAGGCCTTGATCATGATCACAGAGTCCTGGAGAACCTTAGAAGTTATTTACTCTAACTTTCTCATTTTATAGGAGAGGGTATCAAAGTTCCAGAAAGTTCCAGAAAATTGATCTATCTGCAGTAACTGTGAGTAGCTCAGTACAGATTCCATGACTTAACTTTTGTGTGTGGTTGAAAATGACAGATTACACCTGCAAAAAGTGAATACAGCATGATCGTTCTGCACGTCCTCTCAGCATGAAGCAGTGATATTTGACTGAGCTTGTTGGCCAGGATGCTTTAAAAATGCCCATGTTCTAGGAATACAAATCATATAGAATCATAAGGAGGTTTTGAGTTGGGCCCAGGCAGAGCTAACCTGTCACCTGACTCTAAACTGGAGTAGCCCCATGACCACAGGCAGGCACCACAGTGACAAATTAATCTTCTCTGCTTGACAGAAGTAAAAGGCGTGGGGGTGCGGAGAGGAGCCCAGGTGGGAGAAGTCGGTGTAAGTTTTAGCCCGGACTTTGTCATAATCCGGCCGTGTCCCTTTGGCTTTGGGAGATAGAACCTTCCTAGTGAGGAATGAAACTTACTATCACCCCCTAGGACAGGGCAGATAGATGAGCAAAGCACAAGGCAATGATTCAGCCTTAAAGACAAAATTGCCTCTCTGATTCTGCGTCTCTTAATCCATCAGAGGCTTGGAGAAACCAAACGTCTGGAAAGGCCTGGGGCACACACGTGCTATCCCAACTCTTTCCAGTTTCTTCTGTGGCCAGAAAATGGACAACAGAGCAGGAACCAAGATGATCCCCTCCCCAGCCAACTTCAGCAGAGGACACATGACTCGCACTTGGCTGGTGACGGTGTCCCGTTCCAGCAACAGGGATAGGTCCAGAGGACAGGCATGTGAACAGAGCAGAGCCAACCTGAGTTTTACATTCAGACTGATACACAGGTCTTGGGAATTAAATTCTTTTCTCTAGAGTTGCTAAGCTGGGATGACGCAAGTTTGAAGTTGCCAGTGGCTACTTCCCTGGGCCCATAGTGCAAGCCCACGTACAGGAGGGGAGAAACGGCCAACACAGAGACAAGCAAAGCAGAAAGAGAAAAGTGGTGTTCTAGTGATGTCCATTGAGTTCCTGGATCCAGCCACACCTGAAGATGTCTGATTTGAAAAAGTCTCTTCCTTACCTCAACTAGTTTTAGCTGGGTTTCTGTCACTCTTGATTAAAAGAATCCTGCATAGTACATCCTTTCATTCTTCAAATACAGAAAGTAAGGCTCATGTGGAGACAGTGGCTGACTCACGGTTGCATAGAATGTTGGCAACAAAATCTGGACCTGAAGTCGGGTCTACTGATTTCTATTCCAATGTGTTTTCTGCTACACGGTGCTTTATGTACTCTATCTTGTGAATCATTCCACATTTTCTGAATGATAGTACAGGTCTTTTTCCAGACCATACTGCATGATGGCAAAATCCACTTACATAAGCAAAAGATAGAGGACCATTTGTTAGGGATTCTAAGATATGAGAAGAGAGCTCAGGCTAGTTGATTCGTAGCTGGATAAGTTCAAGTCAAAGATTCAATCATGTCATCATCAAAGTCAGAAACCATGAGTTTGATTCTTCCTCTCCCCTCTAATGGACTGTCTACTATGTTCTAGGCACAAAAACAGGGTTTTTCATATTAATAAATGTGTTCATAAACAGTTGTCTCGCACTGGGCTTCATGCATCGTTGAAATTCAATAGATACTTGAAGAAAGGAAGCAAGAAGAAAGAAAAAAGGAGAAAAGACGAAAAGAAGGAAGAAAAGTAGATTGGGTTTCAAGTAAAAATTATTTTCCCTACCGTTCAACGGAGCTTACATTTAATAACTAGTATCTTACAGTGATCTCAAAATACGTCTCTGAAATCTAGTCCAACTACAGTTTTTCCTAATTGAACAGAAGAAACTGTGAGAAGAGAAACCTCAAGCCGAAGCCTCAGACCACAAGGCCGTCTCAGCAGGGCTGAAGATTAGGAGCAGCTGAGGTGACAGGAGATGGTGACACTCTTAGTGCATGCTCTTGCCTCTGTAGTTCTGTGAACTGGTTAGACAGGGCTCAGTCACCGTCAGTCGCACTCACTGACGAGAGCTGTATATTGGAGTGAACTGTGTGAAAGGCGGTAGTTCCTGGATTTAGTAACACAAAAATGAATAACATTTTAGTAAACTCAAGCACTTGATGATGAATAGATTTTAAGATTATTCTAACTATTGTTTAGGATGTGTTATATCATTCTTTGCGATCAGATTTTCAGACCACAAACAGGATGCAGAAATGATGACAAAAAAGTTTCGAGAGTCAGAAAAAGATGGTCATCAAAAGAATTTGTTTTGCATGGCTTTGTCAAACTCTTCGACCACTTCACAACTTGCTGTTTTCTAGTTTAGCGTTTAGTAATGAAAGGCAACAACCCCCCATGGTTCCTTGGTATCATAATCACACAAAGGGAGGGCATCGTCACCATGCTGTGTTAAAATTTAGACATTATGAAAGAGGAAAGGGTGGGGGATGTTTCACTATCACCTTCCTTGAATTAGCCAAATCGAATATGCTAGTGAATTAGGATATGAAAATCAGGTTTTCTCAGGTAAGAAACCTTTAGCTTAACATGTGGTAATCTAGAAGATCTAGTTTCAGTTATAAAGGGGTTTTATTGATGTTTTCATCAATAGTTTTATATTCCAAGCATAGTATGTTACAGTAACTATTTTAAAACTTCTGAAATATTCAGAAAACTCAAGTATGAAATTTGTTAGGTTGCACTCATAGCACTGACACCAAATTGCTTTGCCATTTGCTGATGAAAAACATATGACAGCATGAGTTCCTGGTTCACCATCCGGCAAATTGCTTATTTGTCTCTTGTGTCTATTCTTCTTCCCCTGGGTGTCTAGGTCCACGTCGCTGACTCTCTGAGAGGTTCTAAAGATTTGGCTTTGCTGGTGAGCAACCTACCAGTGCCTTTTTTGAGATGCCTATAATAGCACCACGTGCAGCTTTTGCCATCGATTCTTCAATGCAAGTGTTCATCCAGACATGAACAGTGCCAGGCTTTGACATTTTTATTCTCGAGGGAGAGAAAGAGAAACAACGAAATAAACAAATGAATAAATTTAAGAAATTATTTTAGAGGCTGATATACAACAAAGGGAACAAAGCAGGTGACATGATCGAGGGAGTGGGAGGAGGGTAATAGGAACAGGGTCATTTAGAAAAATCCTTGGCATTTGGGCCCAAACCCGGATGGCCACAAGGAGCTGGCCTGTGTAGTCCAGTTCGACGGAGCAGTGGGAGCAGAAGGCGTGGCCGGCGCAGTGGGAAGGGAGGGAGAGCCGCTGTGTGGGAGGGTGTCGAGGCTGGAGAAGGAGGCAGGTCCCAGCACGTATGGCCACCGGGCAGCTGAACTTGGTTCTAAGAGGACCAGGAAGACATTGAGCATTTTAACGAGATGGTGGCATCTGACTTGTCCATCTGCTGGTGGGTGCTGGACCACAGGGCACAAGCACGTGAGCAGGGGGCCGCCGGCTGTGCTCTGTGGCTTGCACAGCAGGTGGGAGGAGTGGGAGCGCAGCCCTGGCCCGCGCACAAGCCTGTGTCCAGCACGGCCCCGTTCACCTGCAGAGAGGGGCACCTTTCCTCGCTGCACACGAAGCGCTATACCGGGAGTGAGAATGGAGAGCAGGAGACGGCAATAATCGTGGCAGAGATGGCAGTGTGGAGGGAGACGGTGGGTGGATTCAGGATGGGTCTGGAAGGCAGAGTTGGCAGGACTCTTGAAGGAACGTAAGCATTCTTTCCAGCCTTACTGCTACACTTCCACGGGTTTGGAGAAAGAGGCTCTGATTACTGATAAGGGAAAGAAAGAAAATGTGCTCACATTTAAACATGTTGTACCTGTCACGTGAGTTTGTAGCTCGGTGAGGCTGTGGATGCTGGAGATAAGATTCGAGCCGTCAGTGCGTGGATGAGGGAAGCCGCGGACTGAACAAGAACACCTGAATTGTGACAGAAAAGAGCAGGACACTCAGGACTGAGCCCTGGGATGATCCAGCATGCAGAGGCTGAAAACAGTGAAGGAGCCCCAAAGCAGCCAAGAAGGAGTAGTACGTGAACTAGGAAGAGAGGTCCTAGCGAAGGTGTCACCAAGGCTGAGAGATGTCACCAAGGCCGAGAGAGAGCAGGTTTCCAGAGGGAGGGAGCACTCGCTGAATCAAACCAGCTGGGAGGTCAAGCCTGTCGAAGGATCCTAACTTTGACCCTGACCCAGATTCTCAGTTCTCACTTAGAAGGTCACTGAGGATGAGTTGAAATGAAAACACATAGCTACTACTTTATCTAAGAGGACTACTGGTCACAAAACTTCATAAAATCATGTCACCAGTTTTAAATAAGACGATGCTCTATCCAGTGAATGCTGTGCTCTCTGAGCCAGACTGAAACCACTGGGATGGCTGAAGCCATGAGCAAGAGGTGTGGAGATCCCCGCTGTTACTGAGAACTGCCAGAGGCTCTCCACACAGCCCCGCCTGCCTGTTATAAAGCGGCAGGAGGAGCTTTCTTTGCTTATCATTTTCTGAAATCAACTTGGAAAACACATTCATCTTTCATTCTTTCAGGCAGACACTAAAGCACATGGCTTTCTTCATGAGGCCTCTGCAGGGTCCTGTGCTTGGCTCCCGGGCATTCAGGAGCTCGTTGGAATATAACCAGAGGCAGAGCCTCTCTTCCAGCAAAAGGGGCAGGGAAATAAACCCTCAGGGTGTGCATGGTGTCCACGCCCTGCTGCCTGTCCTGACACTGCTCTGAGTTCCTGGTGACATCCACCCCTACACCAACCTCCACTCCCAACTGTGACTGTGGCCTTGTAGGAATGTCATTCATGTCTTCCGTTCCATCTCATGTATTCCATCAAATTGAGAGTATACATCATGGAGAGAGCAATCAGAAAACAGTGTTTGAGTCCAGAGTTTCAATTATCTGTTTGCTTTAATGGGCAACCTGGGAGGCGGAATGAGATAGCACAAAGAACATGGGTTGAATCCTGACTCTATCTCTTATTAGCTCAGGGAAGTTGGAGGTCTAAGTAATCCAGTGGGTTGGGGGTGGGTGGCGAGAAACCTGTCCTCTCATCTGGACTGGGCTTCCAGTCATGGAGGAGAAACAGGGCTTGCCATGACTGTGGGGTAAAGGCTGAGCCAGGGACCAAGGAGAGAGTGGCTGTGATGTGTTGTTCCATCTAAGGGAGCAGGAGAGAGAGGTGGAAACTGAGATAGAGGCCAATGGTTTGCATTTGGGACCAACTCCAGATAGAGTGAGCAGATCTGAGGGGTGCACAGGAAGTGGATCCTACTTCAGTGCAACAATCTTGTCATTATATGAGGTTTCAGTGTGGAATGGCACAGGCAGGAGGAAAGTTGCGGGGTCGGCTGGTTGGCCACCACACCATGAAAGGCAGGTCACCGGTGGTAACTATTTCTTATATTACATCAACAAATCAAGGGCAGATTGTTATGGAAAGGGTGCAATATTTTAATAATTCCTAAAGATAAAAAACGCAATTGTACAACTAAAAAGCTCTCAGTGTAACCCAGTAGCAATGAGCACCCCTAGCTGCCATCTTGGTTTCTAACCCTTGGTTCTAATAAAAGGAACCAGGACTCTGGAAAAATGACTGTTTCTAGGACTGGCGCAGGAAATAGACAAGATGAGCCTGGAGTATCTTGTAGTAATAAGTTCTCAAAAAACAAAACAAAATTCTAACAAAAAAAAGACACATGGAAGGGGTCAAGGAGACACATGAGCCAACTTGGAGAGGGTCCCAGTGGCCAAAGCTGTAACAATTTGAGCAAGAAAATAAAGTGGTATTGTGTTATAATGCAAAGTGTATAGTAAATACTCATGAATGCATAATGATATGAATAAATAAACAAATGAGGGAGACAAATATCCCATGCAGAAGAATTCCAAATGGTTTATGCAGAGACTCAGCCCTCAAGGAAGAGCAGCACACTCGCCAGCACAGGTGTGGGCTGTGCACGGTGACTTCCTGCAGACGAAGGAGCACAGCACGGAAAGGCGGGCTGGGTAGTGGGGAAGATCCACTTCATGGTGGAGGAACCTGACAAGCACAACCTCAGCCGGATGATCCAGGAAACATCAACAGAGATAAATCATGTAATCAGGCTGTACCTTTGAAATAACGTGGCAAAAATAGCATTTAATTCTATGGTCTTCCTCCTAAAACACATAACCCCGGTATGGTTATGAGAAAACCGTCAGGCAAATCCCAATGGAGAAACAGTCTACAAAATGCCTAAGCAGTGGTGCCCAAAACTGACAAGGTCATTGAAAACAGGGAAAATCTGAGAAATTATCACAGCCAACAGGAGCTTAGAGAGACGTGATGACTACACGTAATGTGGTATCCCTGACGGGGTCTGGGACAGAAAGAGGACAGTAGGTAACCAAGGAGATCTGAGTAAGGCATCGGAGTTGGTAGTCATCGACCAATACTGGCTCAGTAAGTGTAACAAATGTACATGCTAATGTGAGATATTAATACTGGCAAAAACTGGATATATATGAGAACTTATCGTCACAATTTTCTTTTTGGTATAAATCTGAAACTGTTCCAAAATGAAAAGTTTATCAAAGCAGTGAAAAGACGACGGTGGAGATGCTGCGGAAGGGAGAGGGCACAGAGAAGCGCAGCTGGATGCAGAGGGGTGACCCGTTTGAGGGCCGAACCGTGCGGGCACCGAATCTTAGACAAAGAGCAGGAGGATGGCCATGCCCAGGGTAGAACATTCATGGAGACTAAAGTTCAAATGGAATTTTTAATTAACTCAATTTTAGTGGGAAATTTAAGGTAGTGTATGAGGCTTTGTCATTTGTACGTCACCTTTCCCATTTTTATAAAAGTGGTGCAAGGTGGACTTTCATGTGCTTGTTATGTACTTTTTGGAATGTATTTTTACATTTTACAATGTTAACATTAAAATATTCATTGGTTAAAAAAATCAATAGAAGTAATTAAACAGCAGACTGGATTCTGCAGATAATTTGAACTGGGAATTAAAAGACCTAATCTAGAAATTCCCCCAGAAATCAGAAGTTAAAAAAAAATGATAAGCCATGTAAGAGACAAAAAAACCAAAGACATGAAAAATAGGTTTGGATTTTGACATATGTGAAATAGGAGTTAGAGAAGAAGAGAAAAGAAGTTTGGAGATCAAAAAACTAACAGAAAAAGGTTTACTGAGCTCGAAAATGTGATCTTAAGATCCAATGAAGCTGAGCGTGGTGGCTCACACTTGCGCTGGGAGGCAGAGGCGGGAAGAACACTTGAGGCCAGTAGTTCAAGACCACCCTCAGCAAGACAGAGACCTCATCTCTAGAAAAAAATAGAAAAATTAGCTGGGTGTGGTGGCGCATGCCTATGGTCCCAGCTATTTGGGAGCTGAGGCAGGAAGATCGCTTGAGTCTAGGAGTTTGAGGTTGCTGTGAGCTATGATGACCCTACTCTAGCCTGGGTGACAGAGTAAGACCCTGTCTCAAAAAAAAAAAAAAAAAAGAGATCCAATGGGCTTTACTGTCAGGAATAATCAAAAGCTGTTCTAGTAAAATTTCTGAGTTTCAAGGATAAAGATCATACCGATATGAATAAATAAAAATGTTTCCTACAGAAAGAAAAACAATACCAACTTCATCAAAGAAGAAACCAAAATGGAAATTATAGACTTAAGAAATTAATGAGCAAACTACAGACAAAAATCTCTGAGCTGCTATCCATGCCGAGCACAAAAGATAGCCCTTTATCTGGTAATAGCTATGTGATCCTGGGCAGGTCACTCCACTTTTTAAAGCTTCAGTTTCCTCATTTTTAAATAATGCTGCCAACTACTTCCATCAGGCCATGTTTGGGTCAGACACTGTTCTGGAGGCTCTATAGTGCTAACGCATTTATACCCCACCACGGCCCTATGCTGTAGAATGTGTCAATATGATTATCCCATTCTGCAGACCAGAAAACCTAGACACAGAAAAGTCACTTGCAGAAAGTCGGAGAGTTACAAGTGGTGGACTTATAGATTGTCTGGCTTGAGTCTGCACTCATACGTACTTAGCTATAAAGACTTCTTATGTGGCCCTGTGGGGTATTATGAAGATTCGGTGAGATAATGCACTGAAAATGTATAACACTGTGCCCACAACCCAGCATACTCAATCATTGCAGCTACTATCTATTTAACAGAGTGAAGCAAATGTGTAACTCAGGACCTAGACAAGGAATAATATAATACATCTAAATCAAGTATGAAGAAGAAGTCAACCAAAGAAAAACATAAAATACTCAATTAGGAAGGTAAGAAAAATCATATACGGAATTGATAAAAGCAAAACTTGAATCTCTGAAAAGAGTCAAATATACAAATTTCTTACAAGTTTCATTAAAGAGAAAAGGTGGATAAAATGTGCAATGTTAATACTTTGTCAGTGCAAATCTGAGATTATTTCCTAGGAAAAAAACACATGAAAAAATTAAGAATTAGAAAATCTAATATAGCAATAAAAACAGAATAAATAGAAAATTCCAAAAAATTAACCTCCAAAAGTCATCACACCCAGATTTTATATGAACAAGTTATGTTAGAACTTAATTCTTTCAGCAAATATTCTAATTTCTATGTCCCAGGCACTGTTTTATCACTGTTTTGAATAAGAAAAATCCCTTGTTTCCCATGGAGGAATGAAGGAACACTGAAAATTCTCATACTATTTAAACTCTTCCAGAGGATACAAAAAGATGAAAAGCTTCCTAATTTATTTTAAGTGGATAGCATATCCTTGATCAAAACCTGAAAAAAGGCGGCAGAGAAAAGGGAAATTAAGAATGACTTTACCTGTGGGTACATGATCCAAGTTGTTAGTGCAACTCTTTTCCCTTCTGAAAGAGCATTTGGCCTTTTCTATTAATTACTTAGCTCTGTTCTCCTGCACAGCGGATGAAGATGAGTATCAGCGAGGCCTGGCTGGCAAAGCGTGTCTGGTGTCTGGGAGGACTACAGATGAGCTGTACATTCTGGTGGGGACGTTACAGCCTTGGGATTCCCTGAGTACCATGGCCTTAGAAGCTATGCCTGTGGAGCTCTTTCCAGAGATACTGACTCCCGTGGGGCGTGAGGCCTTTAGGCTGGGACCTGCCCAGGCCCTCCCAGTGGGTGTCTTGCGTCTTCACACCTGAGCTGTCACCTGGAATGGCGAAGACCATTCCCACTGAAGAGGAGCACCGGAGGCTTCCCGTCAGCCAAGGGAGGTGCTGAGCACGACCTGTGATAGTCTCGTGAGTCTGAGCGTCCAGCTGAGCCTGTGTTCAGTTGCACGTTGGAGCCTGACAAGACCTCCTTGTGGGAATCACAGATAAAAAAAAACTTCAAAATGAAGAAAGAGCAAATTGAATCCAGCAATGTTTTAGAATAGTAACAGAGATGGGGACTGACTTACGGCGTGGCAGACAAGAGCACAGGCGCTGGCACCAGGTGAATCCCGTTCAAACTGCCAGCTGTGTATCTAGGGCAACTCAGTCTCTTTGAACCCTATAAAACAGGGTTAATAGAGATTGTTGAAGGGGCTAAGGGAGACAATGTATATAAAAATGCTTAGTATGTTACCTTGTTCACAGTGAGATTTAATACATTCTAACACCTTCAGGCCCCAATGTATTAGTGATCCAGAACAGAAGTTCTCATCCTTTCTTAATTAGATGGACACCAGTGGATTGGCCACAGCGTGGGGGCGTCTCACAGTCCCTGAGAAATACAGAGGCAGATCTCAGGTAGCGATGGACTTATGCCTACAGGAGAAGGTGAAAATTCTGTCTACAAGGAGAGCCTGGACTGTCATTAACCAAGGACGGTGAGGAGTGAGAAGCAGCGAGGGGAGGGAGCAGAGGAATGGATCCCAGGTCTGGAGTTTGGGAAGACCCCATGGGAGCCAGGCCCGTTGCAGTAGCCCAGCAGGGACTGCAGACCTAGAGACTGCTTAGGAAGGACGCCTGGGAGGAGGTCCAAGGCGCCCAGCTAAAAATCACCCTCCTCGGGGGAGAAGCCCCCATCTGGAGGACAGTGCCTATCGTGGGGTTTACCTCATCACACTTGGCTGGGAAATAGTGATCTAGAAATAACTATTTGATTAAGAAATTAGTGCTCGAGGATTCTCATAACTAGTTATCTCTTAGATGTTTAGAGTAAAAGGCAGAATGGGTTTTACTTAGAAATTCAGTGCGCTTTTTTAAAAAAATTATTTCTCATTGTGGTTTCCTAGAACAAATAACCATTCTATTTTATTCCTAGAGAAATAATCCATGACACGCGAGCTTTCATCACAAAATAAAAATGTCAGACTTTATCTTTGGAACAAAATAAATGGTTGATAATATTGTCTTTAGTCATTTATTGTAAAATTTGTTATCCATGTAAAATCTCGGTGTGCTTCCCACTCTCCAATCCTCTTGATATTTAAAACAGGTGAGTAATTGATGTCTGAGCTTGGTGTATTTCCTCCGTAGATTATTTGCATGCTTACATTTTGATACTGAAAGAAATCCTTGAAACCTCAGAAGTTGTAGACTTTGCCTAGATAAACATCTGCTGTTTAATGGTGTTTTGAATGGCAGAGCTACCGTACGCAGTCTTTATTCTTTTCTTTTTTATAGCTGAGTGGGTGGGGAAATGGGAAACAATTGTAAAGAATCAGTCATCAAACCCCCCTTTCATCCTTTGCAGAGGTGGAATTCCCACGCCACGCAGGCCTTCCTCGTGCAGGTACCATGAGAACCCCAAAAGAGAAGGGACTGCAAAGCGCTTGAGGAATTCCCAAGCCCTGCACGGGTGCGAGGGGTCACAGAGCGGCAGGCGGGTTTCCTCTACTCACGGCTCACTCGCTCTTCAATGCTTTCCTTGTTCGGGTCTTTAAATGTTGCATCTGCTTTTTGTTTGTTGCTCACCTCCTGGGAACCGTGTACTGGTCATTTCATAAACAACCCAAATGTAATAAATGTTTGAAAAATTAAATTTGTCAGTCATTTATTCATTTAACCACTAATCCCTGAGCACTCAGTGTAGACCACACCCTGGGAATACGAAGGTGAGCAAGAGAGTCCGTCACAGTATAGACGGCGCCGACGGAGCTCATGTTCTACTTGTAGAACTGAACACCGAAAGGCACACCAGCAGCTTGCAACGACGACTGTGGCCAGGGAAGGCTGGGGAGCGTGGCGGTTGAGCTGAGTCCTGGAGGGCGAGGACAGGTGTGTGTGGAGGAGCTGGGGAGGACATGCCAGGCAGAGCTCAGCAAGGGCCCAGGCCTGCGGGGGCGATGGCAGGCAGGGGACCAAGGTGACTGCAGGGTGGTGGGTCGGAGAGCAAAGGTGTGGGGTCTGGATCAGACCAGACCAAATTTCCAGAAGGAAACATAGTTTGTTCCTAAGAAAAGTGCCCAAATAGCGCACTCCTGCACTTCCGTGGGAGGGCTGAGTGAGGCCCCCAGAGCCCTTTCTCTGTGGGGGTAGGGGTGATGGTGGCACACCGGTGCGTGGAAAGGCTGAGTAACTGCCCAAGGAGCACAGTGTCCACAGGTCCCGTTTGCCCGCACCAGCTCTTGGGGTGGCAGGGAGGGTGAGTGACCCAGGGCCTGCTGGTCAGGCCAGGACTTGGCCTGGGGAGGAAGAGATATCGCTTCACTCACTTTTCTTCTAACCTCAACATGTGAAACTCTTCCTGATCAACCTGGGCCTGCCTGAGCTGTCTTTGACCGCGGGCACCTGGCTTCCCCAGGAGACCTTGGGTTTATGGGACCAGCAAGCTCTCGCCACCAAAAAGCCCCAGGACATGACGGTCTCCACCCGTCTGTGATTCCAGGGCCTCAACTCCCTCCCTCTGAAGAGGCAGAGCTGGATGACCGGAGGGGCGTTGAGAGGAGACACCTCCAAGCTGCCAGCTCCTAGCTCCACCCTGCCCGAGACCCAGAGACAGCAGATGAGTCTTCAGAAAGTGAAAAGCGCAGGGGGTGAACTCGACCAGGGGCGGCACGTTTTCCTCACAGATAGAAAATGTTTTAGGCTTTATGGGCCACAGACCTCTATCTCTAACATGTTCTTCTTTGTTCTTAATTGTTTTTAAAACAATCCTTTAAAAAGTCAAAACGTATTCTTAGCTTGCAGACCTTACTCTGAATCTGAAAAGTGGGTTATAGTTTGTTGACCCACAATCTAGATTTTGCTCCCCTATTTCCATCTTCCATTCAGGAAAGGGAAGCTTGGGGACACCAATTAATCTCCCCAAAGGCCATGTGGCTAACCAGGGACAGGGACAGGGTTTGAGCCCAGACAGCCTGAATCCAGAGTCACTGGTCTTAACCACTACACTACCCTGTCCCCTGCTAGTAACCAGAACCGTGGCTTTGGACAAGCCCATTTCTATTTTTGGGGTACAGCCCTCATCTGTGCAATAAGCAGGTGGTGTGATGTTTTCTTCAATGTGAGAGACATATTTGATGGTAAATGAAATAATTTCCATGGTTCACACACTGACATTAAATAATATTGATGTGCAGAAAGAGAAGTTGATTGCCTTTCTTTCAAGTCTTCCAATAATGTCAGGGAAAAAGGTTTAGTCTGCTGCTAATATATCTTTAACGTCTCTCCAAAGAATGCTAATTTCCATTTTTTGTTAAATAAGAACAGGCTTCATAACTCAGTGTCTTCAATAGGCAATGATATCTTGCATTGTAGTATCACCATTGTATTCTTATTGTTACTTCTATTGTTACTTTCATGGCTTTATTTTTTTATTCTTATATTCTATTTATGTAAAACGTTAGTGTTGCCATTGCTGTAATTCTCTTGTCCATTTCTTCATGGTTATAAGATTGCTGCTGAAGCTCCTGCCCTCACACCCAAATTAGAATAATGGAGAAAGGCAGGTTTCAGCCACTTTTGTCTCCTATCACCAGGAAAGCAAAAGAATTCTACGTATAAGTTGCATTGATCAAAACATGTCCCATGGCTACCTATATGTAGCTGCAAAAGTGGCTAAAAAAGTGGGTGTTTGTCTGGGTACATTGATACCCAAAATTAATCAGAGTTCTATCATCAAGGAAAGGGCATAGATGCTGAGCTCTGCAGCAATACTGTTTGCCAAGGCTGGAAGGCCTTTGAGATTTCTCCTTGGCGTCTGCGAAGGGCAAGAATGGAAGTCAGAGCTGTGGAATGATCTGGAGAATTCAGCAAAAAGTCTGTTTCTCTTTCCCTTGTTGGCTACTAAGACATGCCCCTTCCCCATGGTGTAGCAGAACACTGGAAAAACATCTTCACGCATAAGGAACGACATGCAACGAGAAAAACGATATTGCCCAAACACTCTGACACTGTGGCGAGGAAATCTTATGAATTTGCCCCCATTGGCTACTCTGCCTCAAAGTGCTAAGCTAAAGAACTCCCCTCTTTTCAGTTTACTACCTAGGAGATATAATTTCTTACCTGTACACACCTCAAAATATGTACCCAAGAAACTTGACTTGGAATCTTATAAAATCCCAGAAATAGGAAGTTTCTATTTCAAGAACTACTTTTCAAATTAATGTTGTAATTCAGCAAGCATTTAGAGAGAGCCCACAATTCCTGAATGCTCTACATGCTGAGAATACAGGGGTGAGCTAGACTCACATGGCCCTGGGCACACATTCTGGTGGAAAAGGCAGATAAGAACTCAGAGAAGCAGGAGCACGGGAGGGGTAAGAGTGGAACACGGGAGCCAGACTGTTAGGCTGAAGTATAGATTCTGCAGCTTCCTGGCAAATTACTTGTATCTGCGCCTCAGTTTCTCCAGCTATAAGATAATAAGGATAATTATAGTATTTACCTCAGGGGGCTACAGCGAGGCTGCTTTCTGGCTCTCGGTGATGAAGGCATCCACTGTAAAGGGCGAAGAAGCTAAGATGTAGACAACAGTGCTTTAAAAGGTAAAATATGCGGATGACAGGTTAGTACCTACCTCAATTGGTGGCTGAGTGTATAGCAAGGCTTAATCGATATCAAGTGCTTAGACGTACATAGTAAGTGTTCAATAAATTTTGCTATTATCCTATCTCAAGTACCAGGTTTTTACCTGATATTACGGTGCTATATAAAGCCTCTTAAGATACCAAGGAATCCTCAAGGCCAATTGTAACAAGTGTGTTGCTGCATTCTTGTGGTTCTGGTTGAAGATTTGCTCTTCCAGGCACCTGCACAAAGGAATGCTTCTCAGGTGCATTTGCATGCGACGGAGAATGGGGTCCTAGGCATGACGGACATTATGATTTGGGAGTAAAGCATAGTAAGACCGAGGTTGCAATTACTGAAGAAAAACCCCAGCAGGCAGAAGAGGTGTCCTGCGCTATCACTCATCTTGCTTCCTCCCGCCCTCCTCCCTCCCCCAGGGCTCCCCTTCATCAGAACACCCATGACTGGCTCTTATATCAGCATTTCCAATAATGTAAAAAGGGAAAATACAGACCTGGGCTTTCATGGAAAGCCTCTAACCCTCACCACCGGAATCCCTGCCTTAAAAAAATATATATATGGTTTTTAGATCTTTAACTTTTCCTTTAGCATTTCAGTACCCAACTGGTTGAAGAGCGTCTTTTCTGGGGAATGATATTTCCTGGCACAATATGGTCTTTGTCAAGTGACTCAGTTTGATTTTTTTGTTTTTCAATATCAAGTGGCCCCAACTTACAGAGAAAAAGTGGGCCCTTGGTATCAGTTTGATGTCAGGGTTTTTCCATATTTGAAAGGGAGCTTTAAATATGACCAGATGTGAAGGCATCTGCAGGCCAAGCTCCAGGCGTCCCCCCGGCAAGATGCTCCTAGCTGCAGTGCTCGCCTCTGCCCTGCTCCTCTGCTCCGTGGACGGCCAGAGGTGTTCAACCTTGACGGGGACCTTGGACGTCAAGTTCCTCATCGACAAGCTGCAGGTAGGCTGCAAGGGGTACCGCGGTGGCAGCGGGAAAGACAGCTACTGACAACTTAAGTGAGCCACACACAGGAGAATGAAGAAACACACCACTCATTATGTGTTCTTACCTCTCTACCTACTTTAGACAGATCCGCCTTCAAGATGCAACTGCAGCGCCAACGTGAGTGAATGCTCTTTTAAGAACTTTCCAAACTCATTTTAATTGTCTCATCTGGAATCTCACTCTGAAATTTCTCTTTGGCAGGTGACCAGTTGTTTGTGTCTGCCCATCCCTTCTGTAAGTATAGTGAGAGAATATAATCTTGATCCTTTTTTTTTTTAAGTAATAACCACCAACTGATTTATTTGATAGTTAAAATTAGAAATTGTTACTTAATTGCAATTTTTACAGATTAGAATTTGCTTTTAAAACCAGGCTCTTGCAATTCTATACTATATAAATTTCTTCGTATTTAGTTAGCTTTATGTCCCTGGAGAAGTTTGAACACTTCAATATTTAAAAAAGAATCTTGAATATCTTTTTAGATGAGTGGCCGTGTACACAATTAAATCAAACCAGAACTAAAGAGCATAGTCAACGATGTAGCTCCTATCATATTGCTTTCTAACTCACTTGCCAATGACTCTAGGGTTGTGAAACAATGTAAATAAAATGACAACTCCTTATCTTTCATCTTGCATAAACTGTCTGTGTGCTATACCTCCTGCTTCCTCCCTGCCCTCCCTCTCTCCCTCCCCCCCTGGTGCCTGCCCAGCTGACTAGGGCAGTGCTGCAAGGTTTGAATGCTACACTCTGGGCAGATAGACAGATTGCCTAAAGTTGTGGGTGCAGGGAGAGCTCTGAGGGGGCCACTGTCCACTCTGGCAGGAAAGAGAGGGGCAGTAACGCTCTGATTCCTAATGCAAACTCCCAGCTACGGGGAGGAGGAAGTGCTTGTCCAAGGCACACGCAGCGTGCAGTGTTTTACTCTCAAGCCACGCCTGGGAGAATCTGAGCCTCGCACTCACCACAGTCCAATACTGGGTGAGAAGAGGCTGGGGTGCCTTCTGGAGAGGATGAACCATGATTATGCACCATGCACCACTGGCCCAGCATCCCCCACCCCCACCTGGTTTGCAGTCCCTATTCTAGCCGCTTTAACTGGCACAGCCCCTCAGAAAGGCTTTTCCTGTCTCTGTACTTCCGAACTCACTCTTACAAGACCTGGAGCCGCGGAGCACCGTTTGCTCAGGAGACTCAGAGCTGGCCATTCTCCACGGCCCATAGGCCTCGTGCTTCCTGGATGGAACATGCTGGAAATCTCCTCTAGGGATTGTCACTCTGGGAAAGTGGCTTCACCTTGAAAACTTGATTATTTTCTAGACTGGCAAGGGATGTATCTGAACATCTGAACATCTGCAAGTGCCAGTTACAGTGGTTAAATGGAACACTCTTAGTGGTTTATTCTCTAAATGGTCCTTGGAGTGTTTGTTTTAATAAACCCTTATGATCTGCCAGGACGACTGCGACAGACCATGCTTCCGAGAGGGACTGTCACAGCTGACCAACAGCACGGTGCAAACGAGACACCCACTGGTTTTCAGTCGCGTGAGAAAAGCAGTTGAAGTCCTAAAGAACAGCAAGTGCCCAGTGAGTTGGTTTCTCTGTGTGGTGTGTTCTGGTTGGTGATTTCTGTGGGGACGTTGATGCTTACCCTGCTTGAGCGAGAGAGGATGAGGGACGCGTCAGGAATTAATCAGAAACAATAGAATTTAAGTGAGATAGGCCACTGTTCCCCTCCTTTTAAGAAATACTCACACTGACAGGGCCATTGACATCTTTCTGAATAATGAAAGAATCCATTCTGATTGTAATTAGGAGCTACAGTCTAGAGAATCAGGGCTGTAGCTCACAGAACACTAAATCACCCTAGAGATTCAATCTGCTAAGCTAACCGAATGGATATTGCGGCCTTTAAGTTAAAGGAGACATTTTTCAGTTGATTAAGGAGGTGCTGAAAGGCAAGGTGCCCAGGTCAAGGTGCAAGCTTGCCACTTGCCCTCAGTGCCCATCTGCAGGTAATCTTCTTCAGCACATCCCCGTCCCCTGGAGGGAAGGGGCGGAGGGTGCGATGAGGGAGGGTGGGGTGGCCTCCCTGCCTGCTGGAGAACTAGCATCTCCACTGAGATCATGGAGGGAGGGAAGCCCTGACCTCAGCTCTGCAGCTGCGTATGTTTCTACCATCAATGGCATTCAGTTCTAAGCCCTTCATATAGAGTTTTCCATTGAAAACTTAGGGACAATTATTAGATTTGGGTTACTTTAAAGAGGAGAAAACGGATGCTCAGTGAAGTTAACTTATTTGCCTAAGGCTATGTATTTCATAAGCAGCAGAGTTGAGATTTGAACTTAGGTCTATGGGACCCCAAAGTCCCACTCTTAGCCATCGTGCTATAAAATGAGCTTAGAAGGACAACTTGAAAGGATAATGATGCAATTTAATGCTTCAAAGAGTCCCCAGGAAAGGCTTTTTCTGAGAAATTTAGGGTCACTTGATAGATGTCTAAGTATTTGTGTGTGACAGATCCCAAAAATCCCACCACCTGGACGTGCCCACCTATTACTGTAGGTCTTGAGCCCTGCCCTGCCCACCCTGCACCTCCATCCCCCTCTACTCCGGGCAGGGAGGTTCCTGGGGCTGTCTAGGTCCACACCGTTTGAGTCGCTCTGTCCTTGTCCACTTTTCTCCCACAGTTTTTCTCCTGTGAACAGCCATGCAACCAAACCACAGCGGGCAACACGTTGACGTTTCTGACGAGTCTCCTGGAAGTTTTCCAGAAAGAAAAGATGAGAGGGATGAAAGGAAAAGTATGAAGACAGAGTATTTTTTATTCTATTTATTGAATTTAAAAAGCTTTCTCTTGAAGCTATTGTAATTAACATATCAAATAAGCTACCCTAAATTATAATCAGTTGTGATCATTTGTTTAAAACTTTATGTCTATATTTTGGAGTAAATAAATATGGGTGAAAAAAGAGTACAAGCTGGTCTCCAGGGTTATTCCTTCCTTGCTGTTCAGAACAAAGACGGGCACAGACTTTGTCAAGGGGAGGGAGGAATCAAAGACTCCCGTGGTGGTCATGAGACTCCTGATCCTCAGTACAGACTTGAACACTCATGACCCGTGGCTGGGCTGCAGGGGTGCCACTAGGGGAGGCTGAGGCACGCCTGAGGGAGGTCGGCAGGGCACTGCCAGGGGGCTGGAGTCCTAGGAAACTGACAGGACACCAGAAGGGGAGAAGGCTGCAGCTTGGGGGATCCAAGAGGTGGGAGACCCTCAAGACTGTGGGCAAGTTCTCATGTCAGAGAGCAAAGTGCTTCCAGCCAAGCCCGAAGTGGCATGGAGCAGAGAACCCCTGGGACAGCTACTATCTATTCATCTGAAATACCTTCAGTGAGCCCGGCCCCGTGCTGGGCACAGTGCCTGGCTGGGGACAGGGTCTAATGGAGTGCCTCCCAAAGGATCCTTGAACGAGGCTATCTGGCTGGCACAGCGTGGCTGTAGCATTCATCTTGCCTCCATACTCAACCTTTTCCCAACCTCAGAACCTGATATTGGCCCCCGTTCTTCAGTGCTTACCACTGTCTAAGGTGCGCTCCCCTTTATCCATTTGCTGTTATTGTTGACTGTCCATCTCTCCCTGCTCACAGGCCAGCTCGTGCGGAGATCTTTGCTCTGCTCCCTGCTGTATCCCAAGTGCCTGCACTGCACTGGCCCGGGGCAGGTGCTCCATCAGTGTGGACCGAATGGTGACAGGCCTTTGAGATGCAAGAGCAAAGTCCAAATTGAGGCTAAGTCAGGAATGTGCACACCTGGGGAAGAGACAGGACCCAGAACATACTAAAGTTGCTCAGGGAGGTGACGTCCTTTCACACCTCAAGGCAAGCCCTGGGCCGGGGTTTACACCATGAGGCCACCTGGAGGGGACAGACTGCCAGCAGCCATCCTGCTTAGCCTCCCCGGCCCTGTGAGACTGGCAGGGTGGATTCAGGGTTAAAGTTAGGGGCAGGGTAGTCTGACAGCTTCGCTGAAGAGGACGGGGCTTGAGAAGAGCTTAGAGACGTTTAAAGGATAAAGTCTGCTCTATCATATTGGGAGCAATCTACCATGAAGGAGAATTTTTTTAGGTACTATCCAAATTAGAATTGCTTCCTCTCCCTGGTAGGCTAGCCCATTCTTGGATAGTTTTTATCATAATAATATACAAAGTTCAGAGTAGCAAGAAACAGAGTCCCTGGAAGGGCCTTTGCTCAGCTTTTATTCTCCATCAGTTACAATGCCAGGCAGTGCCTGGGTGTGACCCACCGGCCAAAGTCAGGTTTTCTGATCATCTAAGTAGCCCAGTCCCGTGTGTGTGTGTGTGTGTGTGTGTGTGTGTGTGTGTGTCCCTTAGCAATAAGGGTGAGCACAAGTTTTGCCTCCTGCCTGCAAGGGTCCAGAGCTTTAGCACAGGGGCCTGGGTCAGGGGAAAGTCTTATAACCTTCCTGGGTGCAGAAATTATAGATTCATGGTGACATCCCAATACAATTATTTTAACCTTATTGAGATAGAAAGAGACAAGTTTCGCAGTTCCTTATTTCTAGAGACACATATCTCAAAGAGCAACAATCTGGGCTTCAAAGTCAGGATGCGTTCAGAAGGACATCACCGGTTAGCCTTTGCACTCCCCAGTGCTAGTGGCCAGCAAGCACTGCTGCTGGGGCCACAGACCTTAGGAGCCATAGACAGCAGCCTCCACTCACTTCCCCGGAGGAGTGGAGGACACTCTGTGGCAGTGGTGGCTGGGGGTGGGGTGGGGCATGGGTGCTGTCGTGGCAGTTTTCTGAGGATGTCCCCTAACAGCGGGTCTGAGAGTTCATGCTCCAACTGTCATAAGGAAGGAGGATACCCCACCATCTCCTATATTATTTCTTCCTGGAGACATCAAGCTCAGGCACAGGGCTCCCAGTGCCAGGGTCCTGCCTCTGTGAGGTGCCCTGAATACGGTGTCCCGTGTGGCTGTCCTGCCAGGCTCCCTACCGGTCCGTGGGCCCCCAGGGACAAAGAGCCTCCTCCCCAGCACATATGCTCTGGGCGGGACACACAGCAGGTGCTGGGAACAGGTCTATCAAGTAATATGTTTATTATCATTGATTAATATTAAGACTCACTGTATGTACTAGGCATGCAGTATCTCATTTATTCCCCTAATAATATAGTAGAAAGTAGATATTATTATTACTGTATTTTTGTTGTGTAGATACAGAAACCGAAGGTTACAAAGGCTGAATGACGTACACAAGCTCCCACAGCTGGCGGGACTTAGAGCAGGAATTCATCCCCAGTACCCTCTGGTTCCAAGCCCCTCACTCTTAGCCCTTTGCCCTTTCCTTACTTCCTTTCCATCAGGTGTGCACGTTGTGCTTCCAGCCTGAGAGTCAGACAGGTTCCCCATAATTCCAGTCCACACTCTCTTATCCAGACACCTGGGAGTCAGAGATATTTCAGAATTCAAGCTTTTTAGCCTTTTGGGAAACCAATACACAGTTCAGGTGCCATATGTTAGGTAACGCCCACAGCAGGGCCTGCAGCCAGATCCCATAACCAAACACATCAATACCTGCAGCAAAACACAAGAGCATGCGTACGAAGTGGTCAAGTTTTGCAGCCAAATGACTCACAGCAAATCTTGTGTTTTCAGAGCTGGTTTGGATTTCAGAATAGTGGTAAGGGCTTGGCGAGCTGTATTCACACAACTGCCCCCCTCTGGCTCACCCCACTCACAGAAGGGGCGGGGTGGGGGCATTCTCTCCCAGACACTGTATCTGGGGCTGGGCTGGATGTCTCCAGGAGAGACAGAGGCTTCTGGAGCTCCCTGGACAGCCAGCCATGTGGCATCCCGGGTCAGGGCTGCAGGGCCTGCTCTTCCCCCTCCTCCACCTGGGCTTTCTGAATGACTGGCCCCAGACACAGCTGCCTTGCGTTACGCAATGTGGTTCACCACAGGCAGCACCGGAAGACGCCCACCTCAGCAGTGCTCACCCGGCAGGATCACAGCAGGGACAGAGGCTGGTGGTTGTGATGGTTTCGGAACACAACCTGGAAATGCAGTCGGCTGCCAGTGGAAGTGGGCAGAGGTGCTGTGACTCGCTGCCGTGGGTTAATCGGCAGCCTGGCCCGGTGCTTCCCCTCAGCTTTCCTGCAAAAGTTGCAGAACCACAGGACCTGCCCCGACGGCAGGCTCCAGGGAGGACTCACCTGCCGTGAGGTGTGCGGTAATTACTCTCCTCCCTGCCAGGAGAGTTGAGATTTATCCAGAAGCCACCTTGAAGAAAGGAGAAGAGCTAACATTTATTGAGCGTTCACTGTGTACCAGGCACCTGCTAAGCATATTTTGTAGAGTGTCTTTTTAGAGCCTCAACAACTCCACAAAGTATTAAATAATTGTTGCATATAATTATGATCACTGCACAAATGAGGAAACTGAGGCCCAAAGAGGTTGCATGACTTGCCCAGGCCACACGGCTCACCCGTGGAAAGCTGCTGCCCTGTCCAGGCTGCCGGGCCCCAGGGAGAGTTGTTTCCAGGAGACTGCAGAGCAAAGCACACCGCTGTTGGCTAGAGCCAAGCCTGGATGCTGCCGGCCTTAACCCTGGCCCATCCCTGCACATCCACTCATTCAGCGTGAAGCAGGAAGATGCTGTGAGGTCTCAACTCCACAATCCTTCTCCTCCCTTTGTCACACTTTGCTATCACAGACCAAGACCTCCCTGCCTCTGCAAAGGGGCCTCAGCAGAAATGAAAACGCATCCAAAGGGCTTCTGTCTTTATTTTTATTACTTTAAAAAGATGGCTTTATTGAGATAGGATTCATACTGTATGCCACACAATTCACCCCTTTAAAGTGTATGATTCCATGGGTTTTAGTATATTTGCATATTCAGTGGGTTTTAGTATCCCCCTTTCTCTTGGCTATGCCTATATACCTAGAATTGCTGGGTCATCTAGTAATTCCAAGTTTAGCTTTTTGAGAAAATGCGAAACCATTTTCCAAAATGGCTGCATCATTTTATGTTTTTGCCAGCAACGGAGGAAGTTTAGAATTTCTTCATATCCTCCCCAACACTTGTCACTGCCTTCCTCGTGCTCCCCAGGAGGGTCAGACCCCTGGAGAGTGTGAATCAGTGACCCTGCGGCCTCCTGGGCAGGAGAAGGGCCCGGCAGTGTCTGCGCCCCCCCACCAAGCATGCTCACTGGATGTCCGCTTGAAGCTCCACAGGCCACGTGTCTGCAGCTCTCAGAGTTTCACGTGCAGAGACAAGGCCCAGGAACAGCCTGAAGTCGCCTTGTGTACCCCTCCTGAGTAAAGCAAACAACCCAGACTCTCAGAGGGGAGGACAGGCAGAGAACAGAAACCAGAACGATCGCAGTTCCCCTGCCTTTCTCCCACCCCTGGGCATTGCACTTTGCAGTTTTGGAAGGCAGGCAAGGGAGGCCAGGATGGCTGTTTTTACAAGTGAGGAAACAGGCCAAGAGGGGGCAAAAGCCTGCCAAGATCATGCAGGTAGCCAGTGGCCGAGACCTGGGACCGGAACTCAAGGTTAAGGTCTCCCTAGTCTGAGTCACTTTCCACCACAGAGAAGGAAAAGGACAGTGCCAAGGGAGATGGCCAGACCCAGAAAACAGGAAGAGAAATATCAGGGGCCCAGGTGCTCTTATCATGGGGTGGGGGTTAGCAGTGGGGAGGCCTAAGGTCAAGCACTACCAGACACTTGCAGGTTTGCTTGATTCCTGCTGCCACCAAGTGGCGGTTCTGTAGCATAGCAGCCAAGGGAGCTGTTCTCAGCCTTTGGGAGACAGATTTTGTTTTGGCAGGGCAGCAGTTCTCAAAGGGCGCCCATCAGGTGGAAACTATACTCATAGAACATTAAGGCGTTCTCTGCCCTTTGCACTCTCATTTGCTCACAAGTATCCAAAGGCGTGATCCAAAGGCCACGTGGTGGTGATACCACACACCTGCAGAATCAGATGGGGGCAGCCACCTGCCACCCTCCGTTTAAGACAGACATTAGAGACCAGCAAAAAGGGGAGACAATTGCGACTCTTCTCATTATTTGTGTTTGACAAGAATAGTTATTTTCATGAACTATTTTATTTATATTAACATAATATAATTATGTAATTTGTTATACTTTAAATGAATATTCTTAGAATGCTTAGCTTTAATTTCTGGCAAATGTTGGTAGATAAGCAAAAGTTCTTGGAGGCCCTTAATAATTTTTAGGAGTGAAAGGGCCCGCTGTTGGAAACCACCGTAGAGTGATAGTTATTGTTATTCTTTTTCACCGGCCAAGTCTGAAGCCCTTCAACTCCAGGACACAGACACCAACATTTGTGTTCGGCTTGGAATTCTGTTCTGTTTTCAGCCTTTCTTAAAAATTGAGCTCCATTTGTTTGAAGACATTTTGCAGAAGATGACGTAGACACTGATGCCTGCCGCCTGGCGCTGCCACCCAGGCCCCACAGCACTGCACAGACAGACTCGGCGCAGGCGTTTGTGGCTGAGGGGAAGAAGACCGTGATGTGTAGGTTGACGGAATCCTTGTCTTCTCTGGAAAAAGTCGGGTTTTGTTCATTTCCAGTCCTGAGGGGGGAGTTGCTGGGGCCGCGTCTGACTGGTGTGGGGTGGGCAGGGGGTGGGTGAGGGGCGGTCACTAGAGCCTCAAGGAGGGCAGGCAGCAGGCAGAGCTGGGCAGCAGCCCTCAAAACAAGTACCCAGCGTGGAGCCCTAGCTCTGCAAAACCACATGCTTTCATAAAAGAACATATTCTCACTGTAAAAACGTGAAACACTACAGTGGTGCACAAAGAAATCATCATCATTAAAGTAGAAATTGAAAGGCTTTCCCCAATCCGACATCCCAGCAATGGCCACCGTTAAGTTTCGTGTGTACCCAGCCAGACTCTTCATTGCACATATAACGTGGCATGTGTAATATGTGTTTAAAAATAAAACGATGTCATACATTTATTCTGCCACCTCAGTTTTGCACATACAGCGTTGCTGACATATTATTCCTGTGACAATGTAAGATCTCTCTCACTCTTTTCAGTGGCTGTGGGTACTGTTCTAGAGTATGGATGCACCTTGATTTTTTTAAACCCTTTTCTGTTGATGGGCATTTAGAAAGTTTCTCAATTCCCATCATTACAATCAGTTCTCAGTCAACATGGTGATGCTCCCATTTTTGCCCATCAATGCACGGGCGCTTGCCAGGGCGCTGTGTTGAGAAGGATTCTGAAGCGCCATCTGGCTCGTGGAGATGGGCTCTGCGATTGAGCAGGGGTGCTTACGCTTGTTGCGGGCACAGACGGGGGTGACAGCATGGACACAGGCCACCCAACAGCAGGACAGCAACAGCCTCCCACATGGCTCTAGTTGGGAATCAAATTTAGAGCAACGAAATCACTCCGGAAACCAGACTGTGGACAAAGCACTTTTGTTCCATTTTCCATGTGAAAATAAGGCCCAGAGAGCACCCACCCCACCCCACCCGAGTCCAGGGCCACCATCTCCAAAGCACGTCACAAAGCCACTGCTCAGGGTTAGGGAGGCTTTCTCTTCCCCATCACCCCTTCTCAACCCCTATGCCCTCCCCTATCTGCCTTCGGCATCTGGGAAAAAAGACCCCAGACTGCCACCGTCAGTTCCTCCCCCGCATGGAGTGGGTTTCTCCCTGGGCTGGTGACATGTGCGGGGACCTGAGCAGAGAGAGCAAAGACGGTGGCCAAGTGCCTCTCGGCAGCCAGGCAGAGGCATCTGACACAGACTCAGCCCCAAAAGGTTTTCAATACTTTTATTTGGAAACTTGCAGCCAACTCCAGCTTCTCCACGAATCCCCAGTGGGTTTACACTGGCCATGTGGGCAGGGGCTGTTTCACCCTGTTCTTTGCCAGGCGCTAGTCCAGAGCTGAAACAGATGGTGACAGATGGACCAACGGTCCCTCACGTCCCTCTGAGGCCGCAGCTGGGCCCCAGTCGGGTGGAGACAGGATTCCGATTCCGAGGGCATCGCACTTGGCCTCCTGGCGTGGAGCCCAGGGGCTGGGAGTCCTCTCTCCTCATCAGATTCACTACCTCGGGCTCTGCAGACGCCCTCAGCACCGACCGGCAGTGAAATGAGGCCCTGGTCATGTGACACTGGCCCTGGGATAAAGGAGGAAAGACAAGAATGTCATCTAACTGGAGTAACCATCAGATCCTGGGGTCACACAACCCATTCAGAGCCTGTTTTCTAGAAGCACAGATGGGAAAGCTACCGCCACGAGCATAGGTTGGCTCTTCATTAATGTTCCAAAAAGATACTATAGGGAGAATGTATCTTCTTTCCTTGAAAATGAATTTTCCTGAAATTGAAGAAGGCTAATGAGGTTCAGAGTATGCATGTTTATATCGTCTGATTCCGGTTTCTCCAAGTGAACAGGGAAAACTAACTGTATCACAAAATAGCCACCTCGTGTAGTGTTTACTGGCTTCGAGTTGTCCTTGGGTCATTACTGCATGCAGAGTGGCAGAAAAACGACTTAGAGGATGGATGAAAAGTAAGTGACCTTCCTCCCTGGGACTCTGGGAGCTGGAGGAGAGCTCCCTATCTGGCTTCCAGGAGGAACCTGGAGGCTACTTGGAGCTGGAGACTTCTATTCCCTGCAAGAACTCGGAAACAATTCTCACGTTGTTCCTGCCACCTGTGCCCATGGACTCTTGAGACAGTCACCGTCCCACCACTTCTTAGGAGCTGTAGGGCTCCCTCGTTCTCTAATAGACACCGTCTCACTTTGTGCTTGACTGGACAATGAGGAAGGCCTTGGATCCCCCATCTTCAAGCAGTGAGTGCTCCTGTGCTTGCAGCATGGCCTGCCCCAAATCTCAGAGCTGCTTAGTAAATTCAGATGTAGGCCTTGTTAAAAGGCTGTGGTCTTCTTGGGTCAGAGAAAGAATTGAATGCCCTGGGTAAGGATTCTGTAAGGTGAGGCCCCAGACCAGTGGCCAGGAACCTCCTCCCCAACCCTGGCAGTGCCCTTTCCTGAGGGACACAGACATCCAAGCCCCTTACAAGAGAGAGCGCTTCAGAAAGAAAAGCTTCCACTTGGGGTGGCCACTGCTATGAAAGGCCAAATCCAGGGCAATCATGACTGGCTTGCTAGAAACTTCTTCCCTCGTCCTGAAGCAGCCAATCCCTAGGGTACTCAGGCTGGGCAGGCATCTGGCCACTCCAGGATCTGTGAGGTCTTGGCATTGAAACCATATAGCTGAAGATTTACTGGCGTTGAAAAATAGCCCTGCCCTACTAAACGGGGAGAGAGGGCTATAAATTACCGTGTGGAGCAGAATTCCAATCTGGGGATACATGTAAGACACACTTGGAAGAACAATAACAAGGTCTAGCAATGACAGGTATTTTTATTTTGTTCTTTTTGTTTATTTGTATCTTCTATTTTTTTCTCCAATAAAAATGCATTGACTTTATTATAGGATTTTTTAAAGGTTACTTTTATCTTCTAAAAGAGGGAAATGGCTGATCTCTGAGCACAGATGTAAGAACAAGGCAAACTCCCTTCCCTGCCTGGACCTCACCGGAGTGTGGCAACTCCTCACCCACGGTGTCCAGTTATGCAAATGCGGTGCTCCCCTTCCCTTTCATCAGGAAGGACAAAAAGCCATAAAGAGCTCAGGGCATTGATTTAAAGCCAGCTTCTGGGCTTGTCCTGGGCTCCCTCCAGCCAGCCTGGTGGGCTGTGCCTGTCCCTGCATCCAGGCTCTGGTACTCCCCTGCACCCCAGCGGGCTCTGCTGCCCCATGAGCGCCCCTGCTGGCCCACAGGGGGAGGCAGCAGTGGGGTTTTCTAGACCTTCCTGATGAAGACCATCCTTCTTGGGAGAACTTTTAGTAACCAAGGCTGAAGTGAAATGGCATCGGTTGACTAGAAAGTTCAGTGACTCACCCCACCTTGTCTTCTGACCTTTGCAGGTAACCAGTTTGGGGCCAGAGAAAGAGAAACAAAGGAGAATATGCCAGAGGAGGAAGAGGAGTCTCCGAGGAGACACTGGAGGCTGCTTGTCCCCCCCATCCAGAGATGCAGCTGAGCCACCCTTGGGTGCCGGGCTCTGCGCCAGGCACCAGCAACCCCACAGTGGGCAGAGCGCTGCAGCAAGGCAGGGGTGGGGGCAGGGTTACAGCAGGCACAAGTGATCCCAGCTGAGAAACCAACCAGGTGTCCTGGAGGAGGAGGCTTCTGCCCTAGGGCCTGGGTGACAGAGAGTTGAAAGGAGCAAGAAGAGGGCGTCAGGCAGAGGGAGCAGCATGGGCAGAGACCCAGAGATGACAGAGAGGACAAGAGAGGCTGGAGAAGGGAGGTGCTGAGGACAGGCTTTATCTAGGGGCACTGGGGAATGAGCAAGGGAGTCACTTGCTCAGAATGCTGTTTTCATGAAATTGCTCAGGCTTCAGGGATCTTTCTGCATTGAGAAAGGGGGAAAGGGGAGGGTGTAGGAGACATGGAATGGTGGCAGAGACCTGTCCTCCAGGGCTTTGGGAGCCCGTGGGTGGCTCTTAGACTCAGGCTCTGAAGTTCAGCAGGGAGGTGGGGAGACAGTGCCCTCGGTGGGGAGGGCACTGGTTCAAGTCCTTACTTCTGGGTGCGGGTCATGGCATTTGCGCAGTGAAGCTAAAAACTCTTCTCCCCAGGGGCTATAGATGCTGCAGTGGGCAGACTGGTGGGAGAGCTAGCTACAAACCAGCACATCCTGCCACTCGGTCACTAGCACCCAGGGCACCACCCATCACTGGTGGGCATTTCAGAGCTGCCGCCTGGTAGCCCTAGACCTACTGCGGGTTAGATATGAGAAGACACAGGGACAATCTAGAAGGCCACAACATTTTCATGACAAAGAAGAGAGTCTGAGTTCCCAGGAGGCACAGGTGGCTGGGATGGAAGCACACTGACCTGGCGCTCAGGGGCTGGTCACCGCGTGGTCCCCACGGAGAGCCTGCAGCGAGAGCTCATAGCCGAGGAACATGGCCGCGCTCATGGGGAAGCCCCGCACAGCGTTCACGGTGACGCCTCTGAAAAACACCTTCCACAGGGCCCGTTACTGCAGGGGCTGGCCACACCCTCCGGGGGCCACCGCTGCCGGGAAGGGAAACAGCAGGTGGCTATGCCCTCCCAGGGCCCAGTCCCTGGCCGGAGGCCAAAGGATGTGCACGTGGAGACCACACGAGATGCCCCAGTCCTGTCCCTGCCCTGACCCCTGTCATCTGATGGCGCCGTCCTCCCAGACCCTCATACACATGCACTAAGCACTGTAGGCTTAAACCCACAGATACCCACAGACACTTGCCCTGTTTCTCTCTCTCTCAGGCACACACACAATCCTCAGGAAGCCCTAAGTAGACAGAGGACCAGCCATGACCAACCGCTGGAATGGGGCTTCACAGGACGTCCCTAGCACGGCAGAGCGCAGAACTTGGGTTGCAGACGCAGAGCTGAGGTGCAGCTCTCCCCCATTCAGTAGCTATGCTACTTGAACAAAGTGGTGATCTCTCTGGAACTCAATGTTCCCAACTGTGAAATGGGGTAACAATAGTATTGACCCAATAAGGACATCTGAGGGACTAAATGAGACAAAGCTTTGCAAGCACTCACATACAGTGCCTGACATAGGGTAGGCGCTCATTAACTATTGACTATCACAGTCACCCTTGTTGTTGTTACCAGTAGTCATCCCCTAACAGGGAGTGGGACGCCACCTCTGCCATTTGCACGAATGGCCTGTGCTGAGAGCCACTGCACGCGGCCATCCCTGCTATGTGACACTGTGTCTGCCTCCACCCTGGGGAATGCTGTGAGATGCTTCCCAGTCACTGCCCAGATTTTCCTTTCCTCCCTTGGTCTCCCTGCTGGCTGCTGGGTGGAGGCTGATAATCGGATGTGCTTCCACCCTGGAGCAGTGGGTAACCGATTAGGGGAGATCAGCCCCCGGGGAACCCAGAGAGTGTGGGGAATAGATAGGGGCTTGGTAAGGGGTGGAGTGGGGACTGGCCTCTAATGTATGCTCAAGGAGGAAACAATTTCCAAGCAAATCCCCACTCTGGCATAAATGACCAGAGAACTGTCAGGCCTGCAGTATGAACCAGCTCTCTGATCCCCAAATAATTCACCAAGTTTCAGAACCTGAGCTGATATTTTTGAGACAGCAGAAAGAAGCCAGGGCCCTTCCCCAGTCTCTGTGGCCGCTGGTGCTATGGTGTCAGAGCTGGAGCAGCCGTGTCCTTGGCCAGGGTGGCAGGTGGCCTTCCTTCCTTCGAGCCTGGCCCAGGGAAGGGAGAGGACGGGCCAGGACCACAGGGCGGGCAGGAGGCTGAGCATGTCCCGGAGCCACCCGGGCAGGGTGTGGGTGGGACCCTGGGAACATCAGCGCTTGTCTCCACCACTGGCCTTTCCGGAATTCCACAGGCTCACTCAGAGTGACTGAATAACAGCAAGGAACTGGGTCAGGCTCCGAGAGGAAAATTCCATGCCTGGTGCCCTAGAGGCTCCGCTGTGGTTCTGGGCTGGGCTCTGCCCTGTGAGGCTGAGTCAGGCAGCCTGGAGCGGGAGCCTCCCACCCCACAGAGCCAGCCCTGCAGGAGCCACGGGCCACGACAGACAGATGGACAGACAGCCCTCCCTGCCACAGCTGTGGCCTGTTCTGCTGCACGGCCCACAGAAGAGGACACAGTGTAGACCTGCTGGCTCTTATCTCTGAGCTTTCAGAACACACGGCCTCCAGACTGGGTCGCCCCACTCCATGGCGCCCCACCACCCAGGGCCAAGTCCGCACCCTCCCCTGGCTTGCAAGGAGCCACATGCTCTGCCCTGCACTTTCTCTGGGCGGCAGCTCCCCGGACACCTTGGGCAGGTTAACACTTCCCCACCACTGGGCCTCTCCTGGTTCCCTCTGCCTGGAGTGCTACCCGGACCTGCCAGCAGCCTCCGGCTGTCTTCTCACGGCCACCCAAAGTGGAGTGTGGCCTGTCACCTTGTGTGCACTGTGTGTTTCTCCCATGCCAGCACTCCTCGTGCTGTTCTCCACGTGCCCGTGACTTGTCTGCCCCCCCATTAATAATCCCAGACAGGGCAGCAAGTACTGTGTGTGTGGTTTGCCTCTGCCAATGCTTGGCCCAGAGTAGACTTCTACGCACACTTATTAAAGGATCAGTGTGTGGACGGATGAGCTATGAATAAATGGACTCTAGGACGTGAAAAGGAAGAGTCTCTGAGCTTAGAGTCTGGTGGTGGCAGCAGTGGGCGTTTCCTAGAGAGGGAAGGGGGCTCCAGACCCCCAAGAGGCAGCACCGCAGGGCAGCCAGCACCTCTGGAAGCTGCCTACCTGCAATTGTCCCTCTCTGTCTCTCCCCTAGCCCCATGGCACTGTCTCAGCCCTCCACAGCAGCCACCCAACGGAGCTGAAGAGCACACAGGTGCTCCTCCAGCCTCCACTGCCGGCGGCTGCTCCAAGCCAGACCCACGGCCCGTGTGGCTGGACACAGTCCTAACAGCGCGCAGAGAATGGCTCCAAAACTACTAGGCCTTTCTTCCGCTCTCACCCAGGGATGCCCCCGAGACCATGGAGTTTTGATTTCTCCTATCACAAAGGCCATACCACTGAGGATCCCTAAGTGGGCTACAAAGGGCTGCTCGAATTGGGCATCACCATCATTATTTTACTTCTTTAAAGTTCTTTATTATCACTGAGATCCTCTGCTGTAGGAAAGTGAGAACAGGTTGGATGGTGATGGGCTTGGCTCTGTGCCTGGCGTCCATGGGCCATGGTAGGGAATGTGAGGGGTGGCAAGCTCTGTGCACAGGGAAGAGCCCAGGCCATCCAGGACCTGGGGCTGTCCTAGGGCCAAGAAGGGCTGTCTGCCTCCCCTTCCTGCGCTGCTACAAATCTGCCTTTGAGACAACTTGATTTTCCAGGACTGCGTGGGGTTTTTGCACTACTATTTATAAGTAAACATTCACATATCCAAACACACATAGATCTATACATATGCACATACATTCTTGTTCATGCTATGAATATTTTTTTAAATATATCACAAGAAACTCTTCACTGTAATTGCCTTTGAGAGAGGACAGGGACCCAGGAGGGACATTGAGACAGTATATTCTCTTGTACTTTTGGAAGCTTCTTATTTTCGTATATTACCTATATTTTTTAACAAATTAATAATAAATTTAAAAACTACTCTTGAAACATCTGGTCAATGCATGGTTAATCAAGCTGACTATTGCTGTATCAACTTAGAACCTGTCTCCGAATCAACACTGGACCAAATGCTGTCAACATTAGGAAACTAATCATCTGGTCTCAGCTGGCTTCTGGGACTTGATTTTTTACAGAACGCAGTTTTTGAAGGAAATAATATCAACAATATGTTTTTACCTCTATAGGCTTTTTAGAATTATGGCCCATTTGGGAAAGTAGACTAAAGTATCTCAAATAAAAACAGAGCATCCCGTTTGCAATTCCATGACCCTCTCTACTTGTTGGTTGAATCACAAACTGCTTCTACTTAAAAAAAAATACACAAGATAATTGAAGCTGTACCTGAGCTTCATCCCTCTGTCAGGGCAGCCCTTGTTAAAAAAAAATTTAGAATAATGAGAAAGGAAAGCTCTGAGTTTATACATCCTTAAAACATAAAGACAGAAATGACATTTCCTCCATATCACATCTTCTTGCACTACACAAGAGTCCCAGTGCCCAGACGTTCTCATATGCTGTGATGTCCTACTCCTGGCCTTTATTCCAGGGGCACCATCAGGGTCTTGCTTCCTGGGTGGTGACCAGAGGTGGGTCCAACATCCCAGCTGTGATCTGATCAGGGAAGGGGCTTCCACCTCCCTCACTCTACCCACTATACTTCCATTAATGCAGCCCTGGGACCTGGTTCCACTGTTGGCTCCTTGGCATGTAGATTCATCAGAGCATGGGCTTTGTCCCTTTCGGTAACTGCTCTGTCTCCAGCTCCTAGAACTGAGCCTGCCACATAACCAGGTGCTATAAAAATAGCTGTTAAATTAATGTTTAACTCACGAAAACTACAGCCCTTACACATTCTCCCCAGGAGCCTTTGTCAAATCAGAATGCCCCATCCTCCACATAGGTGACTAATTATCGAATACTAAGGACCGGATTGACATTCACTTCTAGTTCTGCCCTTTGGATGTGGCCCTGGGATCTAGCTCTTGAATCTCCTCCCTTGCACACACATGTTAGTTCTTGTCCTCGACACTGGCTCATCCAACACTCTGGATCTTCCCCCAAGTCAGGGGAGGAAGCAAAACAGGACCTTAAGGAACTTGCCATAAGAAGAGGAAAAGAGGCGGGTACAGAAGTAACTGCCATCCACGGTGGGGTGTGACAAGCCCAGAGAGGGCATCAGGAGAAGTGCAGCAGAGGACATGGGTTCTGGGGACAGACACGGGTACTGGGACAGGTGGTGGACTGCGTGGGGCCTGGCAGGCCGGGTCGGACTCACCTGGCAGGGCGCAGGGCAAGGCAGCCGCATGGGAAAAGGCCCAGAACTCAGCAGTAACGTGGGTGCTGACAAAACTAATCCTGGTGATACTATCACTACACCCATAAGAAACTGTTAACTCCTTCTAAGTGTTCCCGATGGGCTATGCCCCGGACTAGGCACTTTTTATGTAGTCATAGTATCACCAGGCCCCTGCCACACCATGTACCAACTGTGTGACCATGGGCAGGTTACCAGCCCTCTCTGAACCTCTATCAGGTGGGCCACACACCTACCACCTCTCCCAGCTGGTGAGGACTCAACAAGACGACCCAGGTGGCGTGCCTGGTGCAACACCTGCTCATGGAGCCTCACACGTGGCAACCACAAGCCCCTCGGCCTCCCAGTTCCCTTCTCTGTAGTGTCACATCCCCTCGATGTCTGAACCAGGGACTGGCACCTACCCCACGGGACCCCTGTGGGCTTACTTTAAGACCTTCCTTCTCGTAACTCTGGGAGATACAGTCCAGGACACCTCTGTATTTGTTGAAATAAACCCCGTCAGCTTGGAGCCGACTTTTCACGACATCCATAGGAGTGGCTGTTCCCCAAGAAATTGCTCCTGCAAAGAGAGAAAGACGAGTGCCAGGGCTGACTGGCTGCAAATCTCCACAGTTCAGAAACTTGCTGAGTTGCTGGGGAAGGGACAGAGCTCAGGGTTAAAACCTGCCAAGTCTGTTTCTGATCCTCCTGCCCGGCGGGTACGGCAGAAGTCTCCTCCCTCTGCTAAGCGTTGGGCCCCGTGTCTGTAAAACAGGGCAGCAGTATTGATCTCCATGGGGCTGCCGTGAGGACCAAACGAACTCAGGAAGCACTGAGCGTGGCACCACTCCACGGCCAGTGCGCGCTGCGTGCCAGCCTTTCTGCGCAGCTGCCACTGGAGAACCAGTGACAGGCGGCACCTTCCCAGGGCACCAGGAGAGGGAGCCCAGGGTGCGGCCGCTTAGGGATTGAAAAAAAAAAAAGCAGGGACTGGGTTTCTAAAAATCTATTTTCCAAATATGTGAAATAGAATTGGGACCACGAGCCCCTGGGTCATCCTCACTGGATAAGCTCAGGTAAAGAAGTCAGGGAAAACTAGGTTATTGTACAAACACAGAAATTGAAAAAACCCAAAGTGATGCCAAAGTCCAGGGCATCTGGTTTGCAAAGCTTTGTCATTCTGCCCAGCAGCTCCTCACGGAGCCCCAGCCTGGCCGCCTGCCCCCGCCCTCTGGGACCCCTGCACGTCCCCACCCTCCCTGCCCTCTGCCGGGACCAGAGCTGCTGCCCTCAGTCCCGGGCAAGGGCATCACAAAAGGAGATCTGCGTGCTGGGCCATGCAAATCTGCCCTCCTCGAAATGACAGCAGAGGGCCTTGCCGTCCTCTCTGCCGAGTGTGACTGAGCTCGCACAGGACCCGGGCTCACGCAGAGGGCAGACACTGGTGGCAGCTAAGACCTGGGCTTCGCTGTTTGCTCTAAGGTTATGGCATCGTTGCTGATGACGCAGGGAGGAGGAGGTGTGAGGAGGAGGGGGAGGAATGACAGTTTTTTTCTCCTATGGGAGCTATCGCATCAGCGTCAAACGTGCCATGGTATCCATCTCCTTGACAAGCGATCCTCTCCTGGCCTCCTCGGGCTACGCTCCACTTCCCGGGCCCTAGTCACAGCACAGGCAAAGCTCTCACAAGTGTTGTGCCTGCTCGGGCTCTCCAATTCCCTTCTTTCCATTCTCTCTCTCTCTTCCCAGTCTCACTCTGCTGCCCAGGCTAGAGTGTCGTGGCGTCAGCCTGGCTCACAGCAACCTCAAACTCCTGGGCTCAAGTGATCCTCCTGCCTCAGCCTCCCAAGTAGCCGGGACTACAGGCATGCACCACCATGCCCGGCTAATTTTTCTATATATTTTTAATTGTTTGGCTAATTTCTTTCTATTTTTAGTAGAGACAGGGTCTCACTCTTGCTCAGGCTGGTCTCGAACTCCTGAGTTCAAACGATCCTCCAGCTTCAACCTCCCAGAGTGCTAGGATTACAGGCGTGAGCCACGGTGGCCAGCTTTCCTATTCTCTCTTGATGCCACTCTTTCAGGTTTTCAAACCTTCCTTGCCATCAAAGAGGCTCTTGTAAAAGTCCCCAGTGGACTCCGCATTGTCGGATCTAAGCAGTGTGAGCAGTGCATGCAAAGGCCTTGTGGTGGGGCAGAGCCGGGCATGGTCAAATGGCAGCTGGGAGCGAGGCGGGGGGGGGGAGCAGAAGTGAGGTTGGAGGCAGCAGGGAAGACCACTGCGCAGATGCTGACTGTTGCCCTAAATGAAAGGGGGACATAGTGCAGGGTTCTGAGTAGGGAGGTTAAGTAACCAGTCCATGGTCACAAAGCGTGGACTTGGATTTGGCTCTTTCTGACTCTAGAGCCCCTTCTATACTGTCAGCATTAGCTATAAGACCTTGGGTCGGTTGCTCAGTATCCCTGGAGCTGAGTTTTCTCATCTGTAAAATGGGGAGATGGATTCCTGCCTTATAGAACTAATCAGATCCTCATATTAGAAAGGTTTGCAGTGTGCGGATATTCAACAAAGACAAACATTGATGACAGCTTTGCTCCCCAAAGCCCAGCAATTTGGAACACAGAGCATGTGCTCAAAATACATTTGTTGCCTGAGAGTTGGATGACCCCAAACAAGGACTTCCATTTCCATAGCTGCGGCAGGAAGGGGATGACGAGAGAACATGGTGCCATTCCCTGCTCCTAGCCCTCCCCCTGCCTTGGTAGGCCTGGCACAGAGGAGACACTTAACAGAGAATTGCTGGGGGAGTGGCTGCTTGTGTCCTGCCCTTTCCTGGGTAGGAGGGGCACAGCAGGCTCCCCAGCTGTGCCACAGTGGGGACCACAGTGGCCAGCGCAGGGACGGTGCTATGCCGCCCTTACCTGCCATGCCACCCGCCAGCCACACGGCGCAGGGGCTGGGGCCTGCGCAGGCCTCAGGCGTGATCCACTCATTCAGGAACACGTAGGGGATAAAGTAGAGGCAGTAGCCTGGGACGTCCCGCAGCAGCATGGCGCTGGCCCCTCGGTACAGCCCCGCCAGGCCCTCGCTCCTCACGATGGCTGCGATGCAGTGCACGGGTCCCTGGTACACCGGCTGCTGCCCCAGAGCCGCCACCCTGGACTTCAAACCGAGCTTGGCTGCAAAGACAGGGCATAAGATGGCAAGTGACCCACAGGGTAAGAGACTGGCCATTCCCTGGCACTGGGGCCAGCCCGGCCCATTGACAGGTCCCTGTCACATGGCTTGTTGGCTTTTTACCAAACCTCCTGACCTTGTTGGCAGCTAAAACCAGGATCCTGAGATCCCAGCAAGGAGACGCTGCCAACACACATGGCCAGATGGAAGACAACTCAGCCACGGGATAAGGCACCAGCTGCCGCAGGATCCTCAGAGCTCTCTGGTCAACAATCAGAGGTGCCTGCAGAACGCCCAGGCTCAGTTATGACAAGGCACACACCAGGCTCTTTCTTGAGGCAAAGGTTAGAAAATCCAACATGCTGTATGTGTGTGCACACATGTACCTGTGCACAGCATGACAAAAAGTATACGAGCCAGACTGTCCTGGCTGCATTATAACTAGCTCTGCCACTCACGAACCTTTTGACGTTGGCAGGCCAGTATTTCCAGCCTTGGTTTCCTTATCTTTAGAAGAGGGACAGGCTGTCATGAGTATAAATAATGTAACATATGTAAAGTGCTCAGTGTAGTGACTGAACACTGTAGTGGCTCAAGAAGCTATTACTTGAGACCAAGGTGGATGGGGACCCACAGGTTGGAGTGGGCAGATGTGTTCTCATTGACTCACACCAGCCCTGGACAGGCTGCACCCTAAACAGCTGTGGGGCAGCGCTGGTGGGCACCCTTGGCCCCTCAAAGTTCAGGGGTGCTGTCTTCTTGTCTGACCTCAGGGGTCTATGCTGGCAGAACAGGAGTCATCCCTGGCTCCTTCTAGGCATGTAGCCAGCAGAGACTCTGCCTCTCTGCCCCTCTGATGTTCATCTTCTCCTTGCTACAGACCCTTTAGTACAAACAGACTTTCCAGTCCCCATGCAGATAAAGTGGACTCATGTCCTCAACTTTCCCATCTTAAGAAACCTAATAACCTGCCATGACCAGGAAAGAAATAGAGTGAAGTTTGCCTGTGACCGTGAGCCTATTTTGCCCGCTGGGTTTAATTCCCTGCACACAGTGTCCTGGTTTGGTTTCACACCTGCTGGCAGACAAGCAAATCGCTCTCATCGTGTGGTTAAACTTCCATGCCTCCCCAATAGTCCCATCTTTATCACATGGAAGTTTAGGGACAAACATTCAGCTTCATGACTCCAAAGTTTAAACTGGGCACAGGGAGGAAAGCACGACCTGTACCTTAACTCACCCCAGAAGCAGGTTGAGGGGAGAGGGGAGGTTTATGCTTGCCTGGGAAGTGTGCTCGGACCAGATCATGCTGTGGTTTCCATCTGTAGGTGGGGACGTCAGTAGGTCCCTGCTGTCTCTACCAGGCCAACCACAGCGTTGCAGGAGACAGAGCCCTACTCACCTCTTCCCTAGTGGATTTGATAGGAGGTGAGCAGGGGTGATGGACACTTCTGGGGGTTCAAGGCCCCTCTGAACAAAGTCAGAGTCTGTGGCCTTTGAAAGCCCACTGAAAGGTCACTCGTCACCTGGTTCTCTCCCAAACCTGGTCATCCTGGAAATTTCACCATTGGACAGACTAGACGTCATTGTCCGGATATATCAACTTCGCCTGGAGCACTTTCATCTCCAGGTAATACTGACCTGACCCAGGAGTCAAGGTTTTCGGGAATCAGCTATGGGTAGATAGTGGCTTCCAGGAGTTACTGATTGAAGGAGAATGTCCTGATAACACCTTGTTTGTTTAGAAGTGCAGAGTTTGGGAAAACACTTGCCAAACCTCCACTGACCTTGTCAACAAAATACCTGTACTTGTTTCCTCTTCCCTCCAAGGTAAGCAATAAGGAAATTCTCTTGCATTCTCCCAGGTTTGCAACATAAGCAATCTAACTTTTACTGCTTGAGATTAAAGCAATAGAATTGCCATGGTGACGGCTATCACTAGGATACTGACATAGCTCTGAACCACCTCGAGTTTATACTTGGAACTCTTTCCAGCCCCTTCATTCCCAATATATTTTTTAAAAATATTTTATTTGGACATAATTCCAAATTTGCAAAAAATCACAAAAAACAAAAAGAATGCCCATATATACTCTTTGCCTAGATTTACCTATTACTCACATTTTACCTCAGTTTCTTGTCTTGTTTGCGGGTTCTCTCCCTCCCTCTCTTCTCACTCAGTGGTGTGTGCAATTTGGCCAAGTAGATGTCATTTTCTCATACCCAAACTTTGCCCAGGCCTGGTTCATCTCCAGGTGACAGTGACCTGATCATGAGTCAAGGTTTTCATGAATCATGAATCAGCTCTGGGTATGAAGAGGCTTTTAAGAGTTCCTAAGTGAAGGACTGTGTTCTCATAAAACCCTCTCTGGGGGTGCAGAGGTTGGAAAAACACCTGTCAAACCTTGAACCGGCTTGTCAGCAAGACCCAAACAGGAACCAAACCTGTCCTTTCTTTTCTTCCTAAGGTAAGCAATGAGGAAATTCCTTTGCATACACATACATTTTTTTCCCACCCATGCATACATACTTTTATTTTCTGAACTATTTCAGGGTGACATACAACATGGCTCTTTACTACTAAATACTTGGAAACATAGTTCCTAAGAATCTTGACGGTGTCAAACACAGTTATCACACGGCTATCAGTTTGATACTTCTGCACTGAGAGGACTTTTATCTAATCTACTATTTGTTATCATATTGCCATCTGATATCCTGGTGTCGTTGTCAGCACTTTCCCCCTCCCCCTCTCGCACAGAGTCCAGTCTTTTAATCTGGAACATTTCCACGGTCTGTCTTTGTTTTTTGTTACAACGATATTTTGAAAGACTACACTTCCCCACTTCTTGTGAACAGAGTGTCCTCACCCTGGGTGAGGAATGTGACATTTCCTTGTCACTACACTGGGGCTGTGCCTTCCTGGCTGGAGATCCTCTCCATTCTTAAGCCTCACTTCTTCCATGAGAACAGTCATTCTCAAGAGCCTCCGGTCTTCTCCCTCTCTAGCCTCATTTCCTTGTTTTTATTGGTTTGTTTTTCAGTAGAGGTATAATTTACATTCAATAAAAGGTACAGCTCTTAAGTGTACAGTTGATGAGTTTTGACAATTGCAGGAACACATGCAAACACACCCTACCAAGAAAACGACTCCTTATACTGAAAACAAACCATTTTGATCACAGTCCACTTAGGCAGAGCAAGGATTCCACAGCCCACCGCCCCTCTCCTGATTCTCAAGGTGAAAGAACAGAGATCAACAAGGTGTCACACAACCTTTCTCTGGGCAGCGGTTGTTATGGGTCTGTCCGCACAAGCCACAGAGGGATGGCCGATTCATATGCAACCGCAAAGCAGAATGTCATCAAGTATCATCACAATTTTAGGCCCAAATATACCTGAGACAAAAATGCATCACAGGAACATCACTGGTTAGGCCCAAAGTCACAAAAACCTAAAATGATAATGATGAATTTCTACCAATACTTATTTTTAATTCAATAGCAATAGTAGGAGCACTGGAAAACTATGGCCAGCTCAAGATACCACTGCTGATGAATGAACAGTAGAGCTTTCTTCTAGAAAACAGCAAGGATTCCCACCGGATGCCTGTGCAGTGCCAGGTGCCACATGGCAGGGCGTGGCGGGGACGTGTGGCCTGGGAGCCTTGGTGGCCAGCCTGGGGAAAGCACTGAACTCAGAGTACTTGGTGACTCCGCCAGGGAACCAACTGTAGTTTGTGAAAAACAAATTTTGATGACTCTTAAAAGTTGATTTGGGAAGTTACTGGGAAGTAATTCTTGAAAACATGCACAACTGTACTCTGTGGGCTTGCGTGTCATCTGTCAAAGGGACCAGAGGAAGAACCTGAGAGGCCACATCAGTGCTCAGCTCCCACTGGAGCATGGACTTCCAGGCCTTTGTTCCTGAACCTTCAGAGTTCGGTCTCTCTGCCTGGCTCAGAGCAAGGGCTCGGAAAAATGCCTGTGTGTGAATGATTCAAAGAGTGACTCCAAATACATGCCATGCTCTGCCCTGGCCTCCAGCTGAGCCTGGTGAAACGGCCAGGATGGCACGCACGGAGTTGGTACTGAGTCCTCCTCTTATCCCCCAAACTCTGCCTTCCTGTTATGTTGATGGCTTTGTGGTCTGCACATAAGCTAGGCTTTTCATGGAAACACAGACTTCAAAGCTACAGATGGGGGGGAATGGGTGTCATTAATCATCAGCCTCTAGGAGAGACAGACTTAGGCAGCAGGGGGACTCCTGGCCTCTGGGGACACAGCCCTGACTCCCAGCTCAGGCCCAGCAGGGCACCCAGTCTCTACCTATGCCACACAAAGGCAGATAGCTTTAGAAAGGAGGGTTTCTTCACAGCTGCCTTACTATAAAAGACACAGTCAGCAGAACCCGGGCCAGCCCCTCCTTGCCTGCCAAGTGGCAGTGTCCCCAGGAGTACACCTCTGTTGAGCTGGAAAACTTTGCACGGAGGGATAACGGCTGGCTCTTGTGCAACGGTCATCAGCATCAAACAGAAATTCCTGTTAAATTGCAGCAAGCGCTGATGTATTTGGTAAAGCTCTTCTACATAACAATTTTGCAATATGTATAAAGAACATTAAAAATGTCTATACTCTTTTGACCCACTCATGAATCAAAGAGCCCACACACTTCGGGAAATAACCCTCAATGAAGGCAACTGTTTATGGACAAATTCTCTGATCACATCACTACTTTTAAGAGAAGAAAAACTGTAAGCAACCTAAGTGTTCACCAGTAGAAAGATTGTTAAATAACACATTTACTATAGCATAGCTAACATTTATTTCATAGTTTCTATATGCCAGACACTATGCTAAGGTTTTCAGGGATACCCCGTCTCACCCCAGCTACGAAGCCGCTGCTATTGTTACGTGTGCTTTGCAGATGAGCGAACTGAGGCTTGGCGACATTGGCTGAGTCGACCAGAGTTTCTCAGCTTTGGTGGAAGCAGAATTAGAAGCAGGTAGTCTAATTCCAGAGACTTAATTCTTACCATACTATATTGATCCTCTCAATGTGTGTAGGGGTGTGTGTGTGTGTGTATTTGATGGAATATTGTATATACATTTTAAATATTAGCCATCTATTTAAAATAATTTTATATGCTATTTTAATAACATAGAAAATATTTATAATGTTGAGTTAAAAGCAGGATATGAAATTATCCATATAGCATGATCACAACTTCTTAAAATCTTTAATCTATGTATATAGAACAGGAAAAGGAAACACATTCATGTGTTAACAGTGGTTGTATTTGGGTAGAAGAGCATTTGCTCCCTCTACTTTCAATGTCCTGTAATTTATACATTTTCGGCCATGGGTCGCCACTAACAGACAACCAGGAGGGGCTCACTGGCCTCCAGTCCACCTGTCACAAGCAGAGAAGCCAGAGGCTCTGGCACTGGCTTCAGTATGTGGGTGCCATCTCTCACATCACACGGCATCACCCAGGAAGCAGATTGGCAATTACGGAGTGAAACCACAAGCCATGAGCAATGCCACCAGCCCTGCCCGAGGCTGCCTAGAAACACCCGTTTCAGCATAGTTACCACACAGATTGGGCCTGGCCCAGGGCACAGACCACAGGATTGCAGCCAGCCCTGGCCCCAGACCCATCCTGTCCGGTTCACACAGCTTTGGGCTGCATGGTGTTCTGTCCGTTTTTAATTGAATCATCTGATCATTTCCAACTGAAATATCTCACAGAAAAATCTAGCCCTCTGCCCTCTCTTAGAAATCAGAGGATCCAAACATATCAGGCCATGTGGGCAACAGTCAGCTGGAGTGGGGTTGTGACCACCCCCCTGCACAGGACGTGGGCCCAGCTTGCCGCAGTCCTCACCACTCCCAACTGCCTCCTGGACACTGAAGCTGACATACTGTGCTTGAACTGCTGCTTTTCTAATAGCAGAGTGACACTGAATGTAAAACATGTTCTATGTCCGTGTATCAATCGAAAGAGGGAAAAGGAAATATAGGTTAGAAGGGCTGTAGTCTCAAGGAAATGGGAGAGTGCTCACTTCCCAGGCACCTCTGCTCACTTACATTGGCGCCCTGTCCCAACGGGGCGTCTGAGTTTCCTGCCTCTGCCCTGAGAGTTCCTGAGGAACAGGAGGAAGAAAAACACCTTCCCTCTCATTTTCTGGAGGGATTCCTGTGCCCAGGACCTGCAGTCACCAAAGACCTTCCCCAAGCAGCCGGGGGCCAGAGTAGCCACACAGAGAGGGTCCCACAGACACATGACTCCCACCACTCCTGGGAACCCACAGCCACGCCCGTTCCCTGGACTACACCCCCCTGGAGGCATGTGCCCGGCTCCCTGCAATCCTCAGCTTTGAGGCTGTTTTTGTGCAAAGGCCCCAGCGGCCCTGCATAATCAAAGCTGCCTTGGTGGGCTCAGGACAGACCTCCTGGGTCCCTGTCTCTGCTCATCTCCCACTAGGGCAGTGAGCTGCGGCTATGGAACCTTGCTGTGCCTCTGGCTCCCTTTGTAAATGCCCAGGAATTGGGTCATTGTGAAGCCTAAACATGCCAAAAGCTCCCAGCACAGTACCCAGCACACAGCAAGGGTGTGGCGAACACTGGCTGCCTGGCCTCCACTGCTCTGACTGTTGGGACTCAGCCCAGACCACAGTGGCTTGTGGGGGCCGCAATCTTGGTTTGAACACTCCCACCCCCAGGTAAGCCACCCTTGTCTGCCTTCGCATTGAGAGCTCAGCCCTGGGCCTGGGTGCTGGTGACTCAGCTTCGCAGGGCTGAGCAGTGCCTGCTTGCTGGAACCTCCTGGGTCTCCAGGAGCCTTCTCCGTGCTCCCAACAGCTCAGTCTCCCAGCACCCCGGAAGGATGGAGCAAACACATGTTCATTTTCTGTTGCTGCCTCAAGGGGCTTATTGAAGAAAACCGGTTTCCTTCTGGCACCCCAGGTGAACAGACAACCTGAGGCCACTATTAGGGCCTAGGGACCATAGATAACAAATAACTTGTTATTAGCTTTTGTATTATGTTTGTTTGTTTAGGAGAGTGAAAAGTTTTTAGCTGACCCTTATCTGACTCTGCATCTGCCATCTCGTCTCTATTAGTCTGATTAAGTTTAAAAAACAAAGAGAAGGGCCGTGGTGCATGGCACAACTGCCCACAAGATACAGCCGCTAGTCCAGGGTCAAAACGCCCTAGGCCCCAAATGGGCTCGAGCTTAGATCACAGAATGCAGAATGTATTCCAACTAAGATTAATGCTGTCCGTAATTAGGCTGCTTTAGAGGCTTTTTTTCCGGCTGAATCTTAGCTGTAGCCGGCGACTCCTACAAAACCCATTTCAAGGCTCCAAACCGTCCCCTACATTGTATTAAAACAAGATAAAAATTATAAGATTAATGCTTTTTCTCCCTTTGGTAAAAGTGCTTGCTAATCAGATTCTTAGAGTGTGGCTTTTGCCTTTAAAAAGGGGCCGTTTTTCCTAGCTCATTGCTACTTTCTGTGCCTGCCACTCTGCAGGGCAGAAGTAGTCCTGGCCAGCTAATAAAGACTCACAATTTGACCCAATTTGGTTTCTAAAGTGGTCTTTTCTCACACTCCGGACCATAACAGCCACAGGCAGTCGTCACACTGGAGCAGGGGCAGGGCATCCTCCCAAACGTGCCAGTGCCTCCCACAGTGGAGGGCAGGAGGGGTTCCGTGTTCTCACTGCTCAGAGGGCCCGCCAGGAGCCGGGCCCGAGAAGGACAAGACTTCCTGGACGGGAGACCCAAGAGGCCCCAGCCCCAGTGGGCCATGTCCCAGTTTCCGTGCCCAGCGAGGCAGGCCTGGGGGGCCCTCAGCACCACCCTGGGTGGGTGCACGGGGGTCCTGACCTCCAGGCTCTCCTCCCACCTTATTCCCAAGCCCTTCCTGAGCCAGCATGGCTGAGATCCTGTTCCGCCCACCAACCCTCACGGATGACTTTGAGAGGTTCAAGACTTCAGTGATGGAAGCCACTGCAGATGTGGTGGAAACGGCGAGAGAACTGAAGTGCAGCCTGCACATGTGACCGAAGCGCTGCAATCTCATAGAAAACTTGAACAGGTGAGTTCCTTCTTATGATGAGCAAAAAAAGTGATTTCTTGAACAGAATATACTCAGGGTGAAGATGCTGTGAACACAGTCGAAATGACAACTAAGGATTTAGGCTATTACATAAACCTATTGATGAAGCAGTGTCAGGGTTTGAGAGGATTGACCCCAATTTTGAAAAACATTGTACTGTGGGTAAAACAGTATCAAACAGCATCTCATGTTACAGAGAAACCTTTCATGAAAGGAAGAGTTAATCCCTGTGGCAAACTTCACTGTTGTCTTATTTGAAGAAGTTGCCATAGCCACCCCAGCCTTCAGCAGCTACCAGCCTGATCTGTCAGCTGCCATCAGCACTGAGGTAAGACTCTCCACCAGCAAAAAGGATTGCTACTTGCTGAAGGTTCAGAGGATTGCTAGCATTCTTTAGCAATAAAGTATTTTTACTTAAGGCATGAACATTGTTTCTTTAGACATAATGCTATCACACACTTAATAGACCACAGTGTAGTGGAAACATAACTTTTACATGTACTGGGAAACCAAAAAATATGTGTGACTTGCTTCACTGCAAGATTCGCTTTAGTGTGGTGGTCTGGAACTGAACATGCAATATCACTGAGGTATGCTTGTCATTACAGACTATTACATGACAACGTACACACCCAGCTCAGTAACAACTGCATCCCAGACCTGGCAAATCAGGAAAGGGTCCAGGTCCCAGACACCTGGCTCCCCTCTCCTGGCCTCTTACCTGCCTGAAACGGCTGTGTCTGCATCTGCAGCCGGATCTTGATGAGGTCCACGGGCGCCCCCAGCCCGACAGAGACCACGCCGGCCACCATACTGGCCAGCAGCAGGTCTGATAGTGTCCGGGAAGGGCTGGCCTCGGGCTCCCCACAGCGGTCCTGGCTGAGGAACCTCTGCGTGTTACTGAAGACCCCAAACACCACTGAGTTGTAGACGGCAATGCTGGCCAGGGGGAAGGACATGCCTTTGAAGAAGCCGAACACCTGTGGGGAACCCCGTGAGAAGAGGCATGAGGGCTTGGGGCTGCCCCTGGGGGCCTCTGTCTGCCTGGGGGCTGCCCTCTCCCTCCCATAGGACACTTGCCCCACCCTGCCCTCCTGGAGTCTGCGGGCTGGTGGGGGAGACACCACAGAGTAGATGAGCCCAGGTGTCAGTGAAGAGAGAAGATGCTGATGGGACAGGAGAGGTGGGTGAGGGCTACTGCAGCCCGGAGCAGGCACTCCTGCTCTGGTGAGGAACCGGCTTCTGCATGTCCCTCTGTTTCCTGCGTGGCGGCGTCCTGGCCTGGAACCCATACTTGCCACCAGTGTGGCTGTGGCTGAGGGGAAGCCTGAGGAGCCCTAAGGGACAGTGGGCTGGCCAAGCACCACCAGCTGCCTCCTCATTTGCTACTCAAGCAAAAGCGTCCTCCAGACATGTGTCACGTGTAGGCTCTGGGAGATGACAGGAAGAAGCAGTATCCACCCTCCCTGGGCTCATAATGTGAGGCAGGGCAGGGCAAGGGGGACAGGACAGACAAACTGACAGGCAAGTATACAACCCACTGAGCCTGTGGTGGGGGTAATAAGGGGGTCCCACAGGTCTCCGAGAGGAACCTGGGTCAGCCTGTACATGAGTGCCCCTGAGTGTGGGTGTCTCCTAATAGAAGTATCTGGAGAGGGAGTCCCAGAAGGACACAGGAAGGACTTATGTGCACGCACAGGATGCAGGAGGCTGAGGAGGAGGTGCTGCAGGCTGGGGTCAAGGTCCTTTCTATTCTGCATTTTCAGTGAACACCACAGGTGTTCCAAGGAAAACTGGAAAATTCCAAAGGCCCTCGGAGGAGTTAGGGCAATACACGTGTGCCAAAGATGAAAAAGTAGTAGCAAGCCATGGTGCAGACTCCAGGCTGTGCTCAAACCTGCTAGTGCTGACTGTGTGCACTGCACCCTGGCTGCCAGAGGCAGGGTGCCACGCACACACACGCACACTCCTTGCTTCCTGCTCTTCCTCCATAACAAGGTCCTTCAGATAACTGGGGATGTTAAGCCACAAGCAGCTGTGTCTCAGAGAAACTGCCCGCAGTCCCCACCGCCACCCTGGAGCCGGGATGTGGGCTGGCAGACCCTGCTGGGGAAGTGTGCCAAAGGAGGACCAGCAGCCACTCAGGGGACTGTGGGATCACATGGCCTCACCTCGGAACACCAAGTGCCAGGTTTGTGGTGCTCATCCCGATTTCAAAGTGGTGAGCAAGACAGTCAAAACAACACCCACACGCAAGGCATGCCAAGCGCTTGTTAGGATGGAGCCTGGTGGAGACAATGGTGACAATGGGGCCAATTTTCCAGTGGCTCAAGGAGAAGCCACAGGGCTGCCACAGGGGTGCCACCTGGCCATTTCTTTAATTCAGGTCATTTCATCCAAGCTTTAAAATTTATTTTAAATTCCCCAAAGAGGAGCCATAGAAAATCTTCCTAAGCACATACTAATTCTCAGGAAGAGAGCTGATGCATCGTCTACACAATATTACTCAGACTTTCCCTTTGAGAAGAAACACCTGGGGCTGTGTCATCTCCAGCGGCCTGGGTGCAAGTGAGCTGGAAGTGCCTGGCTCCCTGCCACCAGGTAAAGGGCTGCCTGTTGGCACATGTTTACCAAGCACTCATTCCTTTTTGAAAAACTGGCAGGTCACCTTGTTTTTGCAGAAATTTTCCACACTGGGGGGTGCACACAAAGCCAGCTCTTTCCCCCAACAATGTTGCATGAGGTGGCAGGGTACATTGAGGCGCTACCTGATGTTTGAGATAAGACTGCGAGGCCCTGCCAGGCACGATGGTGTGGGGCTGTGACTGGGTCCCCACCCCCGAAGGAGGCCCAGGCGATGGCGGATGTCATGTCACTCCACCCACCGGGGGTCACTTACACTCTCCCTCCGGTACACGGTGCGGATGCAGCTGAGGGTGTTCCCGTAGCCAACGCCAGCCTGCAGGCGAGTCTGCGGAGAGAGGCAAGGGCGGGGCCCTCAGAGATCATGCACATCCCAACGGCAGCTCCAAACGACGCCCTGGGAGAGGAAGGCCCTGCCCAACGTGACCCACCAGGAAGGAGGCCTGGGTTTCAGTCCCAGCCAGGCTGGCACTCCCTGCTCTGCACACCTGCCACCCTCTCCTGCCACCCTCAGACCTGCTCATGCAAGAGAAGCCCATTTTGGTAAGAAGGACAAAGGCCAGTTAGATGTGCAAAAATGATGGTTGCCAGGGGATGTATGATCCCTGCCTACTAAGGACAAAAAGTTAAACCAGGGCTCTACCCTGTCTGCTGTCTGTCACTCTGCCCTCCTAAGTACCCCCGGGAGGACTCTCTCTTCTTGCCCCCTGAGGCACCGCCCTAGGCTGCACTCTTCATCCTAACCCAGACAGCAGACTAGCCCCTTCCTGGCCTCCTGCTTCTCCCACACTTCTTCCCTCTCTCTACATAGCAGTCAAACCGATATTTCTCAAACATCAGAGAAGCTGGAGATACTTCAGTGGCCTCCATCCAAACTAGAATGCATTTCACACTCTGTACCTGCACTCAGGAGGCCCTGGGGGAGCACGACCCTGCCACTGGCCCCTGCATGCCAGCTCCTCACCTGCCATGCCCTCCACACCCACCACCTGGTGTGTTCCCAGACCCCGAGCAGTGACTGTTTCCCACCCCCAACCCTTTGCCCTTGCTGTCCCCCCTCCCCCGAAGGCTCTTTCCCCAGCCCCTGCTTTTGGGTCTGAGCTGAAATGTTGCAATGGTCCTATTTGTTTGGTTATGTGGGATATATGTTGGATCACCCTCCCAGGGCAGGCCTCCTGTCTCACCTTCCTCTTGGCCCCAGAGCTGAGCACAGCCCTGCCACAGTAGCTCTTCACACTGTCTGCTGGAGGGCTGTAGGTGAAGACATGGTGGCCTATGACAAAGGTTAGCTATGGTGACAGGGGCAGCAGCCGACAGGCACAGGGGTCTGAGTAGGCTCACACAAGAGCCCAGAGCTCTCTTATCCTGGTCTCAGAGTGTCCCGCTTCTTTTAAGATGTGCAGCCTATAATTCTCCAGCAAAACACTTTCTCAGCATTCACGGCATGCCACACGTGTGTAGGAAGAAGTTATGAGAGCCACCAAAGAGGAGAAGCTATGCCCCTAGCCCTCATTTGGGGCCTAGAGAATTGATGGGCTCTGCTATTATCTTCTCACCTCTGCTGGTTCTGCAGAATCAAGGCCATTTTAAGACTTGCTTAGATCTTGGGATCTATTACTTTTGCAAACCTGCCCCATATCATATTAAGCATGATAAAATGAAATCTAATTTTAGATTTGCATGTGACTATTTAACATAATTCTATATTTTGTAAACATTTAGTGAAGCATTCATTTTGCTTCTGCACTTTTCTTCTTATATAGTATTTCTCAGGTCTCTGACACTCTCCTCAGTCCTTACAAAGCGCAGGAGCCCTGGGCTCTGTGTGCACATTGGACACATCCTGAAGATCAGGGCCTTCCATGAGATATTGGGCCCAACACTGTGATCTTCACGTCAGGGGTGGTATGAGCACATGCTCCTCCAGTTCATGGCTTTCCCTCCCACTTGAAGCACTCAGTCCAGAGGTGAAAACACAAGTAGGGAGGGATGAACGCTCAGTGTCACGGGATGAGGTGGCTGGAGCCTCAATGCTGAGAGCTGGGCCACTGTCTGCCCCGACCTCAGCTCCCACTGACCTGACAATTCAGGCCATGCCCTGGCTGTCCTGAGCCAACGTGCATTCCCAAGGCTGGACTGGGCAGTCAGGGAGCAGCCTGGCTTGGCAGGGATTACGCTGGAGCAAGGCAAGAAGCTCCCTCGGGATGTCCATGAGGGGGGGCAGACAGCCCCAAAGCTTACCCATTGCAGCCTGGTCCAGGTGGTCTATAGGCAGCGAAGCCCTGACCAGAATCGGGCCACCCTGCAGCAGGCATGCACTCCTAAGTACACCAGACGTGCCTCCCGGACCTGCGACCAGGCAGCTGAGCACAGAGGAAGGAGCCTTTGACCTGGTCAGCAGACCAGGGCCTCTTAGCCCAGTCCTTCCATGGGCTCTGTTAAAATCCCACTGGACATTTTCACATGATGTGGTAACTTAGAAACACTGAATTTATATGGAATGATTGACAAAAAATGGCAGCTACTGATTGAATATCTACTGGGTACCAGGAACAACTCTCTGGCCTTATTTACCCCACAAGCCAGGGATTAGTCCCTTGTTTAACAGAAGGCCACGCAAGCAGGAAATGGCAAAAACCGGATTCAGCCCCAGAGCCCGCTGGCTCCGGAGCCCGTCCTTATGGCTCAGCCTCCAAGTGCTGTCATGGATGGGTTTGCCAATGAGCCCCGGAGATGGTGGACTAGGAACGGGTTAGGTGAGTGTGGGGTGTGGGAGTGCCAGGAACAACCTCACTCTCAAGGAAACATTAATAACAGCATCCAAGTCTCCCAAGTGTCTCTGGGCCCAGCCCTGAAGAGTATACAGCAAGCACCCTGAGCTGGGCTGAGGTCTGGGATAGCCTCTCGCTCAACAGGTCCTCAACCTGGGCCATGCTCAGCTCGGCACTAGGCTGAGCTCTGAACGGGGACACCCAGCCCGGGCAGGGTAACTGGCCAGCTCTTGCAGAGGGTAGAGAAACCTCAGTGGGCATCACAGCTCCGACAGAGGCAAGGAGGGTGCCTGAGGGTCAGGCGGTTCTGGACGGCCCTGGGGAGTGTCCGGCATGGGCTCGACCTCTGGGCAGCAGTGATTTTCAGAGATGACCTTGCTGCAAAGCCCTCCTCCGTGGGCTCTGGGGCCAAGGCTTGGCGTTGCAGGGCTAGCAAGAGGCAGGCAGCGAGGTCCCGGCCTGCCCAGCAACCCCAGTCTCCCCGGACTCCTCCCAGCACCTGTGCTGCACCCCTTGCTTACCTCACTGCACGCACTACACACATGCTTGCCTTTGCACTTTTCAAACATACATCGAGGCCTTTTTCCACCCTTGAGCCTTTGCACTAGCTCATCCTTCTGCCATAAGCACAGGCCCCAGGTCTGTATATGTGGCTCATGGTGCCATTTGAGGCCCTGCAGAGAGGCCCTCCCTGACCCTCTGATGCAGGGAAGCCCCCCATCACAGCCTCTGCCACTGCCTTGTGCTGTCATTCCCCTAGCACCTACCACTTCCTATAAATGTCTTGTGCATTTATTGTATCTCCTAATTATTATCTATCACTGTCCTAAAAATATCTGTCCCCTTGCCTGCCTCCCTCACTGCTGAATTCTGAGACCCTAGGTCAGCTATGGCACCTGGCAGACAGGTACTGGGCCATGTATGGGTGAGCACCTGACCTCCATCCCACAGATTCTCCAGGCTGGCTCCAGTGGCACGTTCCCCCTCTGGCATCCTCCCCACCCCCGCAACAATAACACATTAGGAGGCTTCTTGCCCAGCCCTGCCAGCTTCCCTCCACCACCTTCTCTCAGGCATTTGAACAGGTCCTTGGCATGTGGGTACTTCCAGGCTGTTTATCCTCTTCTGCTCAAGACGATCCTGGTGGCAACAGAGGTCTCAGCCCTCCTTGGAGTAGACATACTCTCCCAGGGCCTGAGACTGACTGCTGCCTCTGCTCAGCTGGTGGCCCAAGGCCTTGCCCCTTGCCCTGGGAGTAAATGCAGGGATTAGACTAGCCCATGTGGCCCTGAGAATCCCTGCCTCAGAATCTCTTTATGAGCTAAGCTTATTTTTCATGCATTTGCAGCCCTACCCCAACTTCTTGGACCAGTGTCTGGTAGAACCTGGGACCCTCAGGTGAGTCTGATACATACTGAAGCCTAAGCACCACCAGCCGGCAGGGGCATCAACCATCAGGACCAGCTTTGACATGAGATAACCTGGCCTCATGCAGTACACACAGTAGGTGCTCAATAAGTGCTGAGCTCCTGCGCATCTGCTGACAGTGATTGTGTGATTTCAGGCTTTGCAAACCCAAGGCCTAAGCCACTTCCTTGCAAATGCCGTATATGTCCCTGCATCTTGTAGCTACAGAGCATTTACCTGGTAAGGGCCTGAGAGCCCCTCTTTCTCTGCAAGGGCCCCTTGAGAACTGAACCCTAGCACTCTAGCTTCTACTAGCTCTTGTGCCAGGAAACGGGGGGGCTGGGGGGGAGGGCTAGGCAGGCAGTGCTTGCCCGGATTGCCCCAGCGCTGGCATTGGCAGCAGCCCTGGCACCCTTCCCTACATACCTCCTGTGTCCCAGCTCTGTGGTCCTCCAGGTTCCTGGGTTCTGAGCTCCCAGGTGGCCTAAGGAGGCAGCACAGTCCTTGGCAGCTTCCACACAAACACAGAGGACCTCAGCGGGCCAAGGGCAGGCGCAGCCTGGAGCATGATTTCCAAAGGTAAGGCCACACCAGAGCTCAGGACCATCCGCTGTAGCTGAGAGTACTGTGTGGTATTCCCCAGGACGGATAGGCCAGCAGCAACAGTATGCCTTTCTTTTTTTCTCTTTTTTTAGGAAGCAGCTCTGGGTCAACGTTCCTTCATTCAGGGAACATCTATTGGGCTCCAGTCTGTTCCAAGGGGCTCCAAATGTAGAGAAGGCGCTGACCAACGACCCAGACTGGCCCCAGACCAAGTTCCCTTTGGGGCTTCGAGCCCCAGCTCTGGGGTCTGGAGCAGGCTCCTGAACGCTGCTCTCCTCCTAGACAAAATGGGAAGATGACACCTTCCCAGGGGGTAGACTAAGCCTATTTCTCTCACCACTGTGTGTGCCCATCCCCAGCACTGGGCCCTGCCTGCTGTCCCCTTAGGTCAGGATCTCCCCTGGGGACCCTCAACACCCCCTTTACTACTTAGAGGATGTTTGTCAAATATGTAAGACAAGTAGGCTGATCTCATGAAGAAGAGAATAGGCCTGGGCCCTAATGTGTGAGGAGCCGTTACCTTACGGGAAGATGGAGAAAAAGGGAATTGCATGAGCCATTTGAGAAGGGCCCGAGAGTCTCTCTGTGCGCAATCCAGGCAGGACTCCAGAAAAGGACGTGAGAGTCAGGCGGGGGCGAGGAGGCACCACTTATGGCCATGTTCCTCATGGCTCTGAGTCCTGCTCACCACTGGGTGGCAGGGTGGCTGTGGGGTCAAAGAATGCTTCTTTGCAGCATCTCACTCCTCAACTTTTAACTTGTTGTGTGACCTGAGACAAACCCCTTCCCTGCTCTGGGGAACCCCCAGAACAAGGGGGTTGGATGGTCCCAATGCCAGGGAGGCCCTGCCAGCTCAAGAGTCCTCACCTCCCATCATTGAGTCATGATGGGTTAGGTCCAAACTCCTGACCTGGCATCCAAGTCCTCTGAGGACCAAGTGCTGCCCCACCTTTCCCGATCTGCAGCTGTTATCAGAAACCCGGTGCACAAACACAGCCACCCCCAGTATCCCCATCTCAGCACCTCCACCCCTGCAGCTCCCTGTGCTTGGCATATCATTTCTAACCACTTGAAACCCATTCCTAAATTTGGGGTTCAGACACCACCACCTCACACTAGAAGGTGTTCCAGATTCCTCAGCTCTGCAGGGCCCTGGAGGAGGACACAAGCCAGGGCCCTGGCCCCTCCCCAACCAACTCATGAGAACCTGTGGGCAGGGGCAGGACATTCACAAAAACAAAATCGCTGCCAAGTAATGAGGGCAGAGCTGTTCCAAACAAGGCCTCCCAGCACCCCACCTCCTAAGCTGGCAACAGGGAGCCTGCCTGGGCAGAAGACTCTCTGGGGTCAGGCACAGCAGGCACAGCCTCCAAGGCAGGCCAGCTCCAGGCATTTTTCCAAGAGGTGGTGGGAAGTATGCTACTGTACCTTGACTGTGTCCAGAGGATGGCCAACGATGACGCTGGCTGCACCTAAGGATCAGAAGAGAACACCCCGTCACTCAGCCCTTGGACTCCTATTGGCAGCAGCTGGCTCTTGGGGCAGGATAGAGGGCTGAGGCACAGGTCTTCACTTGTTCAGTCAGTGGTCAGCCACTGGAGGGGCCTCCAGTGCATTAGGCACTGGCCCAAGCACCAAAAAAGGCAGAGAAAATGGAGTAAAATCTGAGTTCTGCCTGAAGAAGCAAGCACCCACAAAAGGAAGGTACTGGGACAACAGGATAACCACAGGCAAAGGAATGGAGTTAGACCCCTGCCTCACACCATATACAGAATTTACTCAAAGTAGATCAAAGGCCCTAAATGAAAGAGCTAAAACTATAAAACTCTTGGACTAAAACATAGGAGAAAATCTTCACAAGCTAGGATTTGCAATGACACCAAGTACACAAGCAACAAAAGAGAGAATAAATTGGACTCATAAAAATCGAAAACTTCTGAGCATCAAAGGACAGTGAAGACAATGATTTCCTACTGAATGGGAGAAAATATGTGCAAACCATATATTTGATAAGGGTATAGTATACAGAATTTAAGGAAGGAAGAAAGAAAGGGAGGGAGGGAGGAAGGGAGGGAAGGAGGAAGGAAGGAAGGAAGGAAGCTCGCTCTTAACGACTACAAGAAAATTTAATGGCAAAGGACTTGAATAGATATTTCTCTGGAGAAGACATACAAATGGCCAACAAGCACATAAACAGATGCTCAACACCATTAGTCATTAGGAAAATGCAAATCAAAATCACAATGAAAGTCCTCTTTATACCCACTAGGGTGACTATACTAAAAAGAAAAAAGAAAAGAAAAATAAGTGTAGGCAGGGATGTGGAGAAGTTAGAATTCTTGTATTGCTGGTGGAAATGTAAAATGATGCATCCACTGTGGAAACAGTTGGGCAGGTCCTTAAAAAAGTTAAACACAGAATCATTACGTGGCCCTGCAATTCCACTCCTAGGCATATACCCAAGCCCTGAAGACACTCAGACAAGTACGTGTACACAGACACCTTCCTGGCAACACTGTTCACGATAGCCAAAAGGTAGAAACAACCCAATGTGCATCAGTTGAAGTACCAAGAAACAAAATGTGCTGTCTTCATACAAAGGAATCCTGTTCAGTGAGAAGAGAAAAAGAAACAAACTATTGATACATGTTACAACATGGATGAAACTCGAAAACATTATGCTAAATAAAAGAGGCCAGACACAAAAGGCAACACATTATATAATTCTATTTACATAAATTATCCTGCATAGGTAAATCCGTAAATACAGGAAGTAGATTGGTGGCTGCCAGGGCTGGGAGCAGGGGGAAATGGGAGTGATCGTTTAATGGGTACAGGATCCTTTTTGTTCATGAGGACAATGTTTTGGAAGAGGTAAATAGAAGTGACATTTACACAGCATTGTGAATATACTAAATGCCACTGAATCGTACGCTTTAAAATGGTTAATTTCATATTATGTAAGTTTCAACTCAAAAAAGGGGTAGGGTATATGTGAAGAGAAAAATCCAGCAATTTTCAGTTACCTGAAAGTTACCTAACTGCTCTATGCCTCACTTTTAGCATGTGCAGAGTGGGAATAATAATAGCAGTTACCTCGTGGTTCCATTGTGGGAAGGAAATCAATGAATAAGGTAACTCACAGACAGCCTGCCACTTACAGGATGCTTGAAAATGAATGCTGTCTGTCACAATAGAATATTTTTTTTTTAAAAAAAGAAGACCCCTTTGGAAAGGTGACGAATACGCTGTATCTTTTCACAGAATAATGCCTACCCACATACATACTCACAAGGTCTGTACAAACAAAACCACCTAGATTAAAATGCTCTTATTGTAGAAGCTGGCAAATGAGACTGAAACAGGAACTTCTTCAAAGACAAATTCCCCAGCACACTGATGAAGAAAGAAATGCCTCTGCTAGCAGAAGAGTTTTAACCAGGTAAGGTAGGAAAGGAGTCTTGGAATATTAGACTTGGAATATTAGACCAGGTAAATCCCAGAACGATGGTTCTCTGAGTCCAGAACCTCCTATCCCCTCTTCACCCCTCCTTCCTGGAACTGGGCAGAGGCAGACGCAACAGGCAACAGAAGTGAAGCCCCTTCCACAGGCCTCAGGAAGCTTTCCTCTACAGGAACCCCTCCCAGCAAGGGAGGGAGGAGCTCTTGTCCCTAAGCAGAGCCGCAGCCTCAGATGCAGCCACAGGTCAACACCTCCCTGCTCAGCCGTTTGCCCACTATCTGAAAGCAGGGGATGTGAGATGTAAAAAAAAAATGGGATTATCAGGTCAGTGGTTCCAGACCTCAGGACTTCATAGACCAGTAGAATCTCCAACTACATGTGGAGGATGTCAGTCATAAAATCTTGCCGTGCAAGGGTTCTAGGAAAGAAAACAGCAGTAGATGAGTGCCGGAGCTGAGATGGCAGATCCTGGTGCCAGGTTGCCTGGCTTAGAATTCCAGTGTCTGTGCTAGATGCACGGCCTTAAGCAAGTCAGTGACTTTCTCTGTATCTCAGTTTCCTCATCTGTAAAATGGGGATAAAACAGCACCTACATCATTGGGGTCATTGTAAAGAAATATACATAAACAGACACAAGACACCACATATTTCAGAATTCAATTGATATAAAATATCCAGGAAAGGCAAATTTACAGAAAAGAGATTAGTGGTTGCCCAAGGAGAGGGCAGGAGAGGGGGCTCAACTATAAATGAGCATGTCTAAATGGGGGATGAAAATGTTCTAAAACTAATTTATGGTGATGGTTGTACCACTCAGTAAAGTTATTAAAAATCATTAAATTGTATACTTGAAATTAGTGTATTTTATGATATATAAAATAAATCTCAATAAAGTTATTTTAAAAGAATATATATAGCACTTAAACAGCACCTGGTACCTACTAAGTATTCAGTGTCACTACACTTACCATCATTTCATGGAAGCAAAACAAAAAACAAACAAAAAAAACAACAAAACGCATGTTAATAGCAACAAAGCAAGGACAATCTCAGAATATCAGAATAAAGGACAGTTCCCTGGTCGCCTTGCTATGTGAGCTGGGGAGGGTCCATGAGTCATCACATTGGGGGGGGGGGCTCTATCTAATCAGAGGCTTGGAGCTGTTCTCACTCAGCCCTACCCTCCCGTGCATTTCTCAAGTCAAGCCCTTGCAGCCCTCCTAAAGTAGGTAAACTGCTTACTTGAGGGGCAGCCCAGGGAAGGGTCTCCCCTTTCTGCCTGCCCCTCCAGGTGGTTGAAAGATTGTCTTGTCTACGAGGGCCTGGGTATGCCCCGTGGGCCTCTGGCTGCTTTGCCCCCTGACTGGCAAAGTTAGGAGAGGCAGGTTTCCACCCAACCCAAGGGTCCCCACGCCAACAGAATCGTCCAGGGTAAAAGGAGCCACCTCTGCTCAGGAAGGTGTGGAGCAGGGCCCTGCAGCCACTGTGGGGAGAGAAAAGGGGGCTAGGGCCAGGTGGGAGGGATGAGCTGGGATCCTACCTATTTGATGCTCTTTTCATCTTTTCTTTGAGAAGAGGCTGCATTTGCCCCTCTTAGATGGGTCAAAAGAAAGATAAATGTTTTTACAATTAGCAAAGTCCCTTAACCACCTGGTCCAGTAGCTGAGAGAGGAGGGATAAGACCTATCGGAAATGCAGCTCTTGCCCATGCGACCCATTCTAGGCCCAGCAAGGAGAGGCTCCGGAGTGGTAGCAAAGGGACCACAGGCCCGACAGTGCCGGGATGAGGGGTCTTGGAGGAAGGCAAGGCTGAGAGAAGACAGGAGGGGTCGTCCCAGCTGTCAATGGGCACCTGCAGCCCGGTGCTCCCCTAGAGCGGGCCTGATCGCGAAGCTAGCTCCCCGCCACCCTGCTTGGCCAGCCACCAAGCGCCAGCCTCATTCACAAGTTCCCTGAGCCACGTCCCCAAATGCAGGTGTGCACCACACCGTGTCGCCAAAGGGTGTGCGCACTCCAGGAGGCTCCATTGGCTGCGGGCTTTGACGGCTGTTTAATCATTACCGGATCGAGTTCCACAGGACCTAACTTTGAGGCAAATCAGCAGCTGGGGCGAATGGCTGCGGAGCTCTCAGACAGTTTAGCGCGGCAGCTGGCTAGGAACTGCAAGCCTGCCCGGCAGAACTCAGGGAGTGCTCTGCTTGCAGCGGGGCGCGTGGTGGGAACGCATGGGGCGCAGGGCTGGACGCCAGGTGCAAACTGCCCGCGCTGGTCCGTAGGGGTCCGAGTAAGCGCACTCACCTCCGATCCAGCCCGCCGCGAAGTCCTCCAGCTGGAAGCTGCCCATGGCTGGTGCCGTAGGCACCTCACCCTCCAGAGCCGCAGCAAGGCCACTCAGTGTCTGCAGGGCATGGCCCAGCCCGAGCGCGCCCAGTGTTAGAGCGCGGAGAGCGCTGTGGGTCCCACTCCAAACCCAGCTTCCTAGCCGCCACCGGCTGCCTCAGCTCACCCTCCGCGCCGGCAACCGCGGACAGCACGCCCCCAGCGGACCTTAAAGGCGCAGCAGCCTGGCAGGACGAGGGCGTGTTCCGCACGCAGCATGTCCCGGCCCTAAGAGGCAAGGGTCACCAAGTGGAATTGTCTTAGCCCTTCCCTCTCCCCGTCATCCTCTCCTTTGCCAACTTCAGAGCCTGAGGAGAAAGTGCCAGCCATCCCTTCAAAGATGGCACTTGGTCCTGGGCAGTGATGTTGCCCAGCCATGTCCCACCCGGTGACTTGCGCCCGGAGCAAGCACCTGGGGTCCAAGGTCTTGTCTGACTTTCAGCTACAGCTACAGCTCTGCAGGGGCCGGCTCCCTGCAAGGCCCTGGCTCAGCCCTCTCTGTCCACCTGGGCCAGCAGAAGGCACAGGCTGGTCCTCTCTACTTCAAACCCCCCTCTGTGGGCACACTCTGCACCCCACCCTGCACTCCACCTCCACCCCAGCTGGAGGTCTGGCTCACTAGGAGACTGGGCCTTGCTGTGGGGAGGGCCTTTATTCCAATGGGAGCTTCTTGTCCCCCACAGACCTCCTCCCAAGGAAGATGACTTAACGTCCTTCAGCATCCCGCCAGTTTCCAGCAAGGACTCACCTGTGGGTCCCAGCAAAGACTCCCCAGGGTTGACAAGAAAGGTGAGGTGGCTGGTCCGGAGGAAGGGGCCTCTGCTGGGCCTGTTCTTGTCATGTCACCAGGCTAACATGCAGCAGCAGCAGCCAGCCAGGCCTCCTGCTTCTAAAATGAAACAAGAGTCTGACCACCAAAGCTTGATCCTAAAAGGCCTTCCCATTGAGCAGTGGGGACTTGGAAGTGAAAGGGGCCCTCCTGCAGACCACTCAGGTCTGCAGAGAGTGGACCTGTGTCTGCATGAGGGAGCCAGAGCCAGCCTTTTGAGGGTGGAGCCATAGCCTGGCTGGGGGGAGTCTTGCAAAGTCTCATGGAGGGGTGGACATGTCACACCCCATTCCTGAGCCTCAGCTTCTGAAGCACACTGTGACCCACTCAGTCTTGGGGCTTCAGAGTTGTCATCAACATGCCCCCTGAGCTGTGCCCTGCCATTCCCGGGAGACGTGCCTGGGACAGTTGTAAGAAAGGAACAGTCTCTGAAGGATGGCCCTTCAGTTAGTTAGTTCACCGTTGGAGAGAACCCACCAGTGGGAAGCTTGCCAGTTCCCAAGGCCCAGTCTTTTGGAAGACCACCTGGAGAGTGCCAGTCCTGTGTCAGCACCAATTAGGGTGGTCCTGAGTTGGCAGGCAGTGTCCCTGGCAGCCCCAGGATGGCCTTCTGAGCCAGAAAGCTGCTGCTTGAACTGCTAATGAGCCAGAGCAGAGCAGAAGGAGTGGGCTCCTTTTCAGAAGGAACCACTGTGGGCCATTCCCAAATTTGTGCCAACAATCTGCCCAGGAGGCACATTACCCGGGGAGGCACGGAGGTCCCTAGGTTTAGCAGCAACCATGGGCCAGGGCAGGAGAGTCCCAGACTGCAGAGTTGTGGGCCCCAGCTGAATGCTGGCTCTGGGGGTGCATTTGGGTTGATCCTTCTTCCCAGCCTCCTGGCTAGGGAGCAGCACTGATAGCCGCCACTGCCCACATTGGCAATCTGACGGCGGGAAAAAGTGCAACTGTGGACCATTACGCAGGAAAGAAACTGCGCACAGAGAGATCGACTCCTTGGGTTACTAGGGCCAGAAAGAAACCCCATTTCTTCTCCTACCCCCAGAGCTGCTTCCCTGAAGGTAACCCCTGAGAGCCCTTTCAGGCAACAGAAGTTTCCTGAGCACTGAGTGTGTGCCAGTCCCTGCTTCTGGGAAAGTCTGTGTTAGGAGAGAGTCAGAGATGCCACATGGAGGTGGCATTAGAGCACTGGAGAGGGAGTCCAAGGTGCTTCAGGAAAAAATCAGGGAAGGCTCCCCAGACCTGAAGTCCCCTGCATGCACCCAGTCTACCCAACCCCACACTCCTACCTTCTCAGCCAAACCCAGCGTCCCCTCCCCACACCCACCTGCTGCACCTGGGCCATGAAACCTGGGTGCTGCTGTATCTGGCCTGCCCTGCTAAAGGGCCTGCCCTCGCCACCTCTTCCTTCTGCTTCCAGAAGCCTGCCCTCGCCTGGCTTTCCTACCCCTCCTCCAGCTGATGGCCTGGTTCCCTGGCTCCTGCCCATCTTTAGGTGCAGGTTCCTTGGGGCCCTCATCTCACCATGGCCCGTGCATGCCCACACCTTGCTTCTGGGCCCAGAACCTTTTGTCTACTCAACACCTCCTCCTGGATGGCCCCTGTCGCCTCTCACTCAGCAGGTCTCTTGATGAAGTCTGTCGAACTCACTCCCAAAGTGTTTCCCCTCACAGCTTCTTCAACGTAGAGAAAGGTGCCTCCACCTAGCTGCCACCCACCCAGAACCGCAGATGTCATCCTCGCTTCCCCACTCCCAGGCCTCAGCCCCTCAGCTGTGAAGTCCTGAGGTCCCGTCTCCCCAGAGACCCTAACATCCAGCCCTCTTGGTGTCTTCCAGCGTGGTTCAGCCCAGGCCTGTGCCGTTGCCTGTCTGGGTCATGGTGGGCAGAGGCCCCAGTCCTGCGTCCACCTCTAGCTGCAGCCACAGCAAGCTTCTGAAGCCTCGAATCTGTTCCGCTCATCAAGCTCCAATGCTTCCCACGGCCTTGTGCATAATTCCAGTCCCCCTTTGGTGTGCAAAGGCCTGTGACACTGGGTCTGGCCAACTTCTCCTATGCTCCCACCAGCCCAGCCCTCCCCTCAGGCCAGAGCCCCACCCAAGCAGCATTGCCTCACCCCACATTGTTTGCATGCATGGTGGTACACATGCCTTTCTCCTGCAGGAATGCCCTCTCCACCTCTCCCCTGGCTGACCCCTGTACCTTTGAGACCCAGCTCAGGTGTCACCTTCTCCTGACCAGCCTTCCTTGAAGCACTCATCACCGAACTCCATGCCAGATCTGCTAGCTCTCAATGGTGTTTCTGCACATATCCTTATAGATGCTGCCACACTCAATTGTTTATAGTTTGTCTTCCCATCTGAACTGTGTGCCCACTGAGAACAAGGCACTGCCTTATTCTCCTCTGGATCTGCCTAGCCTGGCACAGGCCTGGTGCACAGTCCATGCTTAGTTGGCTGGACCTTAAACAGGAGGCCGTGGGACAAAGTCTGAAGGGCCTGCTAGTGGCTGGCAGCCAAAGAAGGAGTCCAGGTACAAAGTAGGGCTGAAAGGGCAGCCACATCTCTCCTGGGTACAGGGCCCAGAGTGTCTTAGAAGCCTGGCTTCTGAAAGGTACCAACTGATTTCTAGCTCAGGGCCTTTGCACTGATCACTCCTGCTTGCGGCTCCCTTCTCAAGGCCACCTGCTACCTCCTTCGGATCCATACTGAAGCATCCTTGGCACAAGGAGGCCCTTCAGACCCTCTCTCAAGACATCCACACTTCTCCTTCTAGCTCTCACTGCATTGCTCAGTTCTTGTGCAATGCTTGGTGGCTCCAAAAGGTGGGACCCATCTGACTTGTCCCCCACCACTGTATTCTTGGGCTCTGCCCCAGAGCATAGGGACGGCACTTACTGATGACTAAGGGCAAATGACTGGAGGATACGGGCCCCCACGCATATGGTTGTCTTCCTTCCCTGGGCCTGTGTTCCTGCTGCCTCATTCCTGCACTGGCCTCAGACAAGCGGGCTCTGAGGTCCCTCCCTGGCTCTGATGGGAAGGAGAAGGAGCACACGTGATTTCTAAGGTGCCATATGCTCACTGGGAGCAGAATTTCTTTCTTCATTGACAGCACTTTCAGAAGGCATGTTCAGAGCATGCCCAGACTGAATGTGGCCCATTGCCTGTTCAGTTGTTACTTGAAGTCAGGAAACGGAAGCAAGTGGCTGTGAAGTGAGGGGTGAGGCAGCGGCCAGGGAGGCTGGGCTGCCTGGGCTCTGGTCCCTGTGATGCTGTTGACCCCCTGGGCACCCTGGGAAAGTCCAGGCCTCGATTTCCTCCGCTGACTTTCAGAAGGTGGGGTGGTCCCCTCTTAGGTGGTACCCAAAGAAGTCTGAAATTCTAGGCCACGGAGGCACCCGCTGTGGGTGTCTTGTCAAGATGTGCCAGGAGAGGGCGCTGCCACACAGCACTTGGGGCTCTCAGGCAGAAAGACAAGTGTGGCTGCCACCCAGGGCGGTTTCCCGGGCCGTACCCCTGCCACTGGCTGGCAGAGAGGCAGACACAGTGTATACTTGGGCAATGAAAAATATGTTGACCTGGGAGGCTCAGAGACGAGTCTGAGGGTGCCAGAGTAACCCCCTGAGAGGCATCTCGGGAGTTGTGTGCTTGGAGAGCAGAGTGCCCCAGTAAGGAGAGGTGACAGCCCTGGTCCTTTACCTGCCTGGACTCATCACAACTTCACATGTTCATACTCTTTTCCTCCCCGGGGCTCCAAGCTGGCACAGTGCCGTATGCCCTATTCACACCATCTTACTGAATTCCGTAAGGTAAGTCCCCATTGTGCAGGTGAGAACAACAAGGCTCAGAGAGGCTGAGCAATTTCTCCAAAGCCACACAGCTGGTAAGTGGAGGGTTATAGAGTCACACTTGCTGTTTGACTCCAAAGCCCAAATTCTCAACCACGTACTGCCTCCTGGCCAAGATTCAGGAAGTGGAGGTAACTTTCCCAAAGCCCTTGCCACCCCCCTCTGTATAAATGTCCTAATTTCTCTGCCTCAGTTTCTCCACCATCAGTGAGATGGTATTAACATTGCCCAACTGTATGGTATTCCTAGGGTCCCTGTAGCAGATGACTCAGTGACCAGTAGAAAAATACCTCCCCTGGCATACCATGCCAGTGCCCTGGGCTGCCTCTGTCCTTTCTTCCCAGGCAGGGGCCTGTAGGCTGGGCTGTTTCTGTGGACATCTGACAGCAGAGAGTGCCTGGGTCTCCTCTGCCTTCTCTTCTCAGCTGATGGACACAGTGGGGACCAGACAGGTCAGGAGACCAGGTAGCTTGGGCTGGGGAGATCTAGAGTTGAGGGGCTTTGTGAGAAAAGAAAACATAGAGGGTAGAATGAGCCATTGCTGCTGTGAGGTCATGGCTGCAGAGCTCTCAGTCTTACTCATGTTCCGATGTCACACACAGGGAAGAGTGGACAAACCTCGGACCCAGCCTGCACTGCACAGGAGAGAGTGGGCCCAGTTCCTAACACATAGATACTTCCCAACCTGTCTGTTCCTCTGGAGTCCCCGATGAGGACCCACACCTGTGGAAAATAAAGGAGGGTTAGGGAACCACCTCCCCACTCCAAGAACAAAGCAAAGGAGCTTTCCTGACAAGGGTACCTTTGTTTCTTCCGTCGTTCTCTCAGCCCCAAATCTCCTGCTTTGGGAATAGTAAAAACTGGATGCGTAGCAAAGAACATCTTCAATGTGACTCAAGTGTGATCGATAGATCTCTCCCCCATCCTCCTCCTCAACTCCCATCCTCAGGAAGATCGGGGAGTAGGTGAGGGCATCCTCGGCACCCAGTACCCTGGTGGGAGGCAGAGATCCAGCAGTCAGAGCTGTTGGCAGAAGTGGAGACCCCCACACCAGGGCAGGAGGCATGGAACCAGAGCCACGGGATAGAATGGCTGTGAACATGGAACACACAGGTGTAACTGGGCACCGAAGAAGCTTCGAACAGGAGCCAATGTCTGCATAGCCCAGGGGTGAGCGAGGTGGGCACGTTCTCCCAACATCCATGTGTGTTGGCCAGTCGTATCCACAAGGTCCCAGGAGGAGGAGGAGGATCTAGCAGACACATGCTGAGTCACTGTCTCTCCTGTGGCTGCAAAGTGCAAGAGCAGGGGAAGGAAAGATGCAGATTCCATGAGAGAGGGAGAGGGAGAGGGAGAGGTGGGTCTGCGGCAGCTGGTAGGCTGCATCTGCCTCTTTTCTCTCCATGAAAATGGCTTCAGTCCTCAGGCCCCAGGGGCAGATGGGGCTGGTGTGAATCCCAACTCCACTGTTTGCTGTGTGAGCTCAGGCATGCTGCTTAGCCTCTCTGGGCCTGTTTCGTTGTCTGAAGAATGGAGGTGACACCAGTGTCTTCCCCTAAGGATGATCTCTGTAAGGTGTCTCATAGCAAATGCTTAATAAATGGAAACTGCAAATATCACTCCAAAGCATCAAATTAGTGCACCACCTCCAACGCTTATAGTGGTAAGATTTATTTACAACACCAACCTCTGGGCGTCTGCACCCCTCGGTTGTTCCAGTGGCCACTGCTCCCTCTGTCTGAGCTTGGGGCAGGCCACGAAGGGATGATCTGAGGTCAGAGTGCTGGACAAGACAGACAGTACTCTGCGGAAGCACTTCTGGTGTGGCTGTTCCCTTCCCATGCGGCAGTTTTTCCAGCTGGGAGAACAAAGTGGGGGCAGCCTGGGATGGGTGGGTCACTTCCTGGGGGTGGGGAGACTGAATGTGGGGCATAGGCTGAGTGTTGTCCCTCTGTTCCTCAAGGAGAGCTCAGCAGATGCTCAGGTGGCACCTCACACAAGCAGGTACAGCTCGGCAGACTGGGATAGGCTGGAGAGGCTGCCAAGGCCAGGTTCCTCCCGTTGGCTCTGCTGGGCAGGGGTAGGGGGTTGCCCTTGTCAGTGGTCACGGGCACTGAGACAGGGAGAATCAAGGCCTGAGGACTGGGGTCCCAGGCCAGCTGTGGACCCTGAGGGAAACTGACTGACTCCTGGGAACCTCACCTCCAGTCACCTTCACCCCTCGCTAAATGGTGGGTGCCGGGGACCTGTTCTGCAGTGGCTCCCACTGCAGCCAGCTCCTGCTCCTTCTCAGCGTTACTGCGCCGGGCCTGGGCGACAGCCCTGGGGGTTGCTGGCTTCTGGGTGGAGAGGTAGGAGGCCCAGGGCTTGTGCGCAGTCCCTCCTCGGGGCTTCTGTAGTAAGGTATGAATCCTGCCGCATAGAGGCTGTGGCCCCCGCAGGGAGGGGCATCCGGGATGCTGTCCTGGTGCTGCCCTGCTGAGACCAGCGGGACAGGATGGCAGGCCGGTGAGTGTGAGGACCCAGAGATGAGGTCTGGGCATGCCAGAGTAGCCTGAGTCAGAAGGAAGCAAGATGGCCAGCTGGGTGTAAGCTCACTTCCCAGGTTCCAGCCCAGATACCCAGGTTGGCCTGTGTGTGCAACACCATGGGCAGGAAGGGAAGAATGTAGGAGGGAAGGCCTCAGTAGTGCCACTCACCCATCCCAGGGCACCTGGCTGAGAGGGGCACATCTGGGATTAGAAAACACCTATTTTGCCTCCCCCATCCTTGTAGTCATGGGACACCATGCCCAGCTGCGTGGTGCTGGTGGTGACTATTAGCAATGTCACAGGGCACAGGCTTTGGTCAAATCCCAGGTTTGCTACTTGCTAGCTACATGTCCTTGGCCAAGTCACTTAACTTCCCTGAGACTCATTTTCTCATCCATAAAATTGGAATAATAACACAACCCATCTCATAGGATTATTATTAGTATTAAATGAGATGATGCCTGCATGGGTCTGGGTGCTAGCAAATTATAAGGACCAAACAAAGGTTTCCATGAGCGCAACACCAAGCTCAGCATATTAGGTACATTAGTGCATGTAACTGAGTGGCTCTAAGAGTAGTCCCTAATGTTCTCTCTTAGAAGGGATCCATGGCTGAAGCACAGGCCACTCTCTGAGCAGACAGCCAAGCTGGGATTGAGCGGGGCAGTCTGCCGTCAGTCCTTGTGCTTCTAACCAGTGACACCCTGCTCTGGGAGCTCCAGCAACCCTCAGGGATGGAGGTCTGAAGGTGCCAGGGGTCTGGTGCCCCTCCCCCCACCCTTCTGGGGCATCCTCAACTCACAGAGCATCCATCCCTGATCGTGGTCCTGTAGAAGCAGCCAGCCCGTGCCTCCCTCCTGCTGGGTGAGTCTTGGGAGCCCCCACAGGTCCAGGTGGGAAGGACCAGGCTGGGAAAACTCTCCTCCTGTGAGCAGTAGTAGGGGAAGAACCCATCAGGCAGTGCTGAGTCCTCCGGGAATGGTGCGAATCTGAGACTCTGGCTTCCTGCCTTGCCTGTGCAAACCTCAGGCTGCAGGCCCATCTCCTCCTCAGCCAGCCACCCGTAGGTGCGGAAGAAAGGCAGGTACTCCAAGGTCACAGGTGGAGAGAGGGCCTCCTTGTTCCCTGAGCTGGTGGCCTGTGGTTGCTGGGACAGAGGCTCTGGGTCCTTCTCCTTCAGGAGGCCTGAGGCTCTGGACTCAGCCACGCAGCTCTGCTGGAACATCTGGGAAGAAAGAGGTGTTCCATCTATTACTACACCCTGACTTCCCAGCTACTCCAGCTTGCTCCCAAATCCCTGCCTATGTTGAAAGCCAGAGTGGTCTTAGAAAGCCCACACCTGATTGTGCTTCGTAAAAGCCCAGCCATGGCTGCCAACCATGGTTAGCTTGGGCAAGAGCCTCAGGTAACCTGGCCCCACAGACACCTGCAACCTCCTCCTGTCCCCTTCTTCCCCTGCCGCTACACTGGGAGCACACCGGCCTGTTCGAAGCTTCTTCGGTGCCCAGTTACACCTGTGTGTTCCATGTTCACAGCCATTCTATCCCGTGGCTCTGGTTCCATGCCTCCTGCCCTAGTGTGGGTCTCCACTTCTGCCAACAGCTCTGACTGCTGGGACAACACTCAGCCTTCTTGCCGGTCCTCAATCACAACAGGCTTGGCCCTGCCCAGAGCCTGGGCCCAGACCTGCTCCTCGACTCTCAGTTCAGAAGAGCCTCCACCACCCCACCTTCCCCTGGGGTGACTCCAGGTCACTCCCCCCTCACTGAAGTGGTCTTCGTGGTCTGCCCACTCCTAATATGCATTTGATGGATACTTTTCAATGAATCTGCTGACTCTCAACCCATCTCATGTTCCCTCCACTCCATCCAGTCCAGCCACACAGACCTTCTCTTGGGCCTCCTGATTCACTAAGCAGCCTCCTGCCACGAGGCCTCTGCGTGTGCTTGTGTTCTTGCCTGGAATTTCCTCTCTCTCCTCTTTCCTGGGTGGTGACTTCCTCCGTGCTCAACTCACGGTTAATCTCTTACTTCCCTGGCATAATCACAGTGCCTTATCACTGACTGCCGCCATCCTGACACCACTCATGCAGGGCACCGTTCCTGTGTTGTGAAACACTGGTCTGTGCCGTTGCTCCATTGATATGTCTCATCCTATGAGTTATAGATTCCACCAAGGCGAGGGTGGTCTGTCTAGCTCACTTCTGCATCCTCAAGGGCTGGAGAAGCCCTGGCAGATGATAGACACACACATATTGGAAGAAAGGAAAGAATGGTGGGCAGGAAAGAAAGAGGTAGACAAAATGAGAACAAGGCCAAGTCCTTATTAGGCTTGATGTTGACAGGAGTGAGGAGCCATGCCTTGGGGACAGGATAGAGAAGAGGAAGGAGGAACTACTTTCCAGGCCCAGAGCTCCTGGTAGTGAAAAGCCAGCCCTGTCCCCACATTTCCTGTCAGGGCCAGACCCAGAGCCCGTCGGGTAACATGGTGGAGACCCTTTGACCTTGAACAAGCCCACAGGCTGTTCTCCACCTGTGGACTTGGGTCCCATAATAGAGGGACCTGTGCTGGTCTAGCCCCAGCCTTCCTGACCCCCACCAGGGCCTCTGGGTTTTGAATTTCCTTCCCTGTTGCATGCTCTTGTGCATGCTCTCCCCAATGCCCTGCATGTAACCTGATCACCCATGTCCTAAGTCCAGATTCTCCATAGGTGCCCGCTGGCCCGCAGCCTGGTAGCTCCTAGCAGCAGGGACCAGGGCCCTCCTCTGAGCCCCAGGTGCCCAGCCCGGGGCCAACTTTGCTGAGTTTCTGTCCCTCCAGCACTACATGGCTATCTGTGGTCCTTTCACTCTCCATCACCTGTAGAAGGCCCCCTGGGATGGACCTGCCTGATTTCTCACATTGCTGTGCTGAGGACACAGGACGAGCCAAGCAGCAGTGCCGGGGTCAGAGCCCGAGTCCATGCTCTGACACCTGTGCCCTGGTCCATGTGAACTACAGGTGGTGTGTCGCCCCCACAAGATGTGCTCAAGTGCTAATGCCTGGGACTGTGCATGTGACCTTACTTGGAAAAGGGTCTTGGCAGATGTAATCAAGTTAAGATGAAGTCACACTGGGTTAGGGTGGGCCCTAAACCCAGTGCCTGGTGTCCTTTTAAGGGAAGGGGAATTTGAGCACAGACACAGAAGGAGAGAATGGAGTGACAGGGAGGCAGAGACTGGAGTAGCGCTGCCACAAGCCCCGGCACGCCAAGGACCGACTGCCCGTCAGTACCAGCAGCCAGGAGGGAGACAGGGAGCAGATGCTCCCTCTGAGCTCCTGAGGAGGAGCCGACCCTGACCACACCTTGATCTTGAACTTCTGGCTTCTAGAACTATGAGAGAATAAATGGGTGTTGTTTTAAGCCACCGAGTTTGTGGCGATTTGTGGGGCTGTCCTAGGACACTACTGACACACGTAGGTTTGTAGGACAGCTCGCTAGGTAGGTGCAGATTCAGCACGAGACTTACAGGGCACTTCCAGTACCACGTGGGAAGCGGCCATTGCCGTGGCACGTTTCCCTTGTGGCCAGGCTGTCCTAAGGCCTTCTCCTTCCCGCCATCCGGTGGGTGCTGGCCAGGGCACCATGCCCCCATGCCCCAGTGTTTCCCTGACTCCACTTCCCCAGTGAATCCAGGATTGAAGGAGGCCAGGTGTGCTGCCACCAGCTCCTCCTAAAGTCCTCAGCACAGTGACGCGTGCACAGTGCCACTCACGAGCTCTAGCAGGCCGCACCTCCAGTGTCCCATTTGGGAGTCAGCAGTTGCCCTGAGGTGTGACAAGATGAAGCCTTATCTCCTAACTCTGGCTGAAAACACAAGAAGAGCAGGGCTCTTCTTCCTGGCCTCCTCTTCAACCTGGCAAATCCTCTCTGCCTGTTGAGGGAAAATTCCAGTCATGAAGTCATAATGCCTGGTGCCAGGCAAGAGAGCCAGATGGCTCCATTACCATAGAGACTCCTGTCCAAGCACTCAACACCTGTGATCATCATCTGCTTCTTTAATCTAGATCTCCCCAAGACTGGGGGGGGGGACAAAGAATGCAAATGTCTTCTGCAATCAGATCAGCTCTCTCTTGTAGCTGCGGCCGGGGAGCTCACTCAGGGACTTCTGCCCAGAGACACAGAGGGACCCTGTGCCTCCAGTGTGAGAAAGGTCAGGAAGAGTCCCACGGTCTGTTCCACTAAGTCTGGGGAAGCAGTGAGCACCCAGGGCTCCTCACCTGGGTGCCTCGGGCTCTCAGTCCACTCAGGGCTGTGCCAAGACGTGGGCCTCTGGATCTCAGCTGTCTCCCCTCTGTGGCTCCTCCCCAGTCCTCAGACATGTAGAACAGTCACGGAGGGACTAACTGTGTGGGGCACCTGCTGTCTCCCGCAGAGCCACCTCCCCAGCTGCCCTCCCTGGCTTGGTGCTCCTGCCCAAGGGAAGGGACCAGCGCTGTCAACACCTCCTAAGCATCAGCTACCGCCTGGGGCAGTTCCCGTGTGGTGTGTCACTACAACTCTCAAGTCAGGAAGTACACCACTGTCATGCCATTTTACAGATTGGAGAACTGAGCCTGGAGCAGAGGCCTTAGGGCTTGAGGTGAGGACCTTGGCATGCCACCGAAGGTCACAAGGCCCAGATGTCCTCAGGGCCTGAGGCTTCCCTAGAGCTTGAATACAAGCCAGGCATGACCCAGCCAGGGTTCTCCAGGCCCAGGCAGGGCCCCTCCCTCTCTCTGTCCTGCGCTCACAGGCCCTGGAGCCCATCTACTGCAGGGACACCTGAGCTTGCTTTTCTTTTGTACAAACTGAACTCTTTAATCCATGTGGAATTTATTTTTTGCCAGGGGTGATAGATACGCTTCTAATTTTATTTTATGATTTGAATAGTCACTTGAGTCAACATCATTGAAGAATAACTTATTTCTTCTCCAACCTGATTGGAAATACCAAAATAAACACATTCTCAATTATTAACTAATGCAAACTCAAGTAGTTTCTAGAATTTATGTTTCTATCTATCTCTTTGTCTCTCTTGGTATTAATATCATATTATTGTGATCTCTTTAGTTTTATATAATTTAGATTCATATTATGTCACCACTTTTTTAAAAAAATCAACTTCATGGAGACATAATTTACATATACCATGAAGTACACTCTTCACAAGTCTATACACGCATGCAACAACCTGAGGATTAATACATAGAAAAGCCTCTTTACAGGTATTCTACCCCCTTGCTTCCCAATGCAAAGCAACCACTGATTTGATCTGGGATATTATACATGCATTTTGCCTGTTTGGAATGAACAGAATCACACAGTACTTACTCTTTCATGCCTAGCTAACTTCCTTTATTCAGCACTGTGTTTTTAAGATTCATCCTTGTGGCATACTGTTTGCCCCTTTTTATTGGTAAGTAGTTTAGCATTGTTATGCACAATGCAATTTGCTTATCCATTCTTCTGTGTATAGACAGTTCAGTTCTTTCCACTGTGGATAATGCTGCCATGAATACTTATATACAAGACTCTATGTAGGCAGAGTTTTCGTTTCTCTTAGATAAGTAGCTAGGATTCGAATAGCTTGGTCATATGGTAAGTGTATGTTTAACTAAATAAGAAACTGTAAAACTGTTTCCAAGTGGATGTGACATTTTTACATTCCCAACAGCAATGTATCAAAGTTCTAGTTTCTTCACATTGTCACCATCACCTTTTAACTTTTGCCATTCTTGTGCATGTACGCCATTATGGCTTCAATTTGCATTTTTCTGATCACTAATGATGTTGACCATCTTTTCCTATGCATATTGCCAATTTGTACATTTTTATTCAAGTGTCAGGGCTAGAATTCAAATTCTGGTAGCTGGACTCTGAAGCTGAAATATTTATTTACTTTACCAGTTGTCCAAAAGTACTTTATGAAATATTACTTTAGGCTGGGCAAGGTGGCTCATGCATGTAATCCTAGCACTCTGGGAGGCCAAGGTGGGAGAATTGCTTGAGCTACGGAGTTCGAGACCAGCCTCAGAAAGAACAAGACCCTGTCTCTATCAAAAATAGAAAAAAATAGCTGGGTGTGGTGGCATGTACCTGTAGTCCCGGCTACACAGGAGGCTGAGGCAGGAGGATGGCTTGAGCCCAGGAGTTTGAGGTTGCTGTGAGCTAGGCTGAGCCGCGGCACTCTAGCCAGGGCAACAGAGTGAGACTCTGTCTCAAAAAAAAAAAAAAGATTTTAGGTGGCACACAGGTGAATCATTTTTATTTTAATAGCAAATATTATTTAATTTAATGTGTTTGAAAAAATATACTTTTTATGTATTTTATATTATATATTTTCTATTTACCATAATTTCACAGATATTTTTGCTTAGGATAAGAGCAAAGTTATCTTTTTCAATAAAAGACCAGTGTTTAAATATCTGTATTATATACCTTATAATCAGATGTGGCAAGAACATGCAGATGACAGGGAATGTCTGCACTTACCCCTTCTGGCTTGGTGAATGTGGTTCCATGTGCCTCTGTAGATGTGGGGATGAACAGACGATTCTGCATAAAGGGAACGTGCGCTGCCGCTTGCTCTCTCTGTTGCACAGTGTGTGCTAGGCTTTGCCTTTGCCCTTGTCCGCACAGGGAGAGGTCAAAGGAAGCCCCCAGGTGTTTCTGTGAGGTTGCTGCTCTTCCTCGCCTGTAGGCAACTTTGGGCACCTTTATGGCTGCTGAGGGAGTCGGGGTCCTGGGGTTTCCACAGCAAACCTTCAGTCATCCCAGCCAGCGCCCAATGCACCGCGTAAGCTGGAACTAGTCAAACTAGGAGCAAGAGGTCTGCAGCGCCGGCATGTGGAACAGCAGAACCCCCTCCCCTGTGGGCCCATCACCTGGAGGCCCTGCTGGTCCACAAAGCACTGGACTTCCGTGACCTCACTGAACCCTCACTGGACCTTCTCACCACAGACCAGTCTGGTCTGCTCCAGCCAGAGATGGGAAATGGCTTGTCCAGGGGTGCAGAAGGGTGGAGCAGGGCTCAGCACCCAGCACAGTGCCAAGGTGGCATTCTGGATGCATCCTCATGTTTCCTAATATCTCTACCTTCCCAGCACCAGGGGTTCAGAGATGTGGCAGATGAGGTCCGGGTGGCTGAGTACCTGGTCCCAGGTCTCTCTGGCTCCAGAGCCCCAGGTCTGCAGGAGGAGTGAGCTTGCTGCCCAAGATGGACTGCACAGTCTAGAAGGGGAGGGACACAAGTCTTTCCTGTGCCTCATACCTCATCTGTGTAACATGGACATCTGACCTGTCCTAAGAGGAGTGGGTGGACAGCACAGGCAGGATGTTTGAAATACCTACTGCCCCAGATTGCTAGGAACTCATGGTCCCCGCACTACTGAGTGCAGCTGGAGTTCTGAGGAAGCACAGTTGGGGAAGGCTGGAGTGGTCGGGGAGGGCTGTCTTCCAGAGGCAGAAGGGCTGACTGCTGCCAAACTGACTCTGCACCTCCAGGGAACACTTCTGAGAGCCAAGTACCAGAGCAAAGGCAGCTGAGGGAATGGAGCATGGACAAGGCCCAGGGTGCAGAAGCCCACGCAGGGATACCCGCCATGATGCTGGGATGGGGCCCATGGGTGGACCCCAAGCTAAGGGAAAACTTAGACCCCACACCTGTGGCTCAACTGCAGCGCAGACTCCGCTTCAACTGCAAATTGGTTTTCTGTGTTGGGGGAAAAACCCCAAACCCACCACCTGTGTGCCTATGGCGGTGAGAGTAGCCATTTGTGTTTTCCTTTTGCTCAGAGTGACACATCTCTCAGCCACAAGTTGCTCACAGGGTTTGATTCGGTTGCTCTCTTGGGTCAGAATCCAGTGCCTTTGGTCATGAATCACTTGCATCTCGGGGCCACAGGAGGCAGGACCTTCCTCTCACAGCCGGGGGGAGCTCTCCACTATCCCTGACCTCTTGGCGTCACCCTCCTTCCCCTCAGGGTTTTCTCATTTTCTATTTTCAGGCAAAACCCCAGTAAAGTCCTATTCTAAATTATCCCACAGCAGGATCACGCTAACTGTCCTGTGGCTTTTTAAGAATGTAGAAACTACTCGGTACCTTATGTCCTTCATTCCTTCCTGAAAGGATTGGTGATGTGTTTAGTTGTCCCTTTCTGCCAAGCTACCAGACGAGCTGCGCACAGCTCTCTCCTCCAATTCAGATAAGCAGTTTACAGTGTCAGAAGGACAAACTTTCACTTTAAAAGTAAGATCTGCTTTTCAACACAGGCAAATCAGAGCTGTGGTTTTACAGATATCAGTCATAGAGATGACACCAACGCCATGTGAGGGTCTTACAGCTCTTACCCGAGTCTGCGCTCTCCAGGCCTCACCTCCCTCCCTGGCTCTGGTCTCGACATCTCTCACCTCTCAGACCATGTCCTCTGGATCCCTGTGCAGCCTCTGTGCCACCTGTGTGCTACTCCTTCTCAGGGGGTCCACTTCTGACTCTGTCCCCAGCCACTGTCATGTAACCCTGACTCTCATCTGGACAACTGCAGCTTCTTTCAGTTGGTCCCAACTTTAACACTCCCCCAACCCAACCTACTGCCAGACGCTTCCTCTAAAAGTGATTTCATCCCATCCCTCCATTGCTCAAAATCTTCACTGGTTCCCTCTTGCTTCCCAAACCCAAACTCCCTGGCTGGGCATGCCAGGCCTTTTGCAATCTGGCTGCTCCTTCCTGATGGAAAGCAAGCTCCCCGCTCTGGGCGCTCTGGACTTCCTGTGTGCCTAACACTCCCCAGGTTCCCCACCCTGTGCCTTCTCACATGCAGCCCACACCTGCCCAGATAAGCCAGCCATCAAAGCCTCCCTCCCAGAAACCTTCCAGATGGCCACAGGTGCTGTTTGTTTGCTTGAGCTGCCATAGCGAAGGACCAGGCTGGGTAGCTTCAAGAACAGAAATCTAGTTTCTCATAGTCCTGGAGGCTAAAATCCTAAGCCCAGTGTGTGGCTGGTCAGTTTTTCCTGAGTGTGCAGATGCTGTCCCCTCCCTGCGTCTTCACGTGGCCTCCCTCTGTGTCTGTCTGTGTCCATTCTTCCTCTGCTTATGACGACACCAGTTATATTGGATTAGGGCCCACTCTAATGACCTCATTTAACATAATCACCTCCTTAAAGACTCTATCTCTAAATACTGTTCCATTCTGAGGTGTTAGAGGTTAGGACGTCAATGTGGAAATCTGGGGGAACACAAATCAGCCTGTAAAGATGCTCTGAACACACTTCCCCTCTCTCAGACTGTCATAGGGAGAGTGGCCATGATCTCCCTAGGACAGGAGCCAGGACTCCTGCTTCCCCAGTTCCCAGCACTTCTCTGCGCTTCCCACAAGGAGTCTGCCTCCAGTCCTCTGGGTGCACTGGGGCACAGGGCTTTGGGGTAGGGAGGCTGCCTTTCTAGCCCAGCTCTGCCACTTACCTGCTGTATGACTCTGAGCAAGGAGCCAGGTACTCGGCCTCTCCCAATATCAGTTTCCTCACCTGTAAAATGGGAATAATAATAACATAAGCTTTTCATGGGAACTGATTAGATAACAGTCATAAAGAATAAGAACAGCACCTGGACTATTGTGACCTCTCCCTAAAATGACAGTGATAATTATTATTTGTTACCTTGCCTGTGAGTCCCAGAGCTTCTTGCCTGTGACCTCCTTGTATACCCTTAACCTTTTGGTTTACGAAATCTAGACAGGGGCAGAAAGAAAGACTCACCTGATGAAGCCACCCATTGCTCCAGGCACATGAGACAGGAAGCACTAAATTATATATATAATTTTATAACATCTCCCCTTTTACTTATGTTTATTGTATTACTTTAAAATATCAGTCATAAAACCAATTAGCTGATACAAGATATATCTAGTTACTTTAACACAAATTTTATGTAAAATGTACTTCCTATTGCTTTTAAATGAGGAGAAAACCATGTGACCCACA